CAAAACTGAACTGCATAATCTAAATGGGGCCTAACTAGAGCAAGATATAGCTAGTGAACCACACCAGGTGTCTTGTTACTAACGCTGCGATTAATAAATCCAAGTGTCCGATTTGCCTTATTACGAACATTTAAGAACATAAGAACATAAGAACATAAGAACAAAGGTAACTGCAGAAGGCCTTTTGGCCCATACGAGGCAGCTCCTATTCTATAACCACCCAATCCCACTCATATACTTGTCCAACCCGTGCTTGAAACAATCGAGGGACCCCACCTCCACAATGTTACGCGGCAATTGGTTCCACAAATCAACAACCCTGTTACTGAACCAGTATTTACCCAAGTCTTTCCTAAATCTAAACTTATCCAATTTATATCCATTGTTTCGCATTGATTCAATTTATGCATTGATCCTTTTGTTTTAAATTCTTACTAATCATAACTCCCAGATCCCTTTCGCAATCCGACTTCGCAATCTCAACACCATCTAGCTCGTATCTTGTAACTCTTATCATCATTACCTAGCCTCAGAACTTTACATTTATCAGCATTAAACTGCATCTGCCAATCCTTTGACCATTTCAAAACCCTATCTAGATCAACTTGAAGTGATAGTGAGTCCTCCTCCGAATTAATTTCCCTACCGATTTTCGTATCATCGGCAAATTTGCAAATGTTGCTACTCAAACCTGAATCTAAATCATTTATATATATTATAAACAACAGAGGTCCCAGGACAGAGCCTTGAGGCACTCCACTTACAACATTTTCCCACTCTGACTTGATTCCATTTATACTAACTCTCTGTTTCCTTTGGTATAGCCATGCCCTAATCCAGCTTAATATAGCACCCCCAATACCATGAGACTCTATCTTTTTAATCAGTCTTTCATGTGGCACTGTATCAAAAGCTTTGCTAAAGTCAAGGTATACAACATCGCAATCCTTACCACTATCAACTGCCTCAACAATGCTAGAATAAAAAGATAACAAATTTGTTAAACATGAACGGCCATTTATAAAACCATGTTGCGACTCGATTATTAATTTATGTTTTTCAAGATGAAGACGAATTTTATTTGCTATTATAGATTCGAGTAACTTTCCCACAATAGACGTTAGGCTAATTGGTCGATAGTTAGACGCAAGTGATCTATCTCCTTTCTTAAAAACTGGTATCACATTAGCAACTTTCCAAAACTCTGGCACTCTGCCTGACTCTATTGATTTATTAAATATGGTTGACAGTGGGTCACAAAGCTCCTCTTTGCATTCTTTAAGCACCCTGGCAAACACTTCATCCGGCCCTGGGGATTTGTTTGGTTTGAGTTTTACTATTTGTTTAAGAACATCCTCCCTGGTAACTGCTAAACTCGTCAACCTGTCCTCGTCCCCACCCACATAGACTTGTTCGGCTGAAGGCATATTGTTAAGTTCCTCTTTAGTAAATACAGATACAAAATATTTATTAAAAATGCTACTCATCTCTTCATCACTATCTGTTATTTGACCTGTCTCAGTTTTTAATGGACCTATCCTTTCCCTAGTCTTAGTACGATATAACTGAAAAAACCCTTTAGGATTTGTCTTTGCTTGCCCTGCTATGCGAACTTCATAGTTTCTTTTTGCTTTCCTTATCTCTTTTTTAACATTTCTAACCAGTTGTACGAATTCCTGTTCTAAAGTGACCTCCCCATTTTTAATCCTTTTGTACCAAGCTCTCTTTTTACCTATAAGGTTCTTCAAATTCTTTGTTATCCACTTTGGGTCATTAGTATTCGATCTATTCAATTTGTATGGTATACTACGTTCCTGTGCTTTGTTTAGAATATTCTTAAATAAGTTATATATTGAATCCACATCGAAATCCCCATTTAAGTCACCTATCGCTGGGTTCATGTCTCGCTCCAAGACTGGCCCACACCCCATACCCAAGACTTTCCAATCAATTTGACCCAAAAAATTTCTTAGGCTATTAAAATCAGCTTTTCGAAAATCTGGCACTTTAACAGAATTTTCTCCTACTGGTCTATTCCATTCTATGCTAAATCTGATTTCTTTGTGATCACTGCTCCCTAGCTCACTCCCTATTTCGATGTCATTAATTTGCGTTTCCCTGTTAGTTAACACTAAATCTAAAATATTATTTTCCCGTGTTGGTTCCTTAATGTGTTGCGTAAGAAAGCAATCGTCAATTAATTCTAGAAAATCTTCTGCTTCACTATTCCCTGTTTTGTTCAACCAGTTTATTCCGCTAAAATTAAAGTCACCCATGACATAAATACTGTTAGATCTAGATGCTCTAGATATTTCATCCCATAGATGCTTTGCTTCCATTCTGTCTAAATTTGGTGGCCTATATATTACTCCTATTATAATATTATTAGCTTTTTCGTTTAATTCTATCCAAATAGTTTCTGTGTGTGGCTCTGTTTTGATTCCCTCTTTGAGACTACATTTCAAATTGTCCCTAACATATATGGCTACTCCACCTCCTCGTCTAATATATCTATCTGTGTGAAATAGTTTAAATCCATATATTTGATATTCAGCTAATAGTTCTCTATTTTCTACATTCATCCACGTTTCGGTAAGTGCAATAATATCTATTTTTTCTGTGCAGACAAGAGCATTTAATTCGTTAATTTTATTTCTTAGACTTCTACTGTTAGTGTAATATACCCTAAGTGAATTGTTATTTTGCGGCCCTTCTCTTTCCCTGATCGTTTTGCCAATTCCTTTCTCCCACAAACACATACTTTTATTACCTCCTTCCTCCAAATCAATTCCCATACCTCTATCTACTAACAGTTTAAACCCAAACAAACACCTCTAACCACTTCTTCCAACGAGTTCGCAACAGCAACAACCCCAGCTCTCGATAGATGCACCCCATCACGAGCATACATTTCATTTCTTCCATAGAAGTGTTCCCAGTTGTCTATGAAAGATATTGCATTTGATTTGCAATATCTTTCCAGCCGGCAATTGACACCAAGTGCCCTCGATATCCATTCATTTCCCACTCCCTTTCTTGGAAGAATGCCACATATGATCGGGATTCCTCCCTTGCTCCTAACTAATTCTATGGCTGTTTTATACCTCTGAATCAGTTCCTCACTCCTAACTCGACCAACATCATTTCCTCCCACGCTAATGCAAATAATGGGCTTGTTCCCATTACCAGCCATAATATCATTCATGTTGTTTATAATATCACCAATATATTATAATATAAATTGGATAAGTTTAGATTTAGGAAAGACTTGGGTAAATACTGGTTCAGTAACAGGGTTGTTGATTTGTGGAACCAATTACCGCGTAACATGCTGGAGGTGGGGTCCCTTGATTGTTTCAAGCGCGGGTTGGACAAGTATATGAGTGGGATTGGGTGGTTATAAATAGGAGCTGCCTCGTATGGGCCAATAGGCCTTCTGCAGTTGCCTTTGTTCTTATGTTCTTATGTTCCATAGTAACCATCACAACATTCTCAAAACCCACCGTCGTTAGGCGTTCCACGGCCTTTTCTGTCTGGTTTCTAACATTCTCTGTTCCAGGGCTCAGGTCACCCAGGTCGTCTGCAGGGTTATTAAGTTTAGCCAGCCTGTGGTCTATCTTCATGCCCATGACGTTCGTAAGTTTGCTACTTTGGCTGCCGTGTTCGGCAACATATCTTGGGCTGACATTCAGGTGCAAGGGTTTTTTAGGTTGAACAGAGTCTTGGCTGCCCGTTATCTGGTCAATATTCCTGGTCCAGATCATTCGTGTGTGGCTTTGGGTTGCAGGTTGCAGCCAGTTGTCTTGACTCCGAGTTGATGAGCACATGGCAGCTGCCTCCTAGGTAAGTCCCTCTTTTACTTGTCTTTAGTTAGGTAGCTCCAGGGAGCCAAAGGGGCTCCCCACAGAAAACCAATGTTGAATGTAATGAAACACCATATTCTGGGTGAGCCCCAGAGGCTCCCTGGCACCCTCCTTCCTTCCGGTCGGCGGTTTTGTTTTGATTTTGATGATCAGCCTCCGAAATGGAGGCTGATCTCCCTCCGGGGCTCCCCTCTTGGGGAGGGGAGGGCTGCACAGACAAGTGGCGCAGTGGTGGTGTATGCCGTTTGCTGGTTTCTTTGTGTTGGGGGAGTTCTGCCTCTATGTTTGGTCTTCGGTTGCAATTTTCTTACCAAGTGGGGTCTGTTTCGTAATGCCTACGTTTCTGGGTGCCTAACCCTGGTCGATGGCAGACATGGAATGCCCCCAAGTACAAGGGGGTTTCCATAGGCCATTGCTCCCTGTACCTCTTTGAGGGGGCCAGGTTCTGGCTTGTGGTCCCCGGAAGGCTGAATTCCAACTGACTGATGCCACAGACTAATATTACATATATCAGTCCTCAAACTCCTGGGAACCTCTGGGGCTCACCCAGAAAATGACGTTTCATTACATTCAACATTGGTTTTTGATCAATATCATACTTGGCACCTTTTCAACACTATTGTTCACCATTTCAATATTAATCTCCACTATTCGTTTTACTCAACCACCATTTTACTCCTCCACTGCCACCACTATTTATTGCCTCCACAAGCCTGCTCTTAGTTCAGCAGCACCCTTTAAATATTGATTGTGTTCCAATATATGTTGACTTGGGGAGAATTAAATTTTTTCTGCTGCGCTCACCTAGTTGTGGTTCCAGGAGTTGAGCTTCAGCTTGTAGGTCCCACCTCTCAACTGTCAATCAATTGGTGTGCCTGTTTCCTGGGCCTGTTGGGCTCTATTATATCTGCATTTGGAACTGTGTATAGAGTCTGCCACGTCACTTGATATTACATTCTATTTGTTAACTATCCTGACACTGAACAAATTCTTTCTAACACCCTTCATGTAAATTAAACATCTAGGCTAGTTTACTATACTGTATTTAATTTGTTGTTTTATTCAGTTATGTCAAAGACTTTAAATTAAACTTAAAAGAGCATTTTGCATGAATTTAATAGCAGTTGTTTATTTCAGCAGGATGTCGGCTCAAAGTCCCAATCCTGGGAGTGCAGCATCCCCAATGGGTCCGCCCCAGCAGTCCCTTTCTCCTATGCCTCCACCCCAGGCTACATCTCCAGCCGTTGGGCCACCTCAGGCTCCATCTCCAATGGGTCCACCACAGGCACCATCACCCATGGGTCCTCCAGTAATGTCACCAGGTCCTGGTGTACCACCAACACAGCAGGGACCTCCAGGGGGCCCTGGCATGTCACCTCAGGGTGGACCAAGCCCTCACCACTCTTACCCTCAGGGTCCACAAGGAGGCCAGGGTTGGCCACAAACTGCTGGTTCATATCCCAACAGTTATCCTCCACAGCCTCAATCACAGCAGGGATCATCGATGGGCCCTAACAGTCACCACCCTTCCCAGGGTCCTCCCGGTGGCCCTTCAGGTGGTGGACTGCCTCCACCAAGTGGTGGTGGACCAAATGGTCCGAGTCCAAGTGGTGGTAGCTTTCAGCAGGAGAACCTTAATGCTTTGCAAAAAGCTATCAACACAATGGAGGACAAGGGTTTACAAAATGATCCACGTTATACTGATTTAGTTAACATGAGGGCTAAGTATGGTAATATGAATATGGGTCCACCACCACCAGGCAGTGGTTCTACAAGTGGTGGTAGTGTTCCACCAGGCCCTCCAAGTGGACCTGGATATGGCCCTCCTGGTGCTGGGGTCCCTGATGCACAAAGAGCAGGTTTGCTAAATCCTTCACAAATGCATCAGCTTCGGGCCCAAATAATGGCCTATCGTTGCATTGCTCGTAATCAACCAGTTCCAAGCCACGTGTCTGCTCTTGCTCAGGGTCGCCGGGCTGAACAAGACCCTACTCGGCCACCTGGACCTGGTCTTCCTGGACCACAAGGACCCCCAAGTGGACCACCAAGTGGACCACCAACTGGCCCTCCAGCAGGTCCTCCTACTGGCCCTCCAACTGGACCACCAACTGGACCTCCCACTGGACCTCCTGGTGTTCAGGGTCCACCAGGCCCACCAGGACCCCCTGGACCACCCAGTATGCAGTATCCAAGACACCCTGGTAGGTACTTATGGCCCCCAATTTGCCTAAGGAATGTATTCCCAAACTTTGTAATTATTCTTAATAATGCTTACACTAATATGCTTCAAATATTTCATAGCGCAACTTTGCAAAAATAAATAAAAATTTTCCTAGGACCAATGCCAGGGGTGCGGCCACCATACAATGGAACAGGCCCATCACAGACACCACCCCCACCATCTGGTGTCATGAGCTCCCAACCTGTACCAACTGGACCTGTACCTGGGACCACCCCAAGGCCTCAGGTAGTGTATATTCATTTTTTAATGTAATACTTTATATTATGATAAAATTATTGGAAGCCATAAGGAGGATTCGAACCCATATACAGTACCACGCCCTAGACCACTACACCACAACATGGTCAAAAGCAATGCAACCTGTTATTTACCTGAATCTTCTAGGGGTCCTGTTTTTTCATTGTCTCAAGATCATGGGGTTTAGTGTTTGTTAACATGTTGTGATCTTGTTCTTGGTTCTACTACCCGAATGCTGGTTTGGAATGGCACTCTTGTTCCTGTGCTTCAGGGAGGGTGTTTGTCACATTTAAAATTTCTGTTGGTTGGGTTGCAGTGGCTTCCCTCACCCAGGTCAGAACCTGCCTTAGCTGCTAGCAGCTTCCTGAGTGTTTAACTGTGTTTCTGGGTTGGCTTTCCACAGTTGCTTCCCCGTCCTTAGTGCTCTGGCACCTTGCAAACCATCTCTAAATGTCAGGCTCTTGAAGCTTTCTTAGTCTGCTAGTAGCACGTGCCTATATCTTGTCACCTCACAAGGGACAGATTGAATGTTGGGTTATAGATCAACCAATTACTAAGATGAGCTGCTCAGGGAGCCATAAAGCATCACTAAACAAGCCACATCTAAAAAAAAAAAGAGGGAAAATTCATCCAATCCAACCAACAGTTGGAATAGGTGAACTACACCATTCCCAACTTATGTATGAAAAAGCAAATGCTGAGGGTAGTAAGGCTGCTCTAAGGAGAAGGTAAATGATTTCCATATGAAAATGAACATTATTGAGCAGCGCTTGTATAGGATTTGGTGGTTAAAATGTTTTAAGATTGTCTGACTATTTAGTGCACAGTTTCAGGGTGTTGTGGAGGAGAGAGAGTGAGAGAGAGACTGCTGATGTAGCATCCCTGCCTAACTCGGCTGTTGAAGCCTCAAATTCATTAAAGTTGATCACAACAAATTAAACCCACTATAACACATGTAAAGCAATTAAATGACATTATATTATGGAACCTGACATCTTGGTGAATATCCAAATTTAGTTTTCATTGTATACAGTACTGTATTTTCCTTTTTCTGCTGTACTGTACAGCAGAAAATGTTATGTTAATGTAGGGCAAAAGAGGTGACTTCTTACCCAAAGATTATGGTCATGTGGGATTGTCTTGCTTTGGAAGTTGATGACTGGAAAGAAAAGAAGTCTAAAGAGATTGGAAGGTAAAAGATAGATAAAAAGAAAGAAAATCTAACAAAACTGTGTTTATTAAAAGGTGAGTGTGAAGGTGGAGAATATGCAGGAGTGTGTGAATGAATATTAAGTATACCATCATGGGACACTGCAATACACATATTAAAGATAAAGAAGCATCAATGGGGTAAGGTTGCCCTCTTTTACTTAGTCACGAGTGTTTCCATGTGTAACCGGGGCCAGCCAGACTTATACTGATTATGATTTATAAAGAAAGAGGTCATGTTATAAAGAGATAGTCAAATAGTTTTAAAATGCTTGCTAAATATGTTAATTGAAACCCACCAGGTGCCTCCAGCAGCTGTTGGGACAACCCCTGTGCCTACTGCTGGTGGCAAAACGAGCCGTGTTACTCCTATTACTAAGCCCTCTGGGGTGGATCCCTTGATACTTCTACAGGAGAGAGAAAACAGGTAATTTTTTAGTTTACATTTGTCAGCCAATTTCCTGTGAGGGACTGAGACTTTTTAGGTAAAACCCAAAAGCAAGACTAAATGTGGCTAGAGTGCCTTGTTTCTGTCTGGTTCCTTAAGCAGTTATTCCTACCTTGTTTCTAGACACTCTTATTTACTTGGATGTTGTGCTCAGAAGTCTGCAGTGTGTGTGTACATGTGTGCATACTTAAAAATATTTAAAATGGTTCCTTCCTCAATATGAAAGTGTGAATTAGCTAGTGATTTGGCAGTTTTCTTTAAAAATCACATTATATTTATTTCTAGATTAGCTGCACGTATTGCTCATCGAATTGAAGAATTGAGTGGCCTTCCAGCGACAATGGCGGAAGATTTAAAAACAAAAGCTCAGATTGAGCTTCGAGCATTACGCTTACTCAATTTCCAACGCCAATTAAGGGCCGAGGTCAGTAGAAATAGCAAAATTATGTTGTACTGTACTATACATTGTATTATAAATTGACTCTAATTTCCTGCTTTTCAAGGAATGAGGTAAATTATTTTGTTTTCATGTTGATGTTTATTTTTCTCTTTGAGTAAAATGCTTGATTATGATTTATATATAGTACTGTACTATACTGTAATGAGGGTCAAATGTTTATTTCATGTAGTGCCTAACAATTTAGACAAAGATTTTATAAAAGGCCTGCAAATGTAATAGTGCAACTAGCAATACCAGAATGTATTAGATGCATAGAAATGATGCATTTGTTGACACAGAAATGATGCATTTGTTGACACAGAAATGATGCATTTGTTGACACAGAAATGAGATGCTGAAGTCATCAACCAGCATCAGACAGCTTCAGGAAAACTCATGCTCTTCTATTTTTCAGGTTGTAAGCTGCAATCGAAAAGATACAACTTTAGAAACCGCTATTAATATAAAGGCATACAAGAGAACCAAACGGCAAGGTCTGAGAGAAGCTCGTATTACTGAAAAACTAGAAAAGCAACAGAAATTAGAGGCCGAGCGAAAGAAGCGGCAAAAGCACCAAGAATACCTTAATGCAGTGCTACAGCATGGTAGAGAACTGAAGTATGAATGCCCATTTTTTTATTTAATTTTTTTAGATTTTAGTTGATATACAACTGAGAATTTTCTTACATCCCAAGTACTGTCTGTCTGTTTTGTAGAATAAATACTAAATATTTAATTTTTTATTCCAGGGAGTTCCATCGCCAAAATAATCAGAAGATTAGTAAATTAAATAAGTCTCTCATACTGCACCATATGAATGCTGAGAGAGAGAAGCAAAAGGAACAGGAGCGCATAGAGAAGGAACGGTTGAGGCGCCTCATGCTGGAGGATGAGGAAGGCTATCGTAAATTGATTGATGAAAAGAAAGATAAACGTTTAGCGTACCTTCTCACTCAGACTGACGAGTTTATTGCCAACCTGACAGAGATGGTCAAAGCTCATAAAGAGGATCAGCGACTGAAACATCGAGAAGAGAGGAAGAAAGCTGTGAGTTTTTTTTCAACTTCTTGTATGCAAAAAACAAACAAATGAGGTACAACCTTTAAAAATTAATATAGTATTGTATATCCTGTAATTAGGTATCTTGTAGGGACAGCATAAGGTTTTGTAAAAATAATTTTAAGTTTGTCTTGTTTTAAAATTGGCATTGTGCAAGTTTATGATCTTATTGTTAATGGTTTTTTATATTTTATTTGATATACAACTGAGAGTTTTCTCATTTCCCAAGTACTAAGTCTTTATATTTTGTAGAATAATTACAAAATCTGGCGGCAGACTTTAGAATACTGCAACAAATTATTTGGGAAGGCGAGACCTTAAATATCTCAAAAATGAATAAGTGAGGTTGCACCAAAACATTCTTCATGCATACCCTGATTCCCTGACTTTTTGACTGTAATTTGAGTTTCCTACAGTTCACTTTAGCTGGATGATTTCATCTTGTGCTGCCTAGTAGCACCGTGACCCTGTGGAGGGGCTTGAAAACTTTCTTGTAGCTCCAGTATGTTTACTATCAACCTGCCTGACAACATGAATCGCTTCCATTTAGAGAGCCGGTCGGCCGAGCGGACAGCACGCTGGACTTGTGATCCTGTGGTCCTGGGTTCGATCCCAGGCGCCGGCGAGAAACAATGGGCAGAGTTTCTTTCACCCTATGCCCCTGTTACCTAGCAGTAAAATAGGTACCTGGGTGTTAGTCAGCTGTCACGGGCTGCTTCCTGGGGGTGGAGGCCTGGTCGAGGACCGGGCCGCGGGGACACTAAAAAAGCCCCGAAATCATCTCAAGATAACCTCTCAAGATGATAGAGTGGAATTTTATCATGTGGGCAACCTAGGACATTAGCTTGGTAAAATGGCATGTATATGATTCCTTGAAATACATCTATACATCCTGTCATTGAGAATGTGTTTTATAATATTGAATGAGTAGCTTAGACTGACAATTTTTAAAAAGTTAAAAATAAAAAAGAACTTGAGTTTTAATAAAGATTTGCTATCAACTCGACTGCTATAACAGTTTGGCAAATCAAGTCATCACAGAAATATGGTATGAAACTGATCAGTTGGGTCAGGAAGAAACTCCAAAACTCAATAAAATTATACCAGTGGTTAGGCCATTTTAATCATAACTAGCAATGCCTTTTATTCTAAGCACATTGTCAACTTGTGTATTTACCATTTTTTTATATATTAGCTTATTATGGAGCTAATTGTACATAATTTCCCCAAATCCTATACTGTACTACTGTGTAATTTTACTCCGTACAGCGTGAGGAACGTCGTCGTGCCCGGGAGGCCATTGCTGATAATGGTGAAGAGGGCGACAATCAGAAGCGGCATATTCCTGTTATGGAATCGGCGACCGGAGCCATTGTTTGTGGCTTACAGGCTCCTCTGGAGGAAAATCTTGAAGCATTTTTGACTGCCAATCCTGGCTGGGAAATTCTACCCGAGGAAGATACAGAGTCGTCTGATGAAGATGAATCAAAAGTAGAAAAGGAAAAAGTGAAAGAGCCTGAGTGTAAATATTATTTTATTTTGTTTATTAAGGGCCATATAAGGGGATACAGGTGACCCTTGACTTACATGAAGGTTATGTTCCTGCAACAGCCATGCACATTAACATAATTGTGTAGTAGATGGGAAAATTTTAGTGATAAGTTTCAGAGACCTCCAAAGTTAATTTTTTTTTTTCAAAATGCCTATTTTGCTGCCCACAAAATGTGTGCAACTACAATTTTTTGTTTATGGCAAAATGTCTACACTTTCCAGCACAAATTCAATATATTTTGTATTGAAATTTAGAATGCTTGGAATGGGCATTGATGCATACCGTACATATATACAACCATAATTTAGTAAAACTTAAGAATGTAGCATCGTTTGGAGCCCAACTTACTGCTGAGAATGTAGTAGACTCTAGGATTAGTGTGGCTTGTTTGTGCTAATATCATCTAGGCTATTTTCATCCCATGTAACTCTGAAACTCTCAAATACATTTTGAAATGTAGTTAGCTGTGAATTGTGAGGTGTGTGGTGTTAAAACTGAGGAGATACAGCAGATGAGTGTTTAAAATTTGTAACATTTCTCTGTAGCAACAAGTGAAGAAAAAGTAGAACCGGTCCTAGATGAAGATGGCAATCCCAGGGAGGTGGTGTTCAAGAAGGCCAAGGTGGAGGATGATGAGTACAAAGATGCATCGGGAGAGAAGAACTATTACTCCATAGCTCACACCATTAAGGAAACTGTAACAGAGCAAGCCAAAATGATGGTCAATGGACTTCTCAAAGAATATCAAGTGAAGGTTAGTATAATACTTTAAAAACTGAAACAGAATATAGTACATGTATAATGAACTCATATTCATTAGTTTGATAATATTACCTAGCTCATATTTCAGGCTTTATGACAAATATTTCTCGGTTTCATTTTCTTTTAACATCATCTGAAGTTAGTCGCCTTCAATTTACGTATCTGTATCTTTGATGCTCTGTCTTCTACGGCAACTTTCCTTCTTTGGCAAGGGTCCCTTGGCGACTCCCGTATTCCTTGGCACTGGGAATCCCCTTATGACCCAGACACTTGACAGTCTGCTATATTCTGCACCCTGGATAATATACCTCAGTCCACCACAAGTGAGGCATTGACTGGAACGAAATAAACTATGAATTATCAAGCATTCCTGTGAAACAACACTGTTCTCTCATATTTTAATACAGTGTACAAGCAATCAGTATAGAAGAATATATAATATGAGCTAAATATGTCCCAAGCAGGGAAAGGTCCAACTTAGAAAGAGAACATTGATGACTTTACAGAATGAGGAGGAAGATTTCAGAAACAGTCAGTAGACTACAATTATTCCTACAGAGTGAAGCACACCTTCCCAAAGATAGGTTAAAAAATGTAAACCCTTATACCAAAATGAAGAAATTAAATAATAACAGAAACCCATTCAAGAAATAGAAAACTGAACTACTACTTTACGTATGCAAAGAACACATAATAAACTTCTTGGAAGTCTACTCCCCTTCCTTACAAGAAGAGATACATACACTGAAGGAGATAAAGAAATAGGCAAAATCCTGAAAGAACAATATGAAAATTTGTATCAGTACAATGGACAGACTAATAACGTCATCATCCTGACCCTCATGGAAAAGTAGATATCAGATATTGCAATAAATCCCACAGCCTTCATAAAAGATACAGACAATATGCCCAAGCATTTAGTTCCAGGGCCACATTCCTAGCATTCATTGTTTATAAAGTTCAAAATACCATTAAAACGAACACTGTTTATAATATGGAAGGAAAGCTTCCATATTATACAAGTAACATCCCAAGGATTCGGAAAGTGCAGATATCACACTATCTCACGAGGGAGATAGTAACACTGGAAAAACTACAGATGGTTGCACTGACATTACATATCCTAAACTTTTTGAGTGGGTGCTAAGAAGCCAACCAGACCAACCGGGCTGTGGTGGGTATGTGGGCCTGCGGGCCGCTCCAAGCAACAGCCTGGTGGACCAAACTCTCACAAGTCAAGCCTGGCCTCGGGCCGGGCTTGGAGAGTAGAAGAACTCCCAGAACCCCATCAACCAGGTATATGTGGGCCTGCGGGCTGCTCCAAGCAACAGCCTGGTGGACCAAACTCTCACAAGTCAAGCCTGGCCTCGGGCCGGGCTTGGAGAGTAGAAGAACTCCAAGAACCCCATCAACCAGGTATCAAGTCAACTTGCCAGTTATGTGAAAGAGTGAATTATACAATCCAGGTCAACACAGTTTCAAAGCAGTAAAATCTTGGCTTTTCCAACTACACTACTTGATCACTAGGAAAAATTACAGAGGCATTAAAAGCAAACCAAAATACAGCTGTTGTATATACTGATTATCCAAAAGTGTTTGATACATGTGGCCACGGAGGGAAGGGAACTATCAGGAGAAAGTGCCAAGCCATTATTCCATCACCTTGTACTAATAACCTTTAAAATTAAAGCCAAAGGAATAATAGGTAAAGTAGGGAGGTGGATTTCTATAATTGTCTGATGATTGCAAGGAGTGGTAACAAATTAAGCAAAATCTAGCCTGAGTGTGGAGTAAGGCTTGGTTGCACAAGGTAGGTTGTCACCCTGTGACTCTTGCTCATCCTCATAGCAGACATGGACAGGAATATGTGCCAGTTTTGTGTCGTTCTTTGGTGACAACACCAAAATAAATATGAAAATAGCCTCGGGGAAAGATGTTGATATTTCAAAATATTAAGTCTTCAATGGGTCATGGAAAATGACATTATGTTTAACAGGAAGATCCTGTGTAATGAATCTACTTAATTTTTATGATAGAGCCACGGAGATTTTACAGGAAAGAATATTTATATGGTTGTCATTCTACACTAGAGACCTCTGGCAGTCGTTTGCCATGTAAGGAAAAAATCCTGAATGTCTTAGTTACTTTCCTGTTAATTAAAAAAATATAAACCATTTTGGGGGCATCACCTTCCAGTTAGCCTATGCTCGGAAACATTGATGCTATGCAAATTTTTGATGACTTATTTTGGTCTGCATACAGAACTAATATGTATAAACAGAGCTCATTTAAATTACTTTTCATTGCAGATAATAAGTCATAGTAATGTGGCTGAAAATTGTACACCTTACCTACAAATCTGAAAACCAAGGAATTGACAACATTTTGGTTCTTTATTTTCAAATTTGTGGTTTGCGTAGACTACTTTTCTTTTTCCACGTGATTTCACTTATTCTGAAATATTTAATTAATGGGTAATGACAAGTAACAAAGGAAACCCAATAAATTAAGCTTTTAACTCTCAAATTGTATACTGCCCCTTTCTAAGTGTACATACAAAAACTATAGAATTCTTTCTCATTCTTATATTGTAAAACTTTAGTTGCTGATGTTGGGAAAAAATACAAAAAATTTAAATATTTTAGTTTGTCCATATAAAAAATTCTTTCTCATTTTTATATTGCAAAACTTTTGTTGCTGATGTTAGGAAAAATATAGAATTTATAATTATTTTAGTTTGTCCAAAGTGAGATGAAGAAATATTGATATCACTATCCGAAAAAAAAATTTAAAGTGAATTATTTGTAATAGATTTCTGCTTCTCACAAATGTCTTTCTGGTCTAGAACTACAAAATGAATTTAAATTGTGTTTTCTTAAGTGCCAATGATCTTGTTACTTAAGATGATTCATATATCAATCTCTTTATATGTGGGTTTACTTATGCCAATAACTCCTTACCTTGTGATTCAATTTGTATGTTTAATAATGTATGTGCAAGTATTATTGGGTTTGTTTATCTATCCTTCAGGGTCTTGAGTGGCTTGTGTCCTTGTATAACAATAATCTTAATGGTATCCTGGCTGATGAGATGGGCCTGGGAAAAACTATCCAGACTATTGCACTTCTCACATACTTAATTGAGACCAAGAAGAATAATGGACCATATCTCATCATTGTACCCCTCTCCACCATATCTAATTGGGCTCTTGAGTTTGAAAAATGGGCTCCAACTGTTCAGGTGAGATGGAAGGTGTCTTAATTGACTTACACAATTTATTGTTGGTGTGTATAACAAATTGATTGTGATGGGTTGAGCTGTAAAAATATAGATCTTTTGCCATTATGTTTTTTTAATACAAATTTGTTTAAACTGGGATCTTCAGTTTTGACAAATAGTTTGTTTATAGTCATTATTCCATAATTTATCATCTCTAGTAAAGTATCCTTGTTAGGGGACACCTTTTGGTTCTCTTGTTTTCTGAGCTGACTTACCTTGGTAGTTTTCCAAACTTAAAGAAGTCACCATAATCGACTGTAGCAGAAATGCCTGACTTCTGGGTTACCTTTCTGCCCTCTGGAACAAGTATCCTTCATATTTATCTTGTTCCCTTGAAAATAGGCCGGGTGCTTGGGGGTTATTAAAATTAATCCACTACAGGAGAGAACTGCTTCTCCGGAAATACTCATCCTCAAGGTGTATCCAGGGGACTGATTGAGAAATGTTTCATTATATGCATTATTTCTTAAATGATGTATCATTATTTATTTGTCTCATTATTATTTATTTATTATTATTTCCCTTAGTCTGTCTCCCTACCCCATGAAAGTGGGAAATAGGATAATGTTGATGATGCTTATTATTATAATTAAATATTATTTCAACTCTTAATTAAATGTATATTTTTTCAGGTTGTGACTTACAAAGGGTCACCTCAGGTTCGGCGGATTGTTCAAAGTCAGATGAGAGCCACGAAGCTCAATGTTTTGCTCACCACATATGAATATATTATAAAGGATAAAGCAGTGTTATCCAAGTTGCGATGGAAATACATGATAATCGACGAGGGTCACCGCATGAAGAACCACCATTGCAAACTTACACAGGTACTGTATCTTATTATGCTCAATTATGTACTACACTTGAGAAAGTTCTTCGGTCTTTGCAGATACAAATCCCATAATATTTTAGTCATTATATTTTGGATGTTTATGTATTATTTGCATAATTTTTCCACTAAATGTTCCTGGTGTTCATTGATCACAAGGTGGGCCTTAATTTCCCATTGAAAGTCTAATGGAGGGAAGGTACATTGGGTAATCCTTTCCATATTGATTGTTGTGCCTACTTTCACTGTTATCTTTCTTTGTGCTTTTTTCTCATCTGGAGAAAAGATGAATAGATGTATTCCTGAAATGTAATATAATCCCTGTTGGTAAGACCTGGGCTTGTGCAAGTTCAATTTCTACTTTTCTGCTCCCGTCTCCTTCCACTCATCCCCCATTTACCCTCCCCCCCCCCACTTTCACCATCACACACACACACACATCTTCAAACCACCCAATCTACTCCCACCAACCATATGTCCACTCTACTCTCACCAACCATATGTCCACTCTACTCTCACCACCACCCACCACAAAGGGTTGTGGCAACTCAAGAGAGTTGCCACAATGGACAGAAAGTGGTGTACTAAAATGCTTCAACCTAACTTCACCTAACCTATTGACCACACACAGAAAGTGTGAAGGTTTGTGAATCATTATGATTTATAGTATTCTTTTATTTAGCCATTAGAGATTTTGACATCAAAATTGAGTATATTATATGATAGGATGGTTTGTACCACCAACTATATCCACCTACTATGTACCCACACAGACCCCCACCTGCTGTATGGCTGTGGCCACACAACTACAATCCTTAACCCACTGTGATAAAAAAAAGTTTGACCCTAACTACCTTAACTTGCGATGATTTTGGGGCTTATCATCCCCGCGGCCCGGTCCTTGACCAGGCCTCCTTGTCGAGCTGGTCAATGATGGTATCCCCAGCTCCTGTGTCATTCTGGATGCATCTGGATCCTCAGACGCATCCTGTAATGTGTAGTATGGTATGGTCTTTGGGTAGTGTGGGTGGTGTAGCCATAGGTGTTGGGGGAGTGTATGGCTACACCACCCACACTGCCTTATGGCCACACCATATTTTGCATTATGAGATGTGCCTGACATGGGAGCTGGGGATACCATCCTTGACTAGTTATGATCAATATTTTTTAATCTGTTTGCTATAACATGTTTGTTTCACAGTACTGGCATTGTCACAGAACTGTAAACTTAATGATTCTTCTTATGTTTACAGACACTGAACACATTCTACAATGCACCACATCGCTTATTGCTGACGGGAACACCACTTCAGAACAAGCTGCCGGAGCTATGGGCTCTTCTTAACTTCCTTCTTCCATCCATCTTTAAATCTTGCTCTACATTTGAGCAGTGGTTCAATGCTCCCTTTGCAACTACTGGTGAAAAGGTAAAAATGGTTGTTATTAGTCTAAATAAAATAATTTCAGAATTTAGACTGCAGTATGGACAGGTAAGATATGAACAAGGTTAAAAACTGTCAGACCAGGTCAGAACCTATAACAAATGGTTATAAGCTTTAAAAATAAAACAAGAATATGGAAAAGTAATAGTTTGATACTGGTTATGAGGGGAATAGATTGCCAGTCACCATATTATGTATCTCTCACTGGGAGAGATACATAATAATTTACACATGGAAAATTGTAGAGGGGCTGATCCCAAACCTGCACACAGAAATAACAGCACATGAGACCAGAAGGCATGGCAGGATGTGCAAGATACCCCCGTTGAAGAGCAAAGGTGCAACAGGTACTCTGAGAGAGAACTCTATCAACATCAGAGGCTCGAGACTGTTCAACACACTTCCGCTACACATAAGGGGCATAACTGGCCGACTCCTCAGTGTTCAAGAGAGAACTTGACAAAAATCTCCATAGGATACCTGATGAACCAGGTTGTGACTCATACATCAGGCTGCGAGCAGCCACATCCAACAGCCTGGTTGACCAGTCCAGCAACGAGGAGGCCTAGTCGACGACCGGGTCGCGGGGTCGCTGAGCCCCGGAATCACCTCAAGGTAACCTCAAGGTAAGGTAACCATCATAGAGGCAAATGGTACTGTATAGTTAGTATTAAAAATTGGCTTGAGAGATATAAGAGGGAAAAGGGGTTGTAACTAGATATACAACCCCAGAATGAGCCAACAGTCCTGCTGTGGTGACTTCAACATCTGTTTGTATATGTTAATGAAAAGTTTGTTTTGAAAGTAACCCCTCTTTGTATGTGCTAGGTTTACTTGGCCTTCTTTCCCTCACCATCAATGTCCAATGCTGGCATTGCACTGGTACCAGAATGCTCATATTTCCTGTTGTTCTTCCTCAGTCTCTTTCTGAAGCCCCATACCATGGTGTCTTGCACATATTCTAGGCTATTTTCAATTTATTATGAAGAATAATCAGTTGTCAATTGCAGGATTCTCTGCATGCTCATGAACTGCAGAAGTTTGCAATGCTGAAGGCATTATTCTTTGCTGTGCCTTGTTCTAAAATCAGGGCTTCATGGTTTTGAAGATCAAAAAGTACATTTTTGTCCCAGCAACTCCCTAAGATTTTTGGCTTTCACTGTAAGTTTGTTGTCCAGAAATTACTTTCTTCCTGGTGACCATGTCTTTGGGCAAGGTCTGTGTCCCTAGATATATTTGATCTGAGATGTGGATTATCTCTAGCTAAATCTGAAACCATTATTCTGCACAGGTAAGTTGAATCTACTGTATATGTTTTCACTTTACTATTTCTATCCTTTCAGGGTACTCAAGTACTCAAAGGTAGCAACCACTTGGTCATGCTCAGAAATACTGCTCTGAGTGTAGGTGACATTGTTCTTCCTGAGTTTTGCACTCTGTTGAATCCTTTCTTTCCCTTTTCTGTCCTAATTATTTCTGTGTTCTACAGGGGTTTAGTCGAGGAAAATGTAACGTGAGTATTTAGTGATGGTTTGGATTAGTGGCTGAGCAGGTCAACTAGCAACTTGTACAAAGCTCTTTGGGTGTTTCTGATGTTGAATAGCATTTTGAAATTATTTGAGCATAGTTAATGTATATTCTTGAGATCATTCTACACCCAAAGCCTTATTTTTTAGAATCCTTAATCTTTTCATATACAGTATTGACATATTTCTTCTAGCCTGATGCCACCTCTCCCCACGAAGTAATGAAACAGGGCCATGATGATGAGACTTTCTTTTACTGATTATTTCTGACACTAGAACATTGCGGCCCTTATTCATGTATGTTAAGAGGTTATGATGGTTCAGTATTGCACTGTAGTACAGTACTGTACTTTAAAATTACATGCCCATGAAGTTATGCATGTACTCACAAAACTTTTATATTTATAGGTTGAATTAAATGAAGAAGAAACTATCTTGATCATTCGGCGTCTGCATAAAGTTCTTAGGCCATTTTTACTACGTCGACTCAAGAGAGAAGTTGAGGCCCAATTACCAGACAAGGTAAGAGTATTGTGTTAGTTTCCTGTTATGGTTTAAATCTTTGCTTCCTTATCAGTTGCTCTGTGATTTTGAAGTTTGAATATATTTAGTGAATGTAGTAACTTCTTAGTTGAGAAATTTAAGATGCAATGATCATTTTAGAATTTTTTTAAATCGTTTTCAGGCTTTAGCCATTTATGTTCGCATATCATGCACGTGTAGGCTTAGCTCCTTTTTTTTAAACTAACAAAGTAAAGTAAAGCAAATATTCACACTCCTGCTTTATCACTCCAGTGTCATTATTTTCTGGATGTGTTAACACTATTGGTAGCCCGGTTGGCAACCCGCCGCACACCTCAAGGTAGGCCGAGCGTTGCCCGTGAGCTCACCAATTATAAGGTTTTAATCATTTTTATAACCAGCAGTGGTCTGTTTTGTTTCACTGACCTTGTTAGTGCTTCCCCGGAGGTGGCAGACATGATTAAAATCCACTGATAATTTTATCATAATACTCTCTCTAATGAGGCTCTCTATGCTTTATTAAAGGGGCCAAATTTGACTCGTAGTCCCCTGCAGGCCTGAAAGAATTTGACGACTGTTGGCACCTAGTAGTTAGGCACTGTATTGTGGCATCAGGGAGCCACAAAGAGCATTCCCCAGTGTTTCATTACAGTCAATACTGTTTTTTCTTATGTTCTCCTTAACATTATTATGTACATGTTATTTCATAACCAACTGTTTCCTGCTTTTAAACCAAATGTTTTATGTTAATACTGTACAGTGTTTCTATTCATAACAGTAATTTGCATGTATTGTGTGAGGAAGAATTTACCTATTAAATGTTTTATTTAATTTTTTTCAGGTGGAATACATCATCAAGTGTGAAATGTCGGGTCTACAACATGTTTTATACCGCTCCATGCAGACAAGGGGAGTCATGTTGTGTGCTGAAGATAAGAAAGGTCAGAAGAGTAATACCAAGGCTCTCATGAACACCATTATGCAGCTTCGTAAACTTTGTAACCATCCCTTCATGTTCCAACACATTGAGGAAGCCTATTGCAATCATACTGGATTTGCAGGTGGCATTGTTCAGGGGTAAGTTGCACTAGTTATTTTTTGAAGTAAATTAGTAATAATTTGCAAAATGTGTTGCCAGTTACTAACCGCAGTATATTATAATTTCAACAATTAACACAGTCACCATATATAATAAATGAAGTTAAAATTTATCTTAATATTTATCATTCTTCATTACAGTACTAAAATTATATAACCTATGGCAACTGTATTCGTAAAATTTTTAACATTTAAGGTTGTTGAACTAGCTTGAGAGCCATTTTCTTGAGTCAAATATCTTATACAGATGGTTATTCTTGCAATGTCAATTGCATTAATTCCTTCTATATTTATTCATTCCTGTCACACTGTGGTGTAGATGTTTTGCTGAAGGAACATTTATTCTGCCTTGTAAGTGCTACATGGCCTTCCCGGCTTGGTGCTTTTTTTTGATAATTACTTACTCTGCCTTGTATTGGTTCTGGAAATAACATCCCCCCAATGGCCCAGTTTTGAAGCAGGCCTTCTTGTCTATGACCTTACCATTGAGGCTGCTGCTTCTTGTAGCTTGCAGTCTGATGTATCTTGAGGTTATCTTGAGATGATTTCGGGGCTTTTTTTTTTTAGTGTCCCCGCGGCCCGGTCCTCAACCAGGCCTCCACCCCCAGGAAGCAGCCCGTGACAGCTGACTAACACCCAGGTACCTATTTACTGCTAGGTAACAGGGGCATAGGGTGAAAGAAACTCTACCCATTGTTTCTCGCCGGCGCCTAGGATCGAACCCAGGACCACAGGATCACAAGTCCAGCGTGCTGTCCGCTCGGCCGACCGGCTCCCTATAGGCATCAAGCAGGCAGATGTAGGCATCAAGCCCAGATCCTTGGGATGGCCTCTAGCAATTTATTCACCTAGATTGGATCTTGATCTAGTCCAAAGACCATCTACAATGTACAGCTGTTCATTCGTCTGTGGTTGGCATAGTTACTGATGCTGCATACTTTGTGGCTCCCTTATGGTGGCATTGACGGTCACTTACCCCTATGTCTAGTCTCTGACCACATCTTGTGGTTCTTAACCTGATTAACAAACCACAACAAGAAAGGGAAGGGACAGGGAGCCAGTCGGCCGAGCCGACAGCACGCTGGACTTGTGATCCTGTGGTCCTGGGTTCGATCCCGGTCGCCGGCGAGAAACATTGGGCAGAGTTTCTTTCACCCTATGCCCCTGTTACCTAGCAGTAAAATAGGTACCTGGGTGTTAGTCAGCTGTCACGGGCTGCTTCCTGGGGGTGGAGGCCTGGTCGAGGACCTGGCCGCGGGGACACTAAAAAGCCCCAAAATCATCTCAAGATAACCTCAAGATGACAACGTTTCGGTCTGTCCTGGACCATTCTCAAGTTGATCACAATCGACTTGAGATGTCAACATACATGAGAACGTACCATATGTTCAGGTCAATTACTGCGGTGCCACTCAAAAATGGGAAGTTAATGACACTACTGTATATTCTTTTGTACACATTCTAATTAATATTGCTTTTCATTCCTGGTAGTGTATTGTGTTTATCAAGAATAAAGTCCAGAGTGGAACAAATTACAAATTTTTAAATTTTGTAATTATTTAATTTGTGGAAAATTTTGCAACAATAGAGGGAGACTAAAAGTGTTAGTAAGAAATACAAAGATGTAAAGGATTAAGATATTGGGTGAGAAAGGAGATACTCTTTAATTTATCCATGGTTTGGACATGTGAGCATGATAAATGGTGGGCTTGTAAGGTGAAATTACATCAATGTATCTTAGGGTTCGAACTTAATTGAAACGTTTTACTGTTGCATTGTAGCCCCAGAAGATAATAGTGACTTTTATAAAAATAGATACTCAAAGGTATTTAGTTTTTTAATGTACTGCAGTTACAAATATCTACCCAAGTATATTCTCGCAAAATATGTTACACTTTATTGAGCTTTTGTTACGGTATATTTTTCATTTTTAAGTTGGCATTATCATTTTAAATAAACTCTCACATAAACTTAATATCTAATTTGTGTATATAATTTCTTCTCAGACCAGATCTATACCGTGCATCTGGCAAATTTGAGCTTCTAGACCGGATCTTGCCTAAACTGAAGACCAGTGATCACCGAGTGCTGCTCTTCTGCCAGATGACACAGCTTATGACTATTATGGAGGATTACCTCATGTATAAAGGCTTCAAATACTTGAGACTTGATGGTTTGTTGCATTTAATATAATGTTGCAGTTAATATATTTAAAAAACATGATAGTTACAACATTGTAGTTGGCATTCATATGCGCATGAACAACTATTTTCATGCACATATAAATATTACATATCAACAGAAATTCTTCAACACCTCTTTTTCTAATATTAAAGTTAATTTTTTTATTAAATGGTCTATATAAGTAATTTGTGCAGGCTGTATTGCTATTAGTCGTAAAATGTTTTCAAATTTAATTACGGGTACTTTTTTAAATGATATTACTAAGAGAAACATTTGTGAGTGTTGGTATCCTTACACAGGAAAGGATATGTGAATGTATGCTAACATTGATATCAATACAGTACTTTATCTTAATTTAAGATGTAATTATTTAAGCACTTGAGCATTTTAGAAGAATGTATTGACAAAATAGACCACATACATTTTTTTGCACCTGGTCCACACCATGTTTTGAGGGAGAGGTGTTATAGGTACAGAATTCCTTATTAGTATTTCATTACACATAAATGAAAAAGTTTACATTGGTGAGTTTAAGACAAGATGAAACTTAAAATTGTAGTAGAGTATAAGGGCACAAAATGTGTTTATTTGCAATGTTTTGTTGAAATCTGTAATAATTCAGTCAGAGTCTATATGGAATATCCAAATATTTCATTGAAGGAAGGAGGGTTTTAATTTTGCACATTGAATGTATGAAGTTATTTCAAATATTTTCATGAATATTTTCTTTACTATAATGTACAGTAGACCTATGGTATTTAACATTTTCTAATCTTGGCAGGTATGACTAAATCAGAAGACCGTGGTGAGCTTTTACGTCTATTCAATACATCTAGAGAATATTTCTTGTTCCTGTTGTCGACCCGTGCAGGTGGTTTAGGACTGAACCTCCAGTCTGCCGACACAGTTATCATTTTCGATTCAGATTGGAATCCACACCAGGATCTTCAGGCCCAAGATCGTGCCCATCGTATTGGCCAGAAAAATGAGGTGGGTTTAAATTACGTGCTCGGCTCTTTCAGGTCGTCCATACTGTGAGTGACGACAGTCTGACCTGGGAGGTATTTATCATGGTTTTGTGAGAGTGGCACATACATGAGGGAGCAAGTGAGTGGCTGGCATGGGAAGGAGATTTTTGTCTAAACCCAAAGCCTTATATTTTGTTAAGTCTTGAGCTGTCTTTTCTTACTCTTTTCTTATCTCCTGACTGATACTTCCTCACTCATTGAGTGTGGGTGATAAGTTAATGATACTAAATAATAGTAATTGTTACTGTAGTAATAAAATTAGTAGTAATATTATAATAGTAATATACAGGTAGCATAAAATGTGTTTACAAGTCATCTTACCTGTAAGGTTGTTGTTGTTTAAGATTCGTTACCTGGAACACAGAGTTCCAAGTAGCACGGGCCATGGTGAGCCCGCAGTGGACTTATCTGTAAGGTTAGGTGCTGTATTTGGCTTCTTATGGGTTAAATTGCTATAAATTATTCACTACAGTATATATTTGTTAGAAAGTATTTATTGTTGTGTGATGAATAGTGTACTTCCTTTCACTGCTGGGTTTGAAAATATTCTATAAGATGTCATAAATGGAAATATATAAATATTTCACTACATGCTACTGATAATGGAAAATGAATAAATGAATACAATGACAATAGAAGATATAAGAAGAGAGTATGTTTTTGTGATGGGAATAAAGGGGTTTTTAGACTGTGACTAGAACAGTATGCTGCACAATACTTGATTATTACAGAGGACTTGGCAAGAGTTCAGTAGAAATTAAAATTCATGGAATGAGTATAATTGTAATACTGTAGATTGAAGACATCTGTATAGTGTTGCTTGAGCACTTTTAATAGCATAGGTATATGAGATCAATGAAGAAGTTGATAAGGGTTATAGGTTTAAAGTAGCAGATTTATGGCACACAAAATATTGTTTTGGCAGGTGAGAGTGTTGCGTCTGATGACTGTGAACACCGTTGAAGAACGTATCTTGGCGGCTGCTCGGTATAAACTCAACATGGATGAGAAGGTTATTCAAGCGGGTATGTTTGATCAGAAGTCTACTGGATCTGATCGACGACAGTTCCTTCAGGCTATTCTTTCCAATGACAATGAAGATGATGAAGTAAGTGTTCTTTGGTTTTTATATTCGCATAACTGTTGACTTCAAAATGTATTGCTATCAAAATTTAAGGGTTGAAATTATTAAGTGATGATATACAGGCTATCCTTATATAAAATAGCAGTTACATTCCTAAAAAATGAGGTGTTATCTTGATATGTGTTATGTGAACTGAATAACATATGCAAAAAATACGGTATGGCATTTTCTATTACCTATTGGCTATGCACCTACTATACAAGAAGGTGCTGTACTTGTATCTAACTAGATTAGTTTTACATGTACACTCCAACACTAGTTTTTTTTTATAAAAAATACAAAATAAAATTCTCATTTTCAGGAAGAGGATGAAGCCCCAGACGATGAAACTATTAATCAGATGATTGCTCGTGGAGAAGATGAATTTGAAATCTTTCAGAAAATTGATGACGAAAGAAAGAAGGAATCAACTAGGCCACGTCTTATGGCCGAGGATGAATTACCCGAGTGGATGTTGAGGGAGGAAGATTCAGTAAGTGTTTAAGAAAAGTTAGTGTTTCATTTTGTTGTCTTTTAAAATTTGAAAGAGCACTTATTTATGTACAGTGTTATTTATTCTTACCCAAATTAATGAAAAGGCATTGTTTAGACAGTGAGAAGCATAGATTATAACACAAGTTGGTTGATCACTAGTGGACCGAGAGAGACTCCACTGTTTCTCTGCCACAGTAATGTGACGAGGACGTCTGATGAGTCTCATCATAGTGGAGTGTCAGATCCTTGGCTATGTGAAGGACTGCGAAGCCTTAACTTGGAACAAATAACAGTCCTTTTGTAGTTACTGAACAACTTATTAGTTGTATTTATGATAATGTTCTTTGTCTTTGGAAACTTGAAGCCTCATTGTATTTCTTTGGCCATTTGCTTTTTAAACTGTCATAATGGAGAGAGTGATCCTTTCTTACTGTAAATGTAATAGAAATGCAAAAATAATTTTTAAACTATTTTGTATTGATGGGAAGTGAATAGAAAATGAAGTGCTACACCAAAAATTATAAGCATGTAGATTAATGCTTAAATGGACAAAAACATGCCATCACAGGCATATGTATATATATATATATATATATATATATATATATATATATATATATATATATATATATATATATATATATATGTGTGTGTGTGTGTGTGTGTGTGTGTGTGTGTGTGTGTGTGTGTGTGTGTGTGTGTGAAGATATTTGTGATTGATATCGAAGCTGGTAACAAATGTTAAATAGATGAATGAAAATTTTTTAACAAATTTATTACTGTGCTATAATAAGGCTATGGTTTGAGAGTTGTGTTTCGTTAAACAGTAAGGTCTCTTATTTTACACCAACCTGGAAATCATTAGGCAACAAATATTTATATTATTGGACAAAAGATTTTCAAAGTTTTATCCAACGTTCTTTTGAAATACAGTAATACACAGAAATACATGTTTTTAATCATCGGCGGGTGTTTGTGTCGTCTTCTTTTTCGAGGGACAAACATGGGAATGAAAAATTCAGTTCGTTGTTTAGTGTTATGAATGAACCAGAAATTGATATTGGTAGTTATTTATTTTAACTGTCTTTGAATATCACAGGAAGAGATAGAAGAAGAGGAACCCGAGGAGTTGGGAGATCGTCGGGCTCGTTCTAAGAAGGAAGTAGACTACACGGATAGTTTGACAGAAAAAGAATGGCTTCGTGCTATTGGGGTATGTATTTATCAGTGTCTGACAATTAAGAATCAGTTTTGTAAGTACAACTTTATTGACATTTTTTCTGAATTTCCAAAATCTGAAAATGTTCATTCCATTATTTTAAGATTGTTTAGGTAGGTATATCTATGTGGTGGACTCCATAAAAGCCAGAAGTGTTTGTTTTCACTCTGGCTGGCTGGGGTAATTGGTGAGCTGAACGTAATTCAGTCTTAGAATTATTGAAAAGTAAGATTCTCTTTCTAATACTGTAATACTGAGGTTCAGATGACAATGCTGTGACTATAATTCAAGTGGTACTTTTACGATTTAGGGATTCAATAATTCCAGAAATTATGCCAATTTCCTTCAGTGAGACTTTAGTTGCAACTAGTAATAAAAGTCTGTGCCTGCAATTATAATTATTTTTTTATTCCATGCAGGCTGTTGAAGAGGATGGGAAAGAGGTAAGAGGTAGTTTGTCGCCGTAATTGTGTATCAATCCATGTAGAGTATATTTATAATGCACTTGTAGTTGCCTTACCCACAAGGTAAGGTAGGCCTTTGTATTGCTAATGGGAAAGTTATATTTTTCCTTGTAATTCTGTTCATGATAAACAATGTATCTGTGACAATTTGATTTGCAGTTACCGATAGGTGGGACCTCACACCAGTATCTTACTAAAGATGTAGAAAAAGCATGTGGGACTTATTTACTTAGGGTTAAGGTGTTCAACGTTGATAGTCGAGGAAGTTGAAGGTTCTAACAACTATTAGAACCACAGGTTTAACCACTGGATAGAACCACTGGTTTAACCATGGGATAGAACCACTGGTTTGACCACTGGTTAGAACCACAGGTTTAACCACTGGATAGAACCACAGGTTTAACCACTGGATAGAACCACAGGTTTAACCACTGGATAGAGTCACTGGTTTAACCACTGGATAGAGTCACTGGTTTAACCACTGGATAGAGTCACTGGTTTAACCACAGGTTTAACCACTGGATAGAGTCACGGGTTTAACCACTGGATAGAGTCACTGGTTTAACCACTAGATAGAACCACTGGTTATTGATATCAATGTTTTGAATTGGCTGAAACTGACCAATTAAGTTGGTGTGTCAGCATTCACATTGTCATTTATCTGTGGGTTGTTCTACCGTAGATATGATGAGAGTATTTTGAGATTTGAAGATTGTATGAGAACATTGCAGCAAATAAATGGTGGTGTTATTTCAGTTAACAAATTTTTAATGAGAACAGAAGGGAACAGCAAATAAATAATATTAGTTTAGATTAAACATTTTGTCTGTAAAAAACCACGTTCACTGAAAAAAAATCTTTTGAAGATAATGTAAATGCCAGCCAACACATTGATTTATTATTATACTTGTATTTACTATTTCGTTAGTGCTATAGTTAATATACAGTATATGCAACATAAAAGGAAAACATTTAAAACATAATAAAAACATCACAATTGTATATCTAATGTTGTATTTTGATTAATCTTTTTGGTCAAAATTGACAAAAGTTCATGACACAGGTCCCAGGGTCATTCTGTAATTGCCCTGGCCTACACAGGCCTCATCCCTATACACAGTTCAGCCCACTGAGAGAGATGTACAAGTACTGTAATTACATTTTAAGTATATTACATATTGTATAGAGGGTCAGGATTGATATTTGATAGAATTTTTCATAATATTTTTTGTTTTGAAAGATTCTTGACACAAGGGGCTGGGGATATCGATTCTGATGAGCTACAATCAAAAAAATTGTTTTTAGTTTCTTTGTACTATGAATTATATGTACAGTACTGTACTTAAAAGTTGGACATTTCAGGCTATGGAAGAGGAGGAGGAAGAGGTCACTAGCAATAAGAATAAGAGGGGCTCTAAAGGAAAGAGAAAACGACAAGATGAGATGGATAATGATGACGACCCTAAGCCAAAAAAACGTGGACGTCCTGCTAGGGAAAAACCAGGACCGAAAAATAAAAGGCTAATTCGTCAACTGAAACGTCTCATGGATATAGTTATAAAATACGAAGACAGGTAAGTAAACTTATTTAATTTTTCTGTGTGTAAAAGATGGTGTGGTCTATAACAAATCAGGAGTTTGTTATAGAAATGGACAGTTTGAGATGCATTTATGGTGTTAGGACATACAAAGGCCAGTAAATTGTAAGACCGAGATGGTTTAGTCATACTGAACAAAGGGAGGTAGGAGGAGAAAGGGAAGGCCTAGATGATGATGCTCCATGGTGAGTTTGCTGAGGTAACCACCAAGTGAGACTTCCAGAAGTCCTGTTCCTGCCCCTCCTCCCTACTATTGGGAGTCTCATGGGTCACTTTAGGGAGTCTCGTAGGTCGCTTTTTGGAGGCTCTTGTAGGTGGTTACCTGGCTGGATCCCTTAGTTGCTGGGACTGCCATCTGGTGATAGTGTAGTGTAACTACAGTGCTGTTATGAATTATTTTTCTAAGAGGGCTCCTCAAGTCCAAGGAGTCAAGTAGAAGAACTTGACTCCTGAAGAACTCAAGGAGTAGAAGAACTCCCAAAACCCTCTCTAGGTATGGTGGCTCTCAGGTGCCAGCAACTTGACATAACACCTCCACTTAATTTGAATCACACCAGACCCTTGCGAGTCATTATAAACCTAGGAAACTAGATACCAAAACCTGACCCTTCCTCTGTAGAAGTGCAGGGAGTTGAGGGTACTAGATCACTTAAACCCAAGAAAAAGCCATCAGAAAAGTACAGCAAAAGAAGACAAACAACAGCATGGTAAACACAACACAGAAAAGTGAGACCCTAAATGATCTACCCAGAAGTTAGTGTGTTTGTTTAGTCCTGTAGAGAATTCTATTGCGAACACAATGATACCAAATTGAAAAACCTAGGACGAGAGTTGAAGTAACAAAGTTGAAAAGATTATACACTTTTCAGAATTACCGCGCGCTCCCGCGGAATGTGCAACCCCACCCGGGGTAGTGTGGCGCATGTGTGCTCAGAGCATCAAAGTGTTAAATAGGTATTGATGTTGTTCTCTTTTATTTGTTTTTTAGTGATGGGCGAGTACTGAGTGAACCCTTCATGAAGTTACCATCTCGCCGTGAGCTGCCCGATTACTATGGAATAATTAAGAGACCAATGGATATATGCAAGATCTTATCTAAAATTGAAGAAGGAAGAGTAAGTTATGAGTATACAATTAGTAGAGTTTCATTATATTTTCATTCATTAATTTGAAACATTCAGCACTCACTTATGGTGGTACAGGGACAATCTCTATTGTTATTGGGACATATAGCCAGTGTGGTAGATTCTAGAGCTATATTTTTGCTTGGGGAAAATGTGTTGGACAGACCTTAATGAAACTAATAAGCTCTTACTAAACTAAAAATTCTACATATATGTTCTGATGCTAGAATATACTCTAATACTGTAGTCTTGTTTGTAAACAATACCCTAAGAAGCTCTGCAATAGAGCCAATTATTTATACTGTATATATGTATATATATTTGTATATATATATATGTATATATATATATATATTGGTGTATACTGGCAGCAGGTTTTCTTTCAAACATGTCTCATTGAATATGACCGCATATTCTGTATTTACTATTTTCTGATTTAGGGCTTCTATCCCTCTAACTATTTTCTAAGCATCAGGGCTTAGCTGAAATAGGAGTTCTCCAAAACTCATTTTCGTAATTTTAAGGTGAAGAAAAGAAGTGAATTACTATAGAATGTATTACACTTATTTATACAATTTGCACAACGTTTCGAACCTCCATGGTTCATTCTCAAGTGAAAGGAATTTTCAGGTTTGGTTGATTTTATACCCGCACTGGGTCAGGTGATAAGACAATAAAGGTGAAAACATGGGGGGATACATAAGGGATAAATGTGGGATGAAACATAAGAACATAAGAATAGAGGTAACTGCGGAAGGCTTATTGGCCCATACGAGGCAGCTGCTATCTACATACAAAGATTAATCAAGTGTAATTGGCCTGTTATGTTGAACGGTGTCTTCTGTGTTGGCATCGTTATGTTCTGGTCTTGTCCTTACTCTCATGGTGGGTAGAGTAAATAGTTCCGTGATTTGAGTGTTCATGGTAGGTTGTTCTATTCTTATGTGAATTGCTTCAAGAATTAATTCTTGAAGCCACGCCGCTTGTCCGCGCAGCCCTTCCCTCTCTGGAAGGGGGAGACCTGAAACCTCCACCCCGCTACTCACACCTCCAGTTGATCGATCTGGCACAGTTGTAAACTCTGGCTTTGATTTCTTGGCAGTGTTTCGCCTTAGTAGTGTTCTCTGCGGTATTGTAGTGTGGTGTCCTGGTGTAATTACAGTGTAGTGAGGCTGCATGCTATCTTCCCTAAGTGCCCTGTAAGTACTACCCTTGGGTGCTAGGGTTGCCTTCCATAGTGCCTTCAGGAAACCACTTCGGTAGGGGTTCTTGCTGCTCGGCATTTGCGCCCGCCCTTAGGGCCAGCTGGGGTTTCGTGGCCCTTTGTTTGGCCTTGGGTAGGAAGTGGTCTTGTTGCTGATTGGTGAGCAAGGTGCTACGCAGCTTGACTACCTGCGCGGCAGCCGTGTGCCTGTTCCTTCTGGAGACGTACTTTTGCGGGGTTTTTCTTTTTGTTTTACGTGCTAGGAGGGGGTCTGCCTTGTTTTGGTTATTGGTTCATTTAAGGTTGTTGGTGAGCCTCTTCTAAACCCCGTGTTTGTACACATCGCAGGGGTTCAGTTTTTAACTCATCCCCCCCCCCTTGTTAGCTCTTGAGTTTACCAGCTTTGTAGCACCTTGCCTGGGTTTCCCGTAGCAGTTAGCCTGCGTGCCCTGGAAAACCCAATCGGGGCTCAGTAGACTGATGGACGCGTCTTCAGAGTTCCAGCTCACCTTGTGGGAGTTTGAGTGTTGTTCTGTACCCTTGTCACAGGATGACAGTCAACTCTTTTGCCTCCTTCATGCTACCTGTTGGGGTCGACAATACCTTTGACCCGGAGTCTTGCGAGACGTGTTCTCTGCTCGTGCTCCAATTTACCCGTTCTATTGTCACTGAGGTTCGGGTACAGGTGGCATCCATGTTGCATACTCAGTTTAGGTTGCTGCAACACGCTAGGTTGGTTGCCCACTCAGATTTCCTGAGGCTGCCCTGTTTTGGTTAGGCATTGTTCACCTGTTCCCCTCTTCCCTGCTCCCAACTCCGAAACATTTTAGGGTTTCTGGGTCAGGGTGGGGTTTAGTTGGTGATGAGACTTGGGCGGCTTCGGGGGCTGCCCCATTCGGGTTGGGGACGGAGGCATTCGAGCCTGCTCCTCCTGCTGAGGCTTCTGGATCCTATCATCCCTCCCTCACAATTCCCTCTTCCCCGCCCCCCCTCATCATACACTCTTCACTGTCCATCACCATTCTTATGCTTATAAAAATCGGTTTAACATTTTATATTTGTGTAGATTATAATAATTTTTTGTGCCAGTTATCAGGTTAAATTTGAATTTAGTTTTTCTCTTCCTCTCTCAGTATGAAGACCTGAACGAACTGGAGACTGACTTTATGCTCCTGTGTCGCAATGCCCAAGAGTACAATGAAGAGGCTTCTATCATCTATGAGGATTCCATTGTAATGCAGAGTGTCTTTGTTAATGCTCGCGAGCGTATAGAAACAGAGGCTGATAATCTCCCCGAGGAAGGTTGGTAACTTGGTGTACTTTACAGTTTAGAATATATTCTAACTTGTGTAAACCTGAGACAGGAGTTCCCTCAGCACAGACATCATCATTATGAACAAGCTCGGCCTTTTTTAGTTTTTTTCAGGCATTCAGTGTTGAAAGTTACCAGTTAAAATATGGATAAAGCCTTTTTCTGTTAAACTGAAAGTGGTGTAGGTTGTGTTGGATATATGGCATGTTCACATCTTTAAATTTGTTTGAATATCCTTTATGCAATGTTATAGTTTATTCTCTAGTTTCTACAGATGTTTGATCAGTAGGAATTTGGTATATATTATGATGAAAGTTGGACATGTTTGAAAATGTTCATCACTAAGTGTAGAGAAGAAGATGTAGTTATGTGGTCACTTTACGTGATGTTTGTTTTGAATTATTCCGTTTAATGTAATTTACAAATTCTGTATATTAATATTTCTGCCACAATATTTTGTGTGTGTCTGCAGATGAGGAAGAGGATGAAGAGGAGGAGGAAGAGGAAGACAGTAGAGGAAAGAAGGGGAAGAAAAGTAAGGGAGATAAAAGCAGAGGGAGAAGGAAAAGAGTAAAATATGCCGATGATTCCGATGATGATGATGAGGATGATGATGATGACGATGTGAGTAAGAAAGAACCCGAGTGAAGCATATTGAGTCCTTGTGCTTAGACTTGAAAGCATCTAGGAAATTGAGTGGAACTTACTCAGTTGGTCACGTTGTTATATAATGTCCTGTGCTACTTGTTTATTTTTAAAATACAAAACCATTTGCTAATTCCAGTTTTGTTATTAAGTTTTTTTCTGAGATGACATCAGTTCAATTTACAGAATTGCCAAAACTCTTTAGATATTAAAATTGCTCCCTTCCACTCACAATTCCTGATTGGGACGTTTTAGAAATTTCTTTGTTAATCTGCTCTTAGGTTTTATTGCAAATTATTAATGTTCATGCTATCAGTTCCAACTGTGATTGATGAGCACTTGGTGTTGATTTTGGTTGTCATTATTAATCTTTTCAGCAAGTTGATTTCAAATTCATTTGGTTATTAGACTTTTTTTTATGTATTAGGAGGAAAAAATAAGAAACATTCCAATTTATTAACTGGATCCTTGGTATTTTCTTTCAATATAATACATTTATCCCTTTTTTTCAATTTAATTATTTGAATATCAGAAGACTTTTCCTCATTTTCTGTTAAGTGATTTTCCTTATTTTCACACTTTTTCAGTGATGTGTGACATGAGGTCGGAGATCACAAGAGTCGTTGGAAAGATCTAGTTCAGTGTCACCTTGCTTTCATGTACCTTAAGATGATTAAATTATTAAATAATATATTTTGCCAGAAGTTTTCTTCTAGGGCTGGAATACTTTGTTGTACATTTTTGGTCTAGTCCTTAATCTTGTGTTGTAGAGAGCTGATTCCAGAGATGCGTTCCATAAGGGGCATTGCTGTATTGGGTTATGTGGCTTTGTATGTCGTAAATAGAATATATAACTTCACACTTGACCACGTATTACATTATTGCAGCTATTAAATAAGTATTTTATGATGGATGAGGCAGAATGATTCTGGTGGCAATATGTTCTGATACGTTGTGTATTTTATGCAACATACAAGCGAGTGTTGTAATTGGAAGTTTTGGAGATACAAGTTTGCCGCTGCAAAAAGTAACATAAAGGCAGTTTATGGTTTCGTGCTATTCCCAAGATTGTGGTATTTGAACTGACGATGAGATAAAGTTCATTCTTCTTTTAAACTGATAACAGAATAGAAAATATTCTTGTAGTTTTAATTTTCATTGTCCTCATGCTGTATGGTTTTGTAAATTGTACTGACTCATAGTTGAACAAATATTAATAGAAATTAACTGAGCTAGTAAGAAAATGTCAAAAGCTTTTCCATGACCCAATCCTTTTTCCCTTATCTCTTCATTATATTTTAGTATCTAATAAATACAGATATGGTCAAAAGCACAACTTTGTCCTCATTTTACAGTAGTACAGTATATTCCCCTTCAGATTACAGTATATATGTATGAACCAAAAATGTCTAAATATAAATCTTTGTATTGGTTTTCTTAGTGAATTAAAAAATTCATACTCGTCTGATGTATCATTGGGTCTGGATTTTTGGGTAACCTTTCTAAGCATGATAATAAAAACATGTTTTAAAAATCAGTTTCAGTGTCTTAAAATCAATAAACCAAATATTTGTTGGTGTTGTTATTATCTACTTCAAGAAATTTAATATCATCAAGATGATGATAATATCATGTTAATAATATCTCTAAAAGTCATGAAGGCTGGTGTTTACTTGTGTAGATATCCGATGAAGCCCAAGATTACTTGGAGAAATTTAGCCTCTATTGCCTAGTTACAGCTGACCTAAAGAGCCCCCCCCCCTTCCCCCTCACAGCAATGCCTTTCTATAAATACAAAATAAATAATAATTGTTTTTATAGGGCTATAAAATTTATAACAAAAAAAAAAGTTCTATACAGTACCAAATAATTTGAAAGTAAAATTTTACGGCACATTTTAAATTTTACTTTTATTCTTATGTGAAATGAAATCAAGAACTGCTGGTTAGTATTCATTCTAGTAAAAGCTAGCAAAAAAGCTATTCATCTGCTAGTAAAAGTAGCTTTTAACTTGGCTTAAAGTTTTAAGCTAAAGTAGCTTAAAACTTTTCTTCCATTTTATGGTTATAAACATGATGGTTGCCCTTGGTGACAAATGATTTCCTTCCCATTCCATTAAATCATTTTGTTAAAATGTCCACAAAAATAAGCAACAAAACCACTTTCTCCTTACATGGACAATGCACTTAAACTAAAATAGTGCATCAGACTATCCAATATAATGGAAAGTTTCAGCTCTGGTAAGTGGTCAGATGCAGTGGAAATGGCATCTGGGCAGTCAAGAAATGTTCATTTTATATGGTATTTAATACTAAAAAATTTATTTTGTTTTTTTATAAGATAATCTTTTACAGTGGACCCTTGCTCTAACTGATGGAGTCATACCAGACTCCCATCTGCAGCAAAAACATTAGTTATTTCCAAAGTTTTTTTTTATATTATACAATTTTACACCAAATATTATCTTTTGTATTTGTGCAACCAATGGAATTTGTTTTTGTGCACATTTTGGTGCCAAAATCATTTGGAAAAGATGTGTACATGTGTGTGTTGAGGGGAGGAGGGAGGGTGTACGGAGGCAGGGACGCAGCCCCCCTGGCTTCACTCCATTGTATGCCTTTTCTATTGTCAATTTCCGCTAATCATAACAATCATACTATTGAAATGGAATCCTTCCATTGCTGCTCCTTTATGATTTCAATCCATTCCATTGTCCTACCTTTATGGTAAGACATGTACTGTTTTTGTGTATGGTACAAAAAATGTTGAAAAATAGCAAGAGGGGTTGTACCATTGGAATGTCCCCACACACCAAAGAAGTTAACGCACACAGTCATGCCAATCATTTTGGCCAGGGGAGTGGAGCCTTGTGGAGTGTGTGAACTGCTTGCCATTGGCCACTTTAATTCTCAGAAATTTTAGCCAGATGTATGATGCTTAATTTGGCAAGAAACGGCTTCAAATTGCACCAATAAAAATGAAAATATATTTTGTTCATGGCAATTTAAGGTGTTTTTAAAAAAATTGTTTCATTGATGGCAGTTAAATAAACAGTGATGTGGACAAGTTGCCCCTTAACAGACAATTTTTTCTCTCAAGTTTTTTCTGGCTCTTTGATTAATCTAATTACAGTTGGGAGAATGATTGCTGGAGATTATGCTAAAGTTTTGTCACTGAATCTCATTGTCATATATTTTTTATTGCTAAATAATTTGTACATTGTCTCAAATTTGGTTTAGTAGAGTATATTAACATTATTAGTGTTTTTAAATTAATAAACCAAATATTTGTTGGTGTTGTTATTATCTACTTCAAGAAATTTAAATAAATTCTTGGAATGTCTCACGTTTTTCATTTTGTATTTATTATAAGTTTGATTACATGTCAAGAAAGTCATAAATAATGCTTTTTGGGAAAAATAATTGTTCTCCACATATTAATTATAGTATTGTCTACCTTACAACATTTCCTACAATTTCATTCCAGTTCCAAAGCATTGACAAGATTCTGTTATAATTTAATTGGTAAAATCCTCTCCGTAAATCCCAACCAATAAGCTGAATTTTTCAGTTTTATTGGATATTTCGCATAATGTAAATACTAAAAGTTTTAAAGCAAGTCCCAATGTATCAAGTATACAGGTGTCCCTTGACTTTGTGGTGGGATAAGTTCTGTGATGTACTATATGGATTTAGTTCAGAATACAGTAGGTTCAGTAGTAGGAAAATTAGGATGCCTACCAGGATCAAGAAATTTGTGAACAAAAACAGCACTCAATGTAATAAAACGCCATTTTCTGGACAAAGCCCTGGAGGCTCCGCCCAGAAAAAACAGTATACTGAATATACAGTAATATTATACTGTATTGTAAATAACTAATATGCAAGAAGTGCAAAAGACTGCAATCATTGATAGACAAACTGGGTGATGCAGATGTTATTAATCCTGTTTGATACATTGCCTCCTGATCAGGGGTCAGATTTATGAAGCAGTTACAAACCTGTACATCTTTTCTCAATCTTTGGCAGTTTTGTTTACAATTATTAAACAGTTAATGAGCTCCGAAGCACCAGGAGGCTGCTTATAACAATAACAACAGTTGATCGGGAAGTTTTCATGCATGTAAACTGTTTAATATTAAAATGTAACCAAAGATTTAGGAAAGATGTGCACATCTGTAAGTACAGTACTTACGTAACTGCTTCGTAAATCTGGCTCCAGAACCGAAACTCGTGAGCAGCTGGGTTAAGCTCTGGCACTTTACCTTCAACTCGATATGCTCCTCTCCTAAATCTATTTTTGTCCCCATTTTTTCCTAATGGGTATCTTTTCTTTGTGTGTATTCTATTTTATACTGTAATAAAATGTCATGTTGACACAGTATACAGTACTCTTCAAAAAAAAAAAAAATTGTCTGGTGTAATTTTTTTTTTTTTTTTTTTTTGCGATATATACAAGAGTTGTTACATTCTTGTACAGCCACTAGTACGCGTAGCGTTTCAGGCAAGTCCTTAATCCTATGGTCCCTGGAATACGATCCCCTGCCGCGAAGAATCGTTTTTTCATCCAAGTACACATTTTACTGTTGCGTTAAACAGAGGCTACAGTTAAGGAATTGCGCCCAGTAAATCCTCCCCGGCCAGGATACGAACCCATGAAATAGCGCTCGCGGAACGCCAGGCGAGTGTCTTACCACTACACCACGGAGATTGATAATCTTGTGATATCTCTTCCCTCTAGTCCATTATCCATCTGTATTGCCTGAAGAAGTGTATTTACCTTTTAATAACCTCCTTTTAGAATTTCAAACCCATCTTTTTACCATTAGTTAACTATGTGGCCATTATGATTTAGTGATTACTGGCTCCCAATACAGCCTCAGATTTTATTGTCAATATTTGCCTCAATATAAATGAAAATTAATTCTATGTTGTTGGTGTATCCTCGCTACTCTTCCTTGTTGTCTGTATTCTGTGCTGCTTTATGAAGTACCTATCTGTAATGTGCACCAGTTTCTCCCTCCACTGACTAGCCCCTTGGAAATACAACCCTCATTTAAAATATTTTCTTTTAGCTGCATTTTTTTTTACCTAACTCAATGTATGTTGGTACAGTATATTAAATTTTCAGGAACATGTTCCTTTTTCCTTTGTCCTCTACTCCCCCTTCCTCTAATGATTTTGTTGCTAGGTTTTTATGTACCAATTCACTAATGATGGGGCATGTGTGTTCCATGCTCCATGAAAACATTAAATATCTAAGTTAGAATAAGTGATACACAGCAAGATATCTTTGGCCTGTGTCTTGTTACTGTATCACAACAGATAAAAAATAAATCTGTAATTGAGACTGAAGTTTTGTGTTAAATTGAAAATATCACCATAAAAGTAATCGACTGCAAACACAGACTAATAAATATAGGAAATAAAACTGGTAACTCGTCCACAATCCCCTAGCGACTCTGGAACACAAGGCCATTCTACAGAATATTCCACCTTAGGAAATTACCTCTCTGAATCATACAATACTTAAGTAACTGTAGCTTTATTGTAGCAACATATAAGTAAGCACATGTAATACACTATTACAAAAAGTAACATACTAGGGGTTATAAAGATGGTAAACAAACCACAATCAGCAAACCTGGCAACCCCTGTTAACCATTCACAGGCAACACCCATAGTTGTCCCTGGTGAATATTGACATGCCTCTCCTCCAAGACAAACCAAGTAACATGGACCGTGGAAGCCATCTTACATGGTTCCAAAGTAATACACTTAACCATAAAATGTGACACTTGTAGTGATATTTCATATGAGCTGCGCTAAATTATGCAACCCATCCTGCTAAAATAATAGTTCAGTACTTACAATAATGATTTTGTGGCAGCAAATATTGTATGTTCATGGAGGCTGCCAACTACACTCATTTGTTAATGCTACCAAAGCAACTAGATTTGTTATATTGTTTTGGTGTAATCAACATTTTGATTCTTAAGTTATTTTTCTGTAAGAATTATTTTCAAATTTTTTATATAATTTCATAGGGAGTATTTTTTTTATTTTGTCAAAGCCAGACAAGAGATATGATCTCCATAACATTACTTTGAGCCTATGGGGCACCAATTTACAAAGCACTAACTAGTAAAAATTAAAAAAAAAAAAATGCATTTTTTTGCATTTTTTGTATTTTATTTGGGTGTACAGTAACCATGATTTTCCTGCTGAACAGCATCAATACTCTTTTAGTTCAGTGACTTGTAAAACAACCAAGGACAGTAAATACCAATAAAAGTGAGATCTTAAAGAGCAAGATGACATTTTATTACACAATTTAGTATATTTCTTTTTCAAGCAGATCATTATACATAAATTAAAGTTTTACACAAGATCTTGATCTAGCAAGGCCTAGTCTTGTATATTAGAAGGTTGTTACATTGCAGCACACATTCACATCAGTCCAATATATGTTACTATATAACATTGTCATGATGCACTGCCAATTTACACAAATTACTGATACTGTATAGCCAAAACTAGGAAGGTAAGTAAAAACTTGTAATTTTAGTAACCTCAAATCATTCACTTAACAGTACAGTAGACACAAAAATTATATTTGTGAACAAATCTGCCACTATGAAAATTCAACAGTTAATGAGTTAATGTGTAGATGCCATGTGTGAAAAGCAGGGTAAGCTTTGCTCATTAAAAATATTATACAGTACAGCATTTCTTAACCTGACAAAGAATGGGCTCTATAGCCATTACAAAATAGCCACAGCCACAGCCACTTTTATTCCTACCTTAAATAACTGCAAACCAATATTAATTTCTATCAATAAGAAGATTACAGACTCAGTCTTCATCAGAGTCGTAGCTTGCCTTCTGTTGAGCACGAGCACCTGCATTAACAGCAATAAGAAAATCTTGCTGTTTACCCTCTTTCAACCTTTGTCTGATCAATTCAGCAATGGCCTTGTCAGTCCGCCTTTCTAACTTGTCCAGCTGAGTTTGAATTCCTCGTTTCAAATCAAATGTTATTTTTTTGGGAGCCAGATTCGTGATTTCAACCTGTAAAAAAATTATATCAATTATTAAAATTATGTTACAAAGTTTAAACAAAAATAACTGTACATGTACTATACAATTACATCAAAATTGTATTTTGTTAGTCAAAGGTATCGCTGCCCTCTTGTACAGATCATCCGTCCTACAATACTATTTTGTGGTTAGTCATAATGAGCTTGTGCACTACTTGCCTGGTGGAAACTACCTCAAATGGAACAAGTTTGTTTTGCTATAGAAAATTGCTATATAGCTTGTGTGCTATAGAAAAGTAATTGTGCCTTTGTTGACCAAACCGTCCGTCCTGGACCATTCTCAAGTTGATTGTAACAATCGACTTGATAATGGACCAGGACGGTCCCACCGATAATGGTCCCACCTTAAAACCCTTGCAGAAAACAAGTTATTTCCTGATGCTGATACTCTAAGTCTAATTACTACTAAAGGCTTAACTAATCAACACCAATTGAAAATTGGACAGGGTGGACAGCATATTATTGTCAATTTTACTCTCATATACTGCACATTAATTCATTAAAATACAAACATTTTCCTCACACTTACTGTAAACAGTGCATAGTTGTGAATTTTGTTTCAGTATTCCATTCTTTGTCATTTGGTCCCATCATAGATAAACAATGATAAATACATGTAATTTCTATATTTACCTGAACTTCCTCTTTGGCCCTTTCTCCATCGTCTATCTGTGGTTGAACAATAGTTTCCACATCCTCTGGCTCCACTGCAGGCAGTACTGCCTCTTCCAAGCTTGAAGTTTGTGGCTTGTAGTTTCTATTACAAAACAGATAAAGGCAATCACACAAACATTCTTCATATGTTACAAAAGTCAAAATTATAAATGAACTACTTTAGCTCACGAGTCATTATATTTTCACTACGTTACAGAATGTAATTGCGTAATCTTAATTACCTATTTGTAATTTCAGGAGGATCTAAACTCATGGTATCCAGTCATATTCATATTCTTTATCACATTTAAAAAAAATTGCCAATTGTGTTGTTATCCACTACCTTCCAACAAATTATCTGTATGCCACTCTGGAAACAAAAATAGTTTCTGTATAATATGTTATTTTGGCACCTATGGCTCAAAAGTTGGAATTTATGTTCTCGTGTGTTCAGAGTATAGTACTGTACTGTACTGCAAATTTCAAAATATTCAAGATTGTACATTTCTTTCCCATTCTCATTATACCACATCTTTTTTCCTTCTATCTTCTATTGTTTACACTCTTAGCACCTCCAGCCTATCCTTGTACTGTAGCCAGAAGCCACATGGCAATACGCTTTTCTGACCAATCCTGCTTTAATTATACTGTATGACTTTTGAGGTATGGACTCCAAACCATTGGTTCACATTAGGTCATACCTTGAGGTTATTTTGAGATGATTTCGGGGCTTAGCGTCCCCCACGGCCCAGTCCTTGACCAGGGCTCCTTTTTGTTACACATCCCTAGGAAGCAGCCCATAGCAGCTGTCTAACTTCCAGGTACCTATTTATTGTTAGGCAAACAGAGGCATCAGGATGAAAGAAACTCTGCCCATTTGTTTCCGCTTCCATCGGGGATTGAACCCGGAACCTCAGGATCGGGATTACGAATCCGAAGCTCTGTCCATTCAACGGTCAGGCCCCTAATTAATGTCTCAGGTCTCATTAATGCCATCAACAGTTTAAGCATTTCTGCACACATATGCTGAATACAGCAGCATGGTTTATAAGGAGGAGGAGGAGGAGATAAAATACAAAAGAAGTTACATATACAGACTGTACTGTACTTCAGAACAGCAGAGGCACTTTACAACTCCAATGTAATAAGTACTTGATACTTGTGATAATGAGAAATATGGTACAATTACACAGTAGAAAACATGATCCATCATGAAGTTACAGTAAACCAAAGAGAGTTTACCATAAAACTATCAAATACAAAATAAATTTATCTTGGAAATCACAACCAGTAGGTACATGCTGGATTACAAAAACTTACTAATGACTCAAATTAACCAAACACCACTCACTCACTAACAAGATCCTTCATTGTCCGAGCATGTTTCTACTTTAGGTAAATTGTTCACTAAAGAACGAAATTATTACTGAGGATATTACTGAGAATATTATACGACAGGATGCAGGATGCCTCCTACTGCAGGATGCCTCCTACTACTATTATAAGACAGAAGTGCAATATGTGGACCGTAAACACTTGAATTGTACCTTAAACTGCTAACCTGAAGAGAACTTGGGAGGGTGGGAGCTCGTCCTCCACTTGATCATTGGTCTCGTCATTAGGGTCCTCCTGCTCTCCACGACGTCGTCTCTTCAGAGCCAAAAGTTTCTCCCGTCGCTTCAGGGCGGCATCTTCTAAGGTTCCTACTCTCTCCTCGTCCCGCAGCCCCATAATCTATGACTATGAGGGCGTCTGCCTCCTGCTGTAGTGCACCTCCAAGTTTTCTCTCAGAATCTCTGAGAACTGGAAACTGTTGTTGTTGTTGGCGTCCAAGTCAGCCTCAGACTCCTACCCCCCCAAAAAAGCAAAATATATAATTATTATTTAACATCAATCAATTTAACTTCAATTTAAATTAAATCTTTGTCTAAGTTAAAATGTTAAAACTAATCTAGAGAAGTGAACTGATTCCTTTCTTAAGAGGACAATTTGTAAGCAAATATGTTATCCATAATTGAGGTTGGCTTGCATGTTGACCCTGAACGCTATGCCTGTTAGTGGCTTTACATCAATGTACAAACACCAGTCTTATGTAATCTCACCAACCTATTATACCTTGTTGCATATAAATTATTATTATTATTATTATTATTATTATTATTATTATTATTATTATTATTATTATTATTATTATTATTATTATTATTATTCCACTAATGATAAAACTCATACCTCTTCCATTAATTACAGTTAACTTCCCTAATTACAGTTAACATTCCTTCCAACCTATTGGAGGACGATGAGGTGAGGTGTGGACCAATTATATGGTCTAATATAATCACACCTGCCAGAAACACTGTGTATTAATGGCTTCAGGCACTGTATGTACGCACCTCTATCTAGAAATCCAACATTTCTTGTAACATTTTTAATGTATGTACCTTTACCTGAATAAACATCTTACTTTATTCCGCGGAAAACTAGTATTAATTGTCCGAAACGCTATGCGTGCTAGTGGATGTACAAGAATGTAAGAATTCTTATATATATAAATAAAAAAAATGGGGGTGGTAGGAGAGGAATATCAAAGTGTTGAGCGAGAATCCACAAGGTGTTTTCTGAATACTCTTTATTTTCTTCTCCGAGGCTATGGGTCCCTACACTTGCACTTCTGGTGCAAGTGTAGGGACCTAAAAAAATATATAAAAAAGTTGGTCTCAAAATTCACTGACGAATTGTCTAGTGTACGATATGACTTATATGGGAGGTATGTGTATACCAAGTGACGGTGTTGACAGGTGCATAATAAATGAACTAAAATTATTTATTTATTTATGTAATTATTTATTTATATATAAAAAGGTACATTGAGTTGAAGTTTTATATTCTAACTAAAGTAAACATTAGACTAGAGGCCCCCGTGGCCCGGCCGCCCCCATAGCTGACTCATAACTTATTACTAAGTAGTTTGTATTGGTATTTTAATACCTGTAAACATCTTATAAAGATGAGGTAACGTCTTAAGACGTATAAGCTGTCACCTGTTGAGAGGTATTAGAATAGTGCGCTATCAACATGGTTTATGTAACCTGAGGTGAGCCTTATCTCTCTCTGGTGGATTTACACTTTATTTGACAAGTTATTTAGCAGTTGTTGTTGTTGTTCAAGATTTGCTACCTGGAAGAAAGAGTTGCAAGTAGCACGGGCTATGGTGAGCCCGTAGTCCGTATTCAGCAGTAGTATTTTGTGTTTTCTCTTTGAACACCATATTTGTGAGTGGCGGCCTTTACTGTGAAGCACAACCTTGCCAGATGTTGTCCAAGTTGCCAGCAGTGTAGATGGGAGGTCCTGGGTCATCTTGAGGTCATCTTGAGGTTATCTTGAGATGATTTCGGGGCTTAGCGTCCCCGCGGCCCGGTCCTCAACCAGGCCTCCTTTTTGTTACACATCCACAGGAAGCAGCCTGTGGCAGCTGTCTAACTCCCAGGTACCTATTTACTGCTAGGTGAATAGGTAAATCAGGGTGAAAGAAACTCTGCCTATTTGTTTCCGCCTCCGCCGGGGATCGAACCCGGAACCTTAGGACTGCGAATCCGAAGCGCTGTCCACTCAGCCGTCAGGCCCCCACATGGTGATCATAAGGATAACAAACTCAATTTCCATTGTCATATACAAAATATTACTAAAAAAGATTCTAAAGCAGTAGGCAGTCTATCCAATGTCAGAAACTATGTTCCTTGCCCTGCCCTAATTTTTTTTTATTGTTTCAATTCAATTTCTTTCTTTATTATGCACCCCATACCCATCCCGTGGGCAGTGGTGTAATGGATTACTGATGCACATAATCGGTTTAGGAACTGAACCCTCTAGTTCATTTAGCTAAGCAAATAACAATTGGGGCACACATATTGAGTTACAAACATAATATTCGATTTGCAGATAGAGCTAGTATATACTCTGCCTAAAGTTACTAATATGCACAGCGTTTCAGGCAGGACCTGAATAAACCGCGTGTGATTTCTGATTTCGCCACCTGTGAAATGCTGCATTCAGATGTTTCTTTAGCACCAATTGTGTTTTATTCAAAGGTGAAAGGACCTGTGATGACTAATGCTATATCATCAGCATAGCTTGGCAATTTAACCTCCGTGGTCAGTTAGTCCGTAACCTCATGGTTATCAGTCTCCTTGGTGTAGTGGTAAGACACTCACCTGGCGTTCTGCGAGCGCTTTGTCATGGGGTTCGTATCCTGGCCGGGGAGGATTTACTGGGCGCAAATCCTTAACTGTAGCCTCTGTTTAACTTGACAGTAAAATGGGTACTTGGTTGTAAAAACGATTCTTCGTGGGGATTGTATTCCAGGGACCTGCCCGAAACGCTACGTGTACTAGTGGCTGTACAAGAATGTAACAACTCTTGTATATATATATATATATATATATATATATATAAAAAAAAAAAAAATCTTCTGCAAATGTCGTGGCATCGAGGTTTTCCATTAAGATGTTAAAAAGACTAAGGCTAAGGACCCGCTCTCCTTTCTGACGTCCCATTCTCATGCAATTAGTTTTCTGTCACTTGGCCTTGCAACTTTACTCCAGTGACTTTCTGTGGCATTCCTGTGACTACGATAATCTGGGTTCCATGTTAGCATGTTTCCTCCGACACCATTTTTTGATTAGTGTGAGTAGAATTCCTTTTGTGCTTGCAAGTTTGGATACTTTAACTAGACCATGAAAGATTACTATAACTGAACCTGAGTTAACTGTTCCTAGTAATGTTGCTATGCAGTTGGCAACACCTACTCCTCTAGTGAAGCCAAATATTTACCTGAATTTACCTGAGGACCATTAATACTAGTGACCTCGATGAGGACAGGAAGCTGGTGGCTTGTCAGAGGTTCTGTGGATTGCCTGGAGGATCTTTTATAGTTGTATTTTAAAATCCAATATTGGCATTTACTCTTCAGGACCCGCTTCGGCGGGTAGGCAGTTCCATGGCTATATAACCCTGTGGATGAAAAAGCATCTCCTGTTCTCAGTCCTACATTGTGGCTTGTTGAGCTTGAATTTGTTGCTCCTCGTTCGGGTTACATATAACTTTTTGAAGAAATTGTCTGGATCAACATCGTCAAATTTGTTCAGTGCAGTATTTTAAAGGTTTCGATGAGATCCACCCTATCATGCCTGGTTTGCAGTGTTGTTAGCCCTGTGGACGGCTAGGGCGTTGGCTACACTGTTGAAGTTGTTTGCGCCGATTCTCAAGGAGGTGGTGTTTCTGTTCTTTGCTTTTCACCTCACATGCCGGCAGGCTGTGCTTGCTCTCTTTGGAATCCGCTTGGGCCCTGGCTCTTAGGTTTTTGTCCCTTTTTGTCAGTTGCTATTTGTGGAGACTGCTATCATGCAGTTTCACGGAAGGGTCATGCCAGAGCTTAGGGTTTCACAGGTCGAGGTGGGCCATTGGTGTCAGTTTTTGAGCCAGGACTTCCTTCAGAGCGGGCGTCGTCTGGTCTGTACAATGATCGCTCTGCTCGTCGGCCGGCTTCTCATAAAAGGCGTTGGCCTTTTCGTGGGTCGTCCCGTCAACGAGACGACCCGCCCCATTGATGGGGCAGAGCCTTGCTCTGTTTGCTCATGCCTGGTCCCACGATTTGTGGTCATTTTGTGTCGTATCCTCTGTCCTGTGGTGGCGTTGGGTGGCTCCTCCTCCTTCAGGGGTTTCGAGGTTGGTAGGCCAGCTTCATTTCCTGCGCTTCGTTGGATGATCTCGAAATGGGTGCGCTTGGGAGTGGTCAAAACGACTCCGTCCCTCAGGTGAGTTTCCCACCTGTTTCAGTGTCAAAGTGGGACTGTGCAGATCTGAGGTTCATTCTCAACTTGTCCCGTCTAAACCCCTGGATTTCTTGCCCCTCCTTTTGGATGACTACTCTGTCTCAGGTTCACTTTCTGCTGGAGCCAGGTGCCTGGATGGTGTCCCTGGACCTCTGGGACACGTATTTGCACATTCCCATTCATCCGGGGTTCAGGGACTGGTTAGGTTTTGTGGTGGGGTGTCAGGCTTACCACTTTCATTGCCTACCTTTTGGCTTGAATCTGGCACCTTGCATATTCACTCGTCTTACCGGGTCGTGGTGACCCGTCTGCATCTGTCAGGGGTTCGGGATCTGGCCTACCTCGACGACTGGCTGGTGTGAGCTCCCAGATGGGTCTACTCGCCAGGGGTGTGGTTCTGTCCCAACTTGCCAGGTTCAGGTTCCTGGTGAACTGGAGGAAGTCCCAACTGGTTCCGTCCCGGATTCAGCCCTGGCTGGGTTTTGTTTGGGATTCTCGGACCACTTCCATGTCTACCTCTCTAGAAGCGTTGCTGTGGCTGTGGTCTCACCTTCAGCTGTTTCTAGGGGGTTGCTGGGTCACTCGGTGGTTGCTTGAGCAGTTGTGCGGGAGTCTGACCTTCCCTGTGCTAGTTTACCCACTGGGTCGAGTTTGGCTTTGGTGTTTGTTCTGGTTCCTTTGGGGACGTCCCCTTCTGCCTCTCTCGTGATTGTTGGGTTCGGCCTTCGGTGGCCCTTGCATCGGTTGCTGCATCGCAGGCTTCCTCTTTGGGTTTTTTTGGGTTCAATGCCTTGGCTCCTACCCAAGCCTTCACTCGTTGTGTTCACGGATAAGTCATCTCTCAGCTGGGGCTTTGTGACCAGTGCTCACCAGGCCAACCAGGGGGGGGGGGGTTCATCCTTCTGTCGGGTTTACAGGACGGTGTGGGAGTTTGCGGCACTCTGGATATCACTTTGGAGGATTAGGGTCACTCGGGGTTCGACCGTTCGGCTCTATTCGAACTGTTCCCTGGTGGTTCATTACCTGAACCATGCAGGTTCTTTTCGGTTCTTGCCTCTTTGTGGCTGGTCGCCATGAGTGGTTCGTCTGGTGGTTTCTGTGTGTTTGGCTCTCTGTGGGGTTCATATCCTGGGAGTGTCTCAACTTCCTGGCGGACAGCTTGTCTCGGTTCATTCCCCTGTCCATGGAATGGACGGTCGATGCCAACTCCTTCAGCTGTCTCTGGTGGACGTACGGGGTCCTGGACCTCTTGGCATTGGCTTGGTCGAGGCATCTCCCGATATATGTGGCGCCCTTCCCCGACCGCGGAGCATTCGCGGTGTACGCCTTTTGGCAGGACTGGTCGAGGTGGGGCTACCTGTACCTCTTCCCCCCGGTCCAGCTATTGCTTTGGGTTTGACTCAGTTGGGAGTCTTACCCCGGGAGAGTAGTTTTCTTGGCGTTTCATGATCGGCCCAGCCTTGGTTTCAGGCGCTGCTTGCTTGGTGTCCAAACCCGGGGCATTTAATGTGGCTCTGCCTCTTCCAGCAGATCGTGCTGGTCCGATACATGGCTGGTTCTGTCTTCTCCACTGCTCTTCACTTCTGGTTCTTTTGATGAGGGTTTATCGCCATTTGAATGGTGATCGGTTGGCTTTGTTGATGCTATCCCACCTGAGAGCATTGTCTCGGTGGCATTATGAAGTTTCCTGCCATTCTTTTCGCCCTTTTCTCTCTCTCTTTGTAGGTTGTCTTCTTTTTCTGATCAGGTTATCTTGTCTTTTCAGGACCGTCATTTGGTGCCTAATACTGTTACTTCATATCATGCGGCACTGGCGGAGCTGCTGCAGCTTGCTTTCAGGGTGGATGTCACTTCTGCTCTGTTCTGTAAGCTTTATCGTGCTTTGTTTCATCTCCAGCTTGCTCATGAGCCGTCTTGGTCCTTGGACAGGGGGCTCTCCTATCTCTCTTCTCCTCAGTTCGTGGTGGCCCCTTCGGTTCAAGATTGTTTTTCCAAGGCTTTATTTCTGTTGGCAATGGCCTCCGGGGGTCGGGTCGGTGAGCTTCATGCTCTCCTCCAGCGCAGGGGTTTCTACTCCTTTGGTCCTGGTAGTCGGTTTGTTCGGTTGCAGCCTTCTCCTCCTTTTCTGGCAAAGAACAAGACAGCTGCTTTCCTGAGGGGTCCCTGGGTCATAGATTTTATTTTATTTATTTTTATTTATTTATATATACAGTGGCCCCTCCGTTTACGAATTTAATCCGTTCCTAGAGACGGCTCCTAACCCGAAAATTCACAACCCGAAACAAATTTTCCCATAAGAAATAATGTAAATTGAATTAATCCGTTCCACACTCTCAAAAATATTAACTTCAAAATATATTTCATACATAATGCACATAAATATTTAGTACGATAGTATGTACAAGTTATAACTTACCCTTATTGATAACTCTTGTTGGTGTATGGAAGATGATTTGGAAGGGGGGGGAGAAGGTGTTAGTGTTTGGAAGGGAAATCCCCTTCCATTACAACATCAGGCAGTGATGACTTCTCTGGGGTACACTCTCTCCTACGTTTTGCCTGCATACCACTAGGAACTGGTTGTGGCTCACTGTTTGCTTGTCTTACTAAGAATCTGTCTAAAGACATTTGTTTTTCCCTACATTTTAACACTTGTCTGTAGTGAGACATCACATTGTCATTATTAAAGTCAATGCAACGGCCTGCTAAAGTGTTTTACCTGGGCGAGTCTTTTCAGTAAAACTTTGCGGTTCTTCCCATACTGCACACATTTTCTTAATTAATGAGGAAGGGACATCCTCTACTGCCTCCTCCTCCTCCTCCCCCTGAAGATTTGTTGTACTGCCTATCTAATTCAACAACTCGTGTACCATTTTCATGTTTATGAATGATCTCTTGTTTTTTCTCTATGGTCATCCTCACATGTGTTATCTTAGATTGAACCTTACCACTGACTTTCTTGGGGCCCATGGCATGATATATAATAATTACTTTTATGTTCAGAAACGAAAAAAGCTCTCTCACTCTCCGTCACTCTCCGTCGACCTATACGTGTATCAACAAACTCGTAATTCAAGGCAAAGCTCGTAAACCAATTCAATTTTTACAAAGAAATTTGGCTCATAACCTGAAAAATTCATAAAGAGGGGCATTTGTAAGCCGAGATGTCACTCTATTAAGAGTTCTTAAGGTCTTGTACAACCACTAGCACACATAATGTTTTCGGCAAGTCCTTAATAAAAATATTCCCCATAATACGACCCCGTCAAATCGTTTAACAACCAGGTACACATTTTACTGTTGGGTAAACAGAGGCTACAGTTAAAGATTTGCGACAAGAAAATCCTCCCCGGCAGGATATGAACCCAGGACAAATCGCTCGCGAAATGCCAGGCAATCGTCTTGCCACTGTGCCATGGGGACTGTGCTGGTTGGTCAGGCCGGGGGTGCATCATGTGTTGTGTCCAGTTGCAGCTCTTTGCCATTACCTGCATGACTCGGCTTCTGTGGTCGGGGATGTGCTTAGGGTTGATCCAGTTTCACTCGTTCCCTGTTCCAGGACTTGGGTCTCCCAGGTTGTCCGCGGGGTTAAGTCTAGCCAGCCTGCAGTCTATCCTCGTGCCCATGACATTAGGATGTTGTTGTTGTTGTTGTTAAAGATTCCCTACCTGGAACAAAAAGTCCCAAGTAGTACGGGCTATGGTGAGCCCGTTGATGACATTAGGAGGTTTGCAGCTTTGGCTGCCGTCTTCGGTAATACTGTATGTCTTGGTCTGATATTCAGGTGCGGGGATTTTGGAGGTCGAACAGGGTCCTGGCTGCCCGTTATTTGGTCAACATTCCTGGTCCTGGGTGCTCATGTGTGGCTTATCTCACCTTGAAGTTGAGGAGCTTGTGGTGGCCGCCTCGCGGGTAGGTCCCTCTTTTCCTTATCGTTGGTTATGTAGCTCCAGGGAGCTGAAGGGGCTCCCCACAGAAAACCAGCATTGAATGTAATGAAATGCCATTTTCTGGGTGAGCCCCGGAGGCTCCCTGGCACCCTCCCTCTTTCCTTCTGGTTGGCAGTTTTCGCATTGTATTGATACTTAGCCTCCGAAATGGAATGGGTCGGGCACCACAGCCCGGTTGGTCCGACACTTCTTGAAGAAAATGATCTAGTTTTCTCTTGAAAATGTCCACGGTTGTTCCGGCAATATTTCTTATACTCGCTGGGAGGATGTTGAACAACCGTGGACCTCTGATGTTTATACAGTGTTCTCTGATAGTGCTTATGGCACCCCTGCTCTTCACTGGTTCTATTCTGCATTTCCTTCCACATCGTTCACTCCAGTATGTTGTTATTTTACTGTGTAGATTAGGTACTTGGCCCTCCAGTATTTTCCACGTGTATATTATTTGATATCTCTCTCGTCTCCTTTCTAGTGAGTACATTTGCAGAGCTTTGAGACAATCCAAATAATTTAGATGCTCTATCGTATCTATGTATGCCATATATGTTCTCTGTATTCCCTCTATTTCAGCAATCTCTCCTGCTCTGAAGAGGGAAGTGAGGAATGAGCAGTACTCAAGACAGGACAGTACAAGTGATTTGTATAGTATATCCATTGTGATGGGATCCCTGGATTTGAACGTTCTCGTAGTGGGATCCCTGGATTTGAACGTTCTCGTAGTCCATCCTATCATTTTTCTGGCTGATGCAATATTTGCTTGGCTATGCTCCCTAAAAATTTGATCATCAGACATCATTATTCCCAAAGATACTGTCTCTATTTCTCTCCTCACTCTGAGGTACTCATTCCTGGCCCTCTGGTATCTCTCCCTGCTCTCTGGTGTTCTGTTATTCTTGTAGTTTCTCCATATTTTTGTACTCAATTGCTTTGCTACCTTACATTCCTGATTGAACCATGGCTTCTTCTATTGCTTTTCATTTTTCTCCTTTTGGGCCGGGATAAACCTGTCTGCAGCTTCCTGGCACTTCTGGGTGATGTAGTCCATCATATCTTGTACAGTCTTTTCTCCGAGTTTTGTTACAGTCTTTTCTCCGAGTTTTGTTTCCTCTGGTATTCCTATAGGTAGATCTAGATCCGTGTAATTTGCACACTAATGCATTATCACTACAACACACACTGCTACCATCTGTTGGCTGTAGGATGAAAACTCTCTGTCTAGGAGCTTATCTGGATCATCATTCTGTCTGAAAAATACTGGTTCTCCTATGTGCTAGAAATACTGTAGGGTACTATATTAGGATAATTGTTCCAAGTTCTGATAATACTTTTTGTCTCTCTACAACAGGTGAAAGTGCTGTAATTGTTGACATGTAGCTGCGTAAACTACTTGCTGTCATGTCGAGGCAAAGGCAGCTAGGTGGCATCAACTCGCTAGATATTTTACAAATTAAAGCCTTCAAGTTTCTGAATTGTGAAGGTCGTCAAGCACTATGGTATATTTTCTCCATAGCATGTCAAAAACCAGAGACACAAACTTTGCATGATTATTTTATAAATGAAGTGAAAATGGAAGAAGGTCATTTTATAAGAAGGTTTTTTCCCACGCAACTAAGCAAAATTGAAAGTGATCCAAGTGGGAAGGATTTTGATATTACACTGTTATTTAAGTGTTTGGGACTTCCACTGTCAGGGTTATCCAAATGTGGTAGTGAAGCGTGGTCTTCAGATGATGAAACAAAGTTAGAGTGCCTTATAAGTAAAGTGAAGGATCAACGGAATGACCTGAGTCATATTAAAGAAATTAAATCTCCATCTGAGTTGGAAGAATATGCCACCACGGTGACAGACCTATTATCCAAGACCTACAAATTGGCTGGTGAAAAGTATGATCGTGATCAAGATGAGGTAAACGAGTGTATCTCCGAGATGGAGAAACAAATAGATTTTATTTTACGTGCACCCTTAAAAGTAATAGCTGATGATCATTTGCAGATAATGCTAGACTTAAAAGCGCAGCAGGAAACTTTTGTTCTAAATGCTTCTACAGATCTCAGAAGACTGTACGAGGTAACTTCCAAAATACACCCAGCATCTTTTATGACTCATACAGAATCCTTGCAAGTTCAGAGTGTATACTCGAAAGTGGAGGTTGTGGAAGAGCGGCACAAATACAAGAAAACTTTTGCCATAGACCACGATAGCTTGCTGGAGTTAAGAACATATGATGAGAAAGTGCCATCAGTGATCATAGTGGAAGGTGAGGCAGGCATGGGCAAAACAACACTCATCAAACTTATCCTGGCAGAATGGGCCAACCTTCCTGACAGTCCTAATACAATTCATGGCTTGGACAAATATGAATTAATTCTTCATTCTGAATGCAGAAATCAATCAATATCTACATTTCTTGACTTGCTTAATGTTCTCCTTGGTCAATCATCTCTCCTACTGTCTAAAGAAGAACTGTTACATTCAGTTTTGAGTAAGAAAACTCTAGTACTTCTAGATGGAGTAGATGAATGGAATCAAAACTCAAAGAAACTTTTGCTTGAACTTGTTGATCGTAGAATACCAGAGAGTGGTGACAAGCTCCAGTTGCTATGCACAACTAGACCAGAGAAAGTGGATGAATTGCTGTCTCACCTTAAAGTTTCTTGGGTACACACCAGAATACAAGGAATACATCCAGATAAACAGAATGAATTCATTATCAAATTTATGGAGGTTTTGACTCAACACACCAACATTGATCCAAGAACACCAGTAGATCTTCACACAAAGATCCAGGGATTGAAGAATTTTCTGCAATGCTCTCGGACCAAAATGGGGGAACAGTTCAAACTGCCTCTGAATTTAGCCTTGCTGACCTTCCTTTGGGTTAATAACTCGGAAGATATCAGTATAGTGAAAACAACTACTGAGCTCTATGCAGTATTTCATGATCTTGGGCAGAAGCGCCTTATTCAGCGACTTGTTCACCGTCAAGAAAATAGAAGTAAGAGAGATTGGGAAAATCTATGTAATGGTTTCCTCTGTGTTTTGTATAAGGAGTGTCTAATTGCACTATCCAGAGTTGCCATGCAGATGCCTAAGGAATGCACACAAACAATAGAAACTTATTGTAAACGTGAAGACCTGCCCATTTCAGATTTATTAGAGAACTATATGGAAGTGTACAGAGAGTGGGATGTTTGTGGATACTTAACAGTATTAGCACCTCCTCACAAGAGCAAATTGGAATTCTTTTCTGCACATGGAGTTATTAATGAGATCTGTATAAACCATGATGTTCAGAAAGTTTTAATTGATCTTCAAAACCTACTTGTTTCCCATAATGTATCACAGGATATAATGAAAGACATATTAGAATTTGCCAGTAATAAGCTAAAAAATGAGAACCCTAAAACTATTCGGCATGTGTTGGAGAGCCTTCATTCCACTGAAAATGAACTGGATATAAAACAGTACCAGAATATGCTAATCATGATGGCTGGAATTATGTCCAAGAATCATGAAAATGATCTCCATACATATGGACCTGAACTTCTTGAACTCCTCAAGATGAGTGGACTAAGTAGTCATCAGTTTCTTAATATTGTGGCAGAGACAAAGCATGATAAATTTATTGCTGAATTAGTGGCTAAGAATCTTGATGATAAGGTAAGGACTGTATGTGAGTTATCTTTACTAATTCTGCTAAACTATCCTTTGTCTGTATCCCTAATCCCTTACTCCCTTCCAGGAGCTCCTCGGGGTGGGTGGCACACTGCTAGGGAACTTCTTGGAGAAACTTCAAGTGTAGCCTCTCCATCCTTTAATATATATATATATATATTGCTCAGCACTTCCCTTCCAAGATACTTGCCATCATCTTCTGCTGTGCCATATGATGCAATTATTTCACCCCTATGCACCCTTCACATTAAACAATTCTTGGGCATCAATCTAACATGTATTGTGGTTACTCCCTTCAACCACTCCACTTTCGATTCTTTCACCCCCTTTCACTCATACCACATATCTTATGAATGGTACTGTACTTCCTCATTGCTATACCAATTCCTCATACATCAGCTGCTTAAAAAAAATATTCAATGCCTGCGTAGTACTCTTGAACTGTGCCCTTTTCTATAACCAAGTTTTCCTTATGGATGTCAGAGCCGGCAGTAGTATACTGTTTCTTAACCCTTTCTTAACTCCCATACTAATATTCCTTCATATCATTATGATATTCACCACTTCTCATTACTCTGTTATTTCACCTCCAATTCTTCCATTTTTATCCAACATTGTCCTCAAGTATTTTTAAGTTTAGTACTTTCAATATATCTTCCTCTATTTTGATTGTACAGTTCAAATTATTGTTTTGCCACACTGTAAGGGTATACAAAAATCCATGACATTATATTCCCTCCTCTTGAACACCATTATCTTGCTTTTTTCTTCACTGTTCTTCTGCTGCTCACACTATCACAACTCATTCACAATTTTATGCAATTCCTCTTCACCTTCAACAAAGAATACTGCGGTGATGCCAACAGCAGTTAATCCCAAAAATAATGCGTATATACTTCAGGTGTTGTTGTGTGTCAGTCTAGGATCCTGGTCATGCCCAACCATCTCTGTTCTTAGGTCGGGTAGATGGCTGGTCACGTTTCTTTCAATTGATTTCTCTGTGTTCACCTAGCATTAACCTCCTACCTGCACACCCTAAATTAGGTCCATTTTCTGGCATACTTAAAACAAATACAGTGGTACCTCAGTTTCCGTATTTAATCCGTTCCCAGAGATTGTGCGAAAACCCAAAAATATGAAACTGAAACGAATTTTCCCATAAGAAATAATGTAAATTGAATTAATCTGTTCCATACACCTCCAAATATAGTAACTAAAAATTTGTATACAAAATAATACTCTTAGGTACCTTACCTTTATTGAGAACTCTTGTTGGTGTATGGAAGACAGTGAGGAAGGGGGAGGAGGAGAGGTGTTAGTGTTTGGAAGGGGAGTCCCCTTCCATTATAACAGCAGTGATATATCTGGGGTACTCTCTCTCTTACGTTTTGCAGGTATACCACTAGGACTTGGTTGTGGCTCACTGCTTGCTTGTCCTATTAAGAATCTGTCCATAGACACTTGTTTTTACCCACGTTTTAACACGTGTCTGTAGTGAGACATCACATTGTCTCACTATGAATGATCTCTTGTTTTTCCTTTATTGTCATCCTCACAACAATTTTCTTGTGTTGAACATTACCACTGACTTTCTTGGAACCCATGGCATGATATACAATAAGAACTTTTATGTTCAGAAACCAAAAAAACACAAAAACAATGAAATTCTTCACACAGAATTGAAACGTGATCATCACTAGGTGGGAGACACTACTAAACTGAAGCGCCACGAGCATGTGGACCCGTATATGTATAAACAAACTCAGAAAACCGAGGCAAACAACGAGAACTGATTAAAACTTTTTGAAGAAATTGAGTACGAGAACCAAAAAATACGAAAACCGAGGTTCCACTGTAGTAAAATATATTCTATTTCTATATCATAGAACTTTGATATTTTGTATTTTCTGAGGAAAATACAAACAAAATTCTAATCATTTTAATTTGACCATAGTGAGGTGAAGAAATATTGATAACAATATGTTCAGAGAAATAGTTTTCAAGTTAATTATGTATTTGTAATAAATTTCTCCTCATCAGTAATATCTTTTGTCTATAAAGGTCTTTGAAAATTTTCATGTCCTTAATGGTTCCTAACATGAGTGTCTGTCAGTGGATAATGATGCATTTGACATGGTGCCTATCTTTTTGCTAAGGCCCAGGAATGAAATTAAGGCTTTCAGGATTTTTTCCAATATGGCAAAGGATTTCTAGAAGTCTCTAGTTTTGAATAATATCCATATAGAACCTTTAGGACTTTTGAAAATTATAGGCCACATTTAGTGTCCCCACAGGCGATTGGCGCACCAGTCTCTATTGCTTGAGGGGCAACAGGAGCTGTTTAAGGGTTAAATAAGTACTCAGGGATTAGGAAAGTTTTGTGGGAAGGTCGGTAATTTGACCTCAGAAGACCTCGATGAGCCTAAGTACAGGCTCTCCTTCCTTAGAAACATTTCAACAGGCAAACTGTCAAAATCTGATTTAGTCAGTCACTTTGCTTTCAAAAAACCACCTTATTCTTACTGTATCCTACATTCTGCTATCTCTCTTACACTCAATTTGCAACCACTACATACAACCTTTCCTTGGAGACTAAGTAGACTAGCCTCTCTGTAGTTCACACATTCTTTCCTACTACTATTTTCCTTATAGATACCATAATGGCCTTAGTTCAGTCATCTGGCACTTCACAGTACTGTATATCTAACATTATGTTCATCATCACCTCAACCCATTATACCTCAATATATTCAGTTATGCTGTTTATATCAGTAGCATTGCTCTACTTTAACCTTTTCATAGCTTCTTTAATTATCTCCCTGTGTTTCCTCTTCTGTTCCATCCCAGCCATTCATTGATTCCAAAACATGTTGTCACCTTTTCTTCACTGTTTACTTCCCACTTTTCTTACCATGTCTACATTATCTTTAACTTTTCTATTAAATAATTTTGTATTTAACAAATCTCATTAAATTTTTTTCCAAACTAAATTTTTAATTTTGTCATCCTTAATCATATTGTATATTTTTGGTTTGACTGACCTTTTTGGTTTGTATTAGATCTTCCATATGAGTTAAATGGTATTACTCTCTTAAGTTCAGTTATCTTGATCAACTACTGTAGTTACTTTATTATAAAGTTAACTTTTAGTTCCCTTGTGAAAAGAAATGTAAATATACTGCATTATATTTCTAGCAAATCTTTTACAATATTATATAACTCATAATGTGTTCATGTGTTCTCATTTATTTGAGACACTGGAAGTATCAGACGGACACATAGGATCAGCATTGGCAGTTCTACCCCATCTTGCGGAGAGCACAGAAGTTAAAATCAAACTACAGGGTGACCCAAAATACTTGCCTGATATACAAGATCTTCTCTTGTTTGTGGCTTCTCGCTCTTGCATGGTATCACTGATTCTTGAACACCTCCTACACGTGCCAGACACATCTGCTGATCATCTGCTGAAACTCCTTCAAAATAGCAGGTTAGTAAAGAGGCAAGAAAATATTTCAGATGCTTATTGCAATCACACACTAGAAATTGAAGAGACGACGTTTCGGTCCGTCCTGGACCATTATCAAGTCAATTGTGATGAAACAAGGGAGGCAAGGGCATTAAGTGGGCGAGAGAGGTGAAGAGATGGAAATCTTAGAGGAAGATAAGAGCAAGGCGAATTTTCCTCTTAAGATTTCCATCTCCTCACCTCTCTCTCGCCCACTTAATGCCCTTGCCTCCTTTGTTTCATCACAATTGACTTGATAATGGTCTAGGATGGACCTATTCGTCGTCTCTTCAATTTCTAGTGTGTGGTTTGGTCAACATTTTTCAGCCACGTTATTGTGACTCATTATCAGATTATTGCAATCTTTCAGCATACAGTATTTACACTCAAACTACAGAGCATCCTAAAATTATAATACTTCAAGTCTTGTACCAGTAGCATTTGCTTGTGTTAGATTTGTAACATATGTTTATGTAATTACCTAAGTGTAGTTACAGGAGAAGAGCTATGCTCATTGTGTCCCACCTTCCCAGGTCTCTTTGTCGTATCACTTTGAAACTACAGTACTGATGGTTTTGGCCTCCACCACCTTCTGACTGTTCCAACCATCTGCAAGTTTGGGTGACAAGACTCAGAGTTTGTCTGAGTCTTGTGGTTTTAGACTTTTAAACACTAAGACTTAGTGTTGTCTTGTTGCCTAGTCTTAGTAGTTTTTGATGTGTATTCAATAATGGTCTTGGTTACAGTAGTCAGCTGTTGGAAATGTAATGACGTGTTGTGATAGCTGAGACAAGGCCTGGAACAGAGCAGAGAACTTGAGTGAGGCCGGAGGTAGAGAGCTTGGATGCTGGGTGCGTACAGCTAGAATGCAGGACGAGAGCATGTAGTTCCAATGCAGGGCGAGGCCATAGAGCTTTAATGTGGGTCTTCCTTCAGAGAGCTCGAATGTGGGACAAGAGCTGGAGGCTCAAGTATTTATTGCTAGGTAACAGGGGCATTAGGGTGAAAGAAACTTTTTGCCCATTTGTCTCCACCTCCACCGGGGATCGAGCCCGGAACCTCAGGACTACGAATCCGAAACGCTGTCCACTCAGCTGTCAAGCATCCTGACAGTGCTTGAATGTCAGGGTGCTTGAAGATCTGCGATATCTCTACAGCATCTGTCACTGAACTATAATTGGAATTTGACTGATCATGATTCACTGTTGATGGCTTATATTATGCGCTTCTTCTGACTTGTTAAGTCGACCAACATTTTGCAGGTTACCTCTTGCTGGCCTGATTGATCCTGTACCCTTGTGAGGAAATATTAAATCTGACGAAATTGGGGTTGTAACTTAAAAAATTCGTAAGTAGGGCCATTCGTAAGTTGAGGTTCCACTATACTCTGCTTCTTTAATTCTGTTGCTACAGAATTTAATATTAGGAAGAGTACCATGTGTGATGTCAAGAAACATTGATGATATTAGGAGGTATCTTGCTGCAAATGATAGTGAAGCTCAAAGTAAAGGGAAAAAAGTAAAAAGTGTTACACTTATGAAATTATACATAACTGTACATAAATGGTTTAGCCAAGAGGGTTGTGTAGGTCTGAACAGTTGATGGTGATGCCTTTAACACTATCTCATCCTGATAATATTAATGACATCTTAATTAAAATAATTACACCCTAGTTATCTGGAGGACGTCAGTGCCGTCCTAAATAATATTTGTAAAATATTCCATTTATTATCCGATTATTATGCTGTTTGTTTTAAAATGCGCCCCACTGTCTTCCCATTCTCTGTGGCTATACATAATACTTTTGTGTTATACAAGTACTGTACTACACAACTGATACCAAGAAACTCACATTCCTCCAGTTCCATGAAGTAGTCATTTGGTCAATAGTGTACTTTGAGTACTATGTAAGGGTTGGCCTCTTAACCCTTGTGTTGTTAAGGGCTATTTGGCTATTGTCACCCACAGGCACCTAACAAAAAAAAAAATATTTTTTTTTCTTCTAAACCTGTTAATTTATGTTCCCTGATCACGGAGAAGATAATAAAAAAATCATAAGTGGCATATTTTGCCTGCTGTAGGGTGGGGAAGTCTGGCAAAAAAAAAAGAGGCGCTGACTCAGCGTGCATCCGAGGCGGTCTGCTCAGCCCCAGCTGTCAGGCAGAATGGCCACAAAGAGATAATTACCTAATTATTTCAATGTCTCTGATTGATTTTTCTTCGTTTTTATTTTTGCTGTATTATTATTCAATAGTGTGTAGTGTGATATATAATAAAATGTGTGAATCATTGCTGTACTCAAAATTATGGTGTGCATATTATTGATTCAATTATTGTGTTCATAAAACAATAAACAAATACTTTGTCGGTTATTACACTATATACATCGGTTATATATACGTATCTGCATGTTTTGTTCCCCATAACGAACCACTAAGCTGATATTGCGAGTCAAAAAGCAGCGAGGTGTGGCCACCACATCTGCCAGTCAGCCTCTCACCGCCACTCCCTCCCTAAATGACTCCTCACTCGCCCACATCCTCCTCCCACCATACTGTTCTTGCTTTTATTCACTATATACAGACATTGTATATAAGTATCTACATGTTCTGTTCACCATAACTGTTTATCTATGCTGGTATAGTGTCCAAAGAACATAGTGGCCACCCCTACCCCAGCATGATAAATCATACAGATGTTGCCACCTCCCTCACCAAAATGGTTTCTCCCACACTCCTTTTACTGTTATTACAGTATGCACGTTATATATAAGTATCCACATTTGTGTTCACCATAATGAACCAAGTTGGTATGCTGAGTGGCAGTGGCAGCCAGTGGCATCCCGCCACTGGCTGTCACTCCCACCCTCACCTCACCTGACTTACCACCATTCTCCTCCCACCATACTGTTTTTGCTTTTATTCACTATATACATATGTTATATATAAGTATCTGCATGTTTTGTTCACTATAGCGAACAACTAAGCTGGTATAGTGAGTTCGGACAGTAAAAGGTGGACCAAAACGTCATATGATGTGTTGCGCAGTTTAAGGGTTAAAAATGACATCATCATACAGGCTGGTGATGAGGATGACATCATACATGCTGGTGATGAGGATGACATCATACATGCTGGTGATGAGGATGACATCATACATGCTGGTGTGAGGCGGCTCCTCTTCTGAACTTTGTGCTTTACTGTATCATATGGTATTGGTAACATTGTTCTTATATATAAATATTCCTTTAGAGCATTCTATTGAGAAGAATTTGAAACCAAATTGAATGATGTAGCATGAAAATTGAAGTAAGAAAGCTGAAAAAGAGTATAAACATTGCTCGGGCTTCCTTGGGGTGCGTTGCGGTCCGCCCGCCGGGGACGCGAAAGTGTTACGACTGCCAACGGACCAGCTGAGAAGCAGCAGAAGTCAACACAGCAGCAGCCAGCACCAGCAAAGCTGTTGCAAACAACTGAAAACATTGGCTGTATGGGGCATGTGCAGTCAGGATATGTGTTAAATTACAGGCTCAAAGAAACACTGTTTATTTTGCAATTTAAGTTGCAATGATTTTAGTGATAATAGTTTATACTGTATTGTTGTACCCAACATACAGCAGTACTGCACGCTCAATACAGTAATATACTGTACTATGAAATCTGCCCAATTAATATTATACAGTACCTCAGTGCAGTATTCACTGTATTCACAACTCAAGAGAATTCAGGCTAGACATTCTCCATTTTAAAGGTAAATAAAACTATGATACAGAGCTTTAGAGTGGTAATATATATATTCTAGTAACAATGTAATTTATTGTGTTTTATAAAAAAAAAATGCATTATGGAAATGTCTACTGAAGTACTCTCTGGGTGCACTGAATCATGGCTGGTCCCATTTACTGTAGTTTGCCAAATGGAGGTGGCACTGTACAGTACTTGGTCAGGCATCTGTTAAGTTCCATAGTATCAGCTGTTGTGCTGTGTGTGCACATCGATAGTGTGTTTAGTACGTATTTATATATGCTTGATAAATCTGTAAACATATATGTAAATCAAACATTTTCAAACGATTTATTAATGCATGAATATGGTGTAAGCAGAAATATATGTAGATAACTGCTGCCTATGCTGTACATTTTGTTTTACACAGGTGTAAATTGCTTCACCTGGAGGGACACCTAAGTTCTAGTGCAGTGATTCCAAACACAGTGGAACAGCTTGACCTCTCTGCTGCTACGGGCTCCTCAAACCCTGCACTTCCTAACTTGGACCACCTATCAAACCTATTCCATTTGGGTATGTCACCTTTGCCTGTCTGCAGGAGAAATAGCATAAGGGAATCTTATTGTTCTCCAACAAACTTGCTGTTTTGCTTCCTTTATTGGGATCTGTAACTCGTAGGTAGATTTTCCTTTTTGCATACAGTAATAGTTCAGTATGCCAAGTGTATAATTTTTACCCAAATTTACCTGAGGTCCTTTATCTATAGTGGTGGTCTCAATAAGGACAGGAAGCTGGTGGCTTGTCAAAAGGTTGGCCATTTGTTACTGCCTAGTTTGTCCTTTCAATATCTTGAATGTGCAAAATTTGCTGTGTAGCCCTTGCATTAAACTCATTTCTGTCTGGTAACTATTCTATGTTTCTTTATCTATTAACTTCTCTTATTATCTCCATAACAAATACATTCAAAACCAAGACAATTAGTATTGTGTAAATATTAACCATGATTTACCAAAAATCCTAATTTCTCTCCTCTTCAATAAATTACTGGAATCTCAAACTTTCTCTGACATACAGTATTTATAAAAGCCAAGTAATGTCAGTAAATGAAGAGATATGAATATATATAGACTAATTTCTTATTTACCGATTTGGATAAATACAGTATTTGAGCAAGTAAAATATAAACACTTATATTCTTATTCCAGAATACATAAAGTTTTAGCCATTATGATCTTAAATCCCAATCGTGGACATACAATGCTATAAGTTGGAGGTTGTTTTGGTCAATGGTATTAAAAGGCTTTCTTAACATTAACTGAACATTTATTAAAATAAGGAAAATAAGTCAATTAACAACTGCACCATAAAAGTTTTGCCAAAAACAAGTGCGCAGTGCAGGGGTTAAGAACATTAAACTTAGGCCTGCTTCGATCAGCCTATGTCCATCCTGTACTCCTGACTAATCCTCCCAACACAATTGTGTGAGGCTAGCCCAAAGCATCTGGTCTCCAAATTTGGACAGAAAAACAGACATTCTCTTTTATAAGGCTCCACCCAAGGGTTAAGCTTGATGTGTGTGTGTGTGTGTTCCATCACATCTATGAGAAATTGTTAATTAAAATATCTAGTAATGGTTTGTTTTAATTCACAGATATCCATATATTACGCGGCGTCATTCCGAAACATTTGCAACCCCTGCCTTCGCTACCTGAGAGATCCAGTGGTATCACTCTTAACTTATATGATGTGGGTGACATGGATGTTGAGTGGGCAAATGAAGTGGTGCGAGCACTGTGTCCTATTAAAAGGTATGTGATCAAGTCACAGTTTCAATATTAAATCCTTAAAATGCAACCATCATCAAAATTGTCACCTCACCTGTGTATAAAATGTAAACAAATTACTGTACGTGTTCTTATGGAATGATATTGAGAAATAATCATTTACTCGTCTTTTTCTCATTAAAAAAAAGTGACTCAGGGTTAAGGATGTAAGATTCCAGTAGTTAGTATGCTACTGATATATTCTCTTGAGTTATCCTTTTGATAAAACACAAGCGTTGAATATAATGAAACACCGATTTTGTGATAAGCCCTGGGGACTCCCAGAAACCTCTGCGCTGGAGGAGAGCATGAAGCTCCCCAACTCAACCCCCAAAGGCCAATGCTAAAAGAAAAAAAGCCTTAGAAAAACAATCTCGAGCAGAAGGGGCCACAACAAATCGAGGAGAAGAGAGAAACGAGAGCACGTGGTCCAATGACCAAGACGGCTCAGGCGGCACATGAGCAGGCCGGAGGTGAAACAACGCACGAGACAGCTCGTGAAACGGGGCAGAAGTAACGTCAACACCAAATGCAAGCTGAAGCGGCTCCGCCAACGCCGCACGATACGAGGCGACAGTATTCGGAATAAAATGACGGTCCTGAAACAACCAAGAGAGAAAGGACAGAACAACCCTATCAGAGACTGAAGTATACCTACCTTGAGGTTACCTTGAGGTGCTTCCGGGGCTTAGTGTCCCCGCGGCCCGGTCGTCGACCAGGCTTCCTGGTTGCTGGACTGATCAACCAAGTGGTTAGACGCGGCTGCTCACAGCCTGACGTATGAGTCACAGCCTGGTTGATCAGGTATCCTTTGGAGGTATCAGGTGTCCTCCGGGACTCACCCAGAAAATAGTGTTTCATTACATTCAACGCTGGTTTTTTTTTATTTTGTTTATTTCCTCATATGCCATATTATATAAGGCAAGATATCCTGTTGTTGTTTCAGCAAAGAGTATGACAGCTTGGTGTTCTGGAGGAGTCAACTGAGTGCTGATGGGTGTAAAACATTAGTGAAGGCTTTGGCAGACCCTCCAAGCATAAAGCTGGAGGACACCCTGAAAGTCTCCTCCAAGACCCTCAATACCACTGATCAAGAGGTCCTGTTAAAACACACCAAGAAAAACTTGAGATGCAAATTTACACTGTAAGTAGCAGTTTCCAGGAATACAAATTTTACACTTATTATCATCTTGGTACATCATCATCACTTAACAGAATCACGTGCATTTCTTCATTATTATCCACCATTCATGATTTCATGTATTCTTTCTGGGAGGGGGTACTCAGTGGCTTACCCAACCCTAAGCAAAGGTCCAGCCATGCCTTAGTGAAATTGCAACAGGCCTCAGCGATCACACTTCTGTTTTAGTGCATTCATCTCACATGGGCTGTGCTCTACATTTTCATTCAGATTGTGCTCCAATGGTTCTGTCTCAACAGGGGCAGCTCAATTCACTTTCTCTCCCTCACTATTAGCTTCTCAGGATTTGGTCCTCTGTGGACTCACCTAGTTGTACTCACCTAGTTGTGCTTGCGGGGGGTTGAGCTTTGTCTCTTTGGTCCCACCTCAACCGTCAATCAACTGGTGTACAGATTCCTGAGCCTACTGGGCTCTATCATACCTACATTTGAAACTGTGTATGGCGTCAGCCTCCACCACATCACTTCCTAGTGCATTCCATTTATTAACTTCTCTGACACTGAAAAAATTCTTTCTAATGTCTCTGTTGTTCATTTGGGTTACTAAGTTTCCACCTGTGTCCCTTTGTTTGTGTTCCTCCCGTGCTAAAGAGTTTGTTTTTTTCCACCCTGTCAATTCCCCTGAGAATTTTGTAGGTGGTCATCATGTCTCCCCTTACTCTTCTGTTTTCCAGGGACGTGAGGCTCAGCTCCTTCAGCCTTTCCTCGTAGCTCATACCTCTCAGTTCCGGGACGAGTTTGGTGGCATACCGCTGAATCTTCTCTAACTTTGTCTTGTGTTTAACTATGTATGGACTCCAGGCAGGAGCTGCATATTCCAGGATTGGTCTGACATAAGTGGTATTCAGGGTCCTGAATGATTCCTTACACAAGTTTCTAAAGGCAGTTCTTATGTTGGCCAACCTAGCATATGCCGCTAATGATATCCTTTTGAGGTGGGCCTTTGAGGAGGTTCGGTGTGATATCAACCCCCAAATCTTTCTCTCTATTTGTCTCTTGCAGGATTTCACCTCCCATATGGTACCTTGTGTTCAGCCTTCTGCTCCTTTCGCCAAATCTCATTACTTTACACTTTCCTGAGTTGAACTTTAGTAACTATTTTCTAAACCATTCCTCCAGTTTGTCCAGGTCATCCTGTAGCTCTGTCTATCTTCATCTGTCTTGATTCTTCTCATAATTTTTGCATCATCAACAAACATTGAGAGGAATGAGTCTATAACCTCTGGAAGATTGTTTACATATATGTATTAGAAACAGGATGGGTCCAAGTACAGGGCCCTGAGGGACACTGCTGGTGACACCTCGCAACTCTGATGTCTTCCCCCCCCCTCTCACAGTTATTCGCTGTTTCCTGTTGCTTAGATACTCCTTTATCCACTGGAGCACCTTCCCTTTTACTCCTGCCTGTTGCTTCAACTTTTGTAACAGCATTTTATGGGGTACTATGTCAAAGGCTTTCTGACAGTCCAAGAAAATGCAGTCTGCCCATCCTTCTTTTTCTTGTCTAATTTTTGTTGCTTGATCATAGAATTCTATTAAACCTGTGAGGCACGATTTACCATCTCTGAACCCAGGCTTTTTGTATGAACTGAACTGAACTCCACACATAAGAGTCACATCAGCCCCTGGAGACCTTAACCCCTTAACTGCGTTGCCTCCAAATATGACACTCCCCCAGTGTGCAGGAAATAAATTCTCTGGAAAAAATACTTTTGATTTTTTAGATGGCGTCTGTTTACAAGAGCCCTGAGGAAGCTGATGTGAACCTCATGTAGCCGCGGGAATTTTGAATAAAACGTGAAAAATACAAATACCCGGAGGCGCGTTGCGCAAACCAGACGTGAGCCTCCAGGCGCATTGCGCAGTTTAAGGGTTAATAACTTTCTGGAGACCAGAGCCAGAACCTGGCCCTCACAGGGAGGCACAGGGAGTAGGGGATTCTCTATGACCACCCTCACTGAAGGAAACATCCAGAAAGTAAGTGAAGCAAAACGGACAACTGCAAGGTTCACAGAGAGAAAGAATGAAGCAGCAAAATACTCTGCAAATTATCTTCTCAGCAGCTACTCTGAACTCGCCTAGTTATTGCTGGCTGCAGTCAGGTGGCAGCACTCTGGGAGCTGCTGATTCACATGTCAGTACTAGCCACTAGCAAACAAGAACTCTGCAGCTGATGACACTCAAGTAGTATGACACTTAATCAGAAAGCTTCAGGGAGCCTTCGGGCTTCACCCACAAAATGGCATTTCATTACATTTAATGCTGTTTTTTTTCTTTTTTCTTTTTAGGTTAAGATGATTGAAGATAAACTCAATTATTTGCTAATGAAGCTCCAAGAGTTCAAGCTGTACCTGATGTGCAAATATTCATGACAATCATCGTTCCTAATTGCCTCAATAGACACAGAACGCCTGCAGCTTGTGAGAGTTCCCAAATTTGTAATGATTGCTGTAGTTCTCTTTTAAACTTAAGTTGTTGTTTCGTTGGTATATTAGTAGTTAGAGCATGCACTCTTTCTATAATTCTTAGACTCACAGTATAGTTAAGTATCTAAAATCCAAAAACCCAAAGAGTAAATTCACCTAAAATACAAATGAACTTAAACAATTTTATAAAAAAATACAAAAATTCTTAGTATTTTTCTTTGAGGGCCACTCAGTAGCTCCTTGATCCTAATCTCTAAAATGAAGTCATGATCATATGTTGATCTCCTGGGCCACTGCAGTCATCATCTTTGCTGATTTTTGTTGTTAAAGTATTGTCCGGGTTTATACCGTTGATGTAAATATGGTTATAATCTATATGAATGCAACGGGGTTAACAAAGGCCCATGAAAAAAATGTGCTATTGTTTTGTAAATGCTTTTTATGTGATAAAGTTTTAATGTAATACAGGTCTGCTGGATTCTGACTGTGGGTTAAGTATTTTTCTTCTTTCTTCTTGTGTTATTCATTCATTTGGACTCCATACTGCCTTGACTTGTGTATACCATGGTTCCAGCAGTGCGTGGATCATTCTTTCACCTCCACCCTTCTCATTCTCCTTGTGAACCACTTGGGCTGTGATACATATGTCAGGCTGTGAGCAGCTGCATCCAACAGCCTGGTTGACCTGGTTGATACCTGGACCAGACCAGCAACCCGGAGGCCTGGTCGGGGATGGGCCACAGTGATGTTGAGCCCCGAAATCATCGCTAGGTAACCGCAAGGTAGGTCCCTGGATCGGTTGCTAATCTTTCTCTCCTCCTCTTGTTTCTCTGTCCCCTTCAGTCCACTTCTTTCTGAAGGGATCCCTGGTGGCTCCTTGAAGATATCTTCCTGAGATTGCTTCACACTAGAAGATCACATCCACTGTGGCTAGTTTTGTTGGCCTACTGCAAACCAGAGCCAGAACCTGGGCCACTCACGGAGCCACAGAGAGCAGGTGACAATCCACCACCTCACCAGAGGAAGCCTGCAGAAAGTCATTGCAGCTTTACAGACAACTATAGGGTTGTCTGTAATGCTGCACTGGGAAGATTGTCTTTCCAATTAATAAATTTAATTGGAAAGACTTGTTGCTAGGCAAGGAAATAAATGAGATGTATGCCAAATTCTGTGAACTATATGATGAAGGTACTAAAAAATGTATACCAAAACAGAGATGCAGAACCAGAAAACAGGAGTGGTTCAGTAGAAATTGTGAGAGGGCAAGAGAGGAAAAGACAAGGAAATGGGTACATTATAGGAAGAGGCCTAACCCTCAAACATACCAGCACTACAAACAAGCAAGAGACAAATACACAGCAGTGAGGAGAGAGGCAGAAAGGATCTTTAAGAAAGCAGTTGCGGGGACAAATGTAAAACAGATCCAGGCCTTTGCTATAATACATTCAAAACAAGCTGCCTATAAAGGATAAAGTCCAGAGAGTGAAATGGGGAACTGGTTCACTGAGAGTGAAAAAGAAGTGTGTGAAACACTAAATGAACAGTTCCAAAGTGTTCATGTAAAATGAGGATTTCAGAGAGCTGGATCTAATGCCAGTTCCAGAAAATACCATAGACTACATAGAGGTGTCTTGAGATAAAGTGGAAAATTTACTGAAGGGGCTAAGAAGAAATAAAGCTGTTGGACCAGACGGTGTTTCACCTTAGGTACTGAAAGAATGTGCAACTGAGCTGAGCATTCCACTTCAATTGATATTCCAGACATGTTTGTCCACAGGAATCTTAGCAGATATTTGGAAAAAGGCAAACATATGCAGACGATGAGTCACAATAATGTGGCTTAAGATATGAAGACCACACACCAGAAAATGAGGAAATGACAACGTACCCTTTGAGGAAGGGTTGACTGTGTCAATCTGGACCTAAAAAAGTTTTTGATAGAGTCCCACACAAGAGGCTGTTTTGGAAACTGATTCAGTCCATCCTGGACCATTATCAAGTCGATTGTGGTGAGACGAGGGAGGCACGAGCATTAAGTAAGGCAAGAGGGAGATGAGGAGGAAATCTTTGAGGAAGGTAAGAGCAAGGCAAAAGGTACAGATAGGATAGGTGTAATAAAGGAGTGTAAGAGGGTAATAATAGGTGTAAGAATGGGAACTTAAGAAAAGAGGGGAGAGAAAAAGAAAAAGGATTGGTAGGCTTACGTTATGTCACGTTTGTTAGAAAGTTTAGAACATTCGAGTATGTACTGTTCTGTGAAAGGGAAGAGTTAACAGCAACAAAGCCAGGACAAAGGTTCATAACATAAGCCTGCCCATCCCTTTTCTTTTTCTTTCCCCTCTTGTTCTTGCGTACCCATTCTTACACCTATTATTACCCCCCACCCCTTACACCCCTTTATTACACTGATCCTATAAGTACCTTTCGCCTTGCTCTTACCTTCCTCAAAGATTTCCTCCTCACCTCTCTAGTACAGCTACCCCTCCTCTGCACTCCAGTGCTTATTTGTCTCCTCATGTAGGCTGGCTTTGTTTCTTACTATGTGGGGCTGGCTGTTTGCTCATTCCGCAGGTGTCTTTGTTCCGGGGCTTGCTATTCTTGCTGGCTCACTGGCTGCATTTACACAAAGTTTGCCATTACCAGTAATTAGGTTCGGGGAGCTATTGAAAAGCCAAAAGATTTTAATCTTAAAGACAACTATAATCACATCACCTACCATGTGATTGATTGGTTGGTGATGTGATTAATCATTAATCACATAATTAAATTAATTAAATAGGTAATTAAACCATTAATTATTTTGACCTTGGTAGTAAAAAATAATTCTTTTATAATGTTTTATAATGCAGTTATTTATATTTTTTGTGGCTCACTGAAGCTATTACACCGATTCAGTCAGTACCTTATTACTAGGTGCCATCAGTGGCAGAGTTCTTATTGATCTACCGGGGACGTTGAGCCAGAACCTGGCCCCCTCTGAAGCGTACAGGGAGCAGTGGCATTATGAGCACCTTACATTTAAAGTAATTTTTGTCTGCCACCACCATGGAAACACCCAGAAAGTCAGTGAAATAAAAGAAACCACTGTATGGTTAAAAATGACACTGCTGCCTCAAAACTGCCAAAAATCTCCCCAAACTATGAAAAGAAACTACTAAAAGTTCATGGGAAGTACATACATACAAGGGGTGATACAGATATTAATGAATTTATAGATAGAGCTAGTACATACAATGCCTAAAGCCACTGGTAATACTGGTGATCTCTCTATAATAAATCAATAATAATAATAATGAACTGCATCTAACTCAAGGGAAAATGGGGAGGGAAAGATTATCTACCTTAACTCTCTCTGTTACAAATAGTGGTAGACTCCTCCTTATGAGGGCAGCTGGGGTCCTTTGCTCACTGGTCAGCTCCTCGTTGAGAAGAGTCCGGTTCGTGGGAGGTCTCTCAGCGACTTGTAGCTTAGCATGTCATCTCCGTGTCTGACTCCTCTCACTGCAGGTCCCTCTTCTGACACTGCAGGCTGACATTGCTCACATCTTCCTCACTCACACCATAAACTCGCTGTCTCTTCCCAATGCGGCACTGTTATGTTTCTTTTAGATTTTACTCAACTGCAGTACCACCTTGTACTCAACTCAACTTTCTTTTTCAAATTACAATGTATTTACAATGTTATCTGTCTATGTGTTTCACCTACACAGACCTTCCCTCCTCATCCTGTTTACTGTTTTCAATTTTCTCACTTATCTGTGCTTTCTCAGGCAGTTGTTATTCTTTCCACTCATTCTTGTTTCTCAGTGCATGTAAGTTGTAGCTGATTCGCTAGTAGGAATATCAAAAGCAAACTTGCATTTAAAATTATTTTGCAGATATTGCAGGTATTCCTTAACACTTTCGCGCTCTCGGCGCTCAAAAAAAAACAATACCCCAGATGCTTTCGGCACTTCGCGCGCCTACGCGGTAAGACCGAAAAGTGTACACTCTTTTGACTGTCCTGACAATAATTGAAGGCGCACGTATTTAAATTTGGTATCACTGTGTTCGCAATGAAATTGTCTATAAGAGCATACCTATAAAATGCCGCCCAAGCATAAGGAGTATCAACACCAAATAAAAACTATGCAGATCACTCGCCGAGAGCGCCAAACAGCAACAAAATGTTTCCACTCTCTTAATGGTTGCGAAGCCTACAGTTGTCCTACATCGCTAATTTTGGTATCATTGGAATCGCAATAAAATTCTCTACACGGACATATGCATATGAATGTTTAATATAGGTAATTGCCCACCCGCAAGAGTGTGTGAAGTGGAGAGTAGTTAGCCGCGAGCGCACTGGCGAAAACACAGGGGGGAAATCATGCTTGGAAAGTTTATACGTTTCCTGACCCTACTTTTCTATGTACGTATTTCTTTTTTATACCAATGTGTTCGCAATAAAATTTTCTATAAGATGAACTGTATAACATTTGTACAAAGCATGTGTAAGAGAAGCGCCAAATATAGAACCACGTCGCTCAGTATGCGTTCGCGGCAGAAGCGAACGCATTGTTTTCGTTCGTTTGATGTTTGTCATGTTTATACTTGTTGAAACATTTTATAATTTGTATGACAGTGATTGCAGTAAAATTCCCTACACAGACATATACATAACACATACAAATATTTCCCACGTGTTGGATATATCAACGGCTAAAGGAAACCCACTGCCACACGCTCGCCACACCCCCAAACATACTTTGTGTATTTTTTTTTTACTCATAGAAGTTTATGTGATATAATATTCATTCTGGTACCAAAACATTCGCAAATAAATTCTCTACAAAACAAAAGTATCCCCATCCATTTCGGTTAAAAAATGGAATTTATAGAAATATTTTTTCGATGGGCGAGAAAAGTAGGCTGTTATGCGGAATTGTAAGAGAAAACAGCGACGAGTTATCTCTAATCTAAAGCGCGAAAGTGTTAAAGAGAATTACTCAAAGACAAGCTAAATACTGTACATGAGAAAATCCTTCAGGAAGTCTTCCTTTAAAAAATTAGTTTTTAGCAGGATAAATGCTTTAAAACAATGTAGATGGATAGTATACAGTAACTTGGTGTTAAGTATTATGTTTATGTCGTACTTTCCTTAGATGCCATTTTGGGGTCGGTATCTGGATGTTGATTTTTCTGATATTCTGTGCCTTATGATATTCCAGATTTTAAACTTCATACCTTATTATTCCTGGTTAATATGTGATAAAAGATGTGATACAATTTTCAGATTTACTGCATCAATTTTGTTGCTGCAGTGTTTCTAACTTGGTGCCTTATATTGTCAGTGCAATGGTTTGAATTTTAAAAAGATTTTATTATATTGTACTGTATATTGTATTATAATAAAGTACACATTTTTACTCGAGGTTATTTTTCTTTCCTCTCAAATTTTTTAATCCAAATCAAATTGTTTAATCATAAGTATCTGGGGGAGCTCCTTCAGGCTTCCTGAAGCTATCACACTGATTCAATGCCAAACTACTAAGTACCATCAGTCGTAGAGTTCTATTGGCCTACTGGGACTACAAGCCAGAATGTAGCCTCCTCAGAGAGGTGCAGGGAGCAGTGGCCTATGAACACTTTTAAATGTAAAGTTAATAAGTTAATCATAATTGCTATCACCAGGTAAGGTATCCAGAAAGTTGTGAAAAAACAGACTACTGTGTGGATAAAACGAAACTACGACCTCAAAAATGCCAAAAGAACTCTCCTAACAATTATAACAACCCACTAAAATTTTGTGACACTAGCACGAGCTAGTTTGTCCTTAATCCTCCCCCCCCCCTCCCCAGGAAGGGGAGAGGGAGGGTGGGACTGGGTCAACCAGCCTGTACAACCCTTCACTTCTATTCTGAGGTCACCTGATGCAGTTCTAGTCACTTCGGCTCCAGTCTCCTTTTGTCAGCTAAGTGGGGTTTGGCCTTTTGAAGCGGGGTTGCCTCGTTGGGCTATCTGAAGCCCACTTGGGCTTCGAGTCCAATTGCATTGCCAGCTGTTTATGTTCAATTCTTTCAGCTATTTAGGTTCGGGCAAACCTGCTATTAGGCTGTTTTTATACTCATTTGCATAGCATGAGCCAGCAGTTTAGTGTGCTTGAAGCTGCATGTGCTCAGGGTTTTCTTCCCTGTGCACTCCTTAAGTGCTGCCCTTGCAGTCAGGGGTGTTCGGGACACATTCTCTTTAGGGGGGTCCCTCACTAGGGGGTGGTTCTCGACGTTCTGGAAGCTGTTGATCTATGACTGTCTTTTCTTGGGTTGGGAATGTTTTTGGCTGTGGGGTGCAGTGGTTTAATTCTTTTGGATAGGTTATGTGGAAATAACAGGCACGTTAATTATCTGCACTAAAACTAATGAGAATTTGGAGCAATTATATTACTAGTAATATAATACTTTCAGTCCTATTCTGTACAGTTCTCGTGAGGTCCCAGCACTTGATTTCACATACATGTATTGGTTTGGGTGTGCTGTGTGGTCGTCTGTTCTACTGTCTGGTTGTGTGCAGTTTTGTAGCTGCAGGTATAATACTGACATGTTTCACCCACTGACGTGTGTTAATTCCAGTCTGCTGCTGTTGTGGGGACTTCTAGGATCTGAATGCCCTGAACCTCTCCACCCATACATATGCTGTTTGCAACTTAAGGTTTTATCTTGGACCTGCCTGTTTACTCTGCCTTGTGTTGCTTTCCTCTGGTATCTCCTTCCCCATCCATCCCCAGTAGTGGCAGTTTCTTTGAGCCTTCTTGGACCTCACCTTCACTGGCATAACCTAGGCTACTCCGTTGTATTTCCTGACTGCACCTATATGTGTCGCCTGCCTCCTGAGACTAGCATCTTCACGGCAGAATTTTATGCAATTTTGTATGCTCACAGTGAACCGCTTTCTCTGCGTGATTCTTCCTTTGTTGTAGACTCTCGCAGTGCCCTCATGGTTCTGGAGTTCTTTAATCCTCCTGTCCATCCTGAGGTCGTCAAAATTCAATATTGGCTGTTTCTTATCTCCAGATTTAAGAGAGTCGAGTTTTGCTGGGTTCCCAATCATATTGGTGTTAACTTAAATGAGTGTGCAGATGCTGCCGTGAAGGCTATCCGCACTTGTCCCATTTCCTGCAAAGATGTTCCTAATTTTGACTTCAACCCAGTTATTTATTCCTCAATCCTTGCTTGTTGGCAGGGTCATTGGTCTTCTGTTCCTGGTGACAAACTGCCTACTCTTAAGGGTAGCATGTCCCCGTGGCCTTCCTCCTACCACTGTAACCAGCAGTAAGAAATGACTCTGGTGAGGTTACGTATTGGCCATACATGTTTTAACTCACGGGCACTTAATGGAGCACCGCCCAGCTCCTTATTGTCCAAACTGCATTGTCCCTTGTACGGTCGTGCATATCCTTGTTGAATGTTCTGACTTCCAGGCTGTGCATGCATCTTGCTTCCCGACCGTCCCTCACGGTCACTGTCCCTCGATAGAATCCTTTGTGAATCGGATACCTTTGATGTTGACCAGACCACACACAGAAGGTGAAGGGACGACAACGTTTCGGTCCGTCCTGGGCCATTCTCAAGTCGATTGACTTGTGAATGTCATTCTCAAGACGTCGTTGTCCCTTCATCTTCTAGTGTGTGGTCTGGTCAACATACTTTAGCCACGTTATTGTGACTCATCGCCTACCTTTGATGTTGTTTGCCTTATGTGCTTTTGTTCTCGTATTGGCATCCTTAGTGATATTTAGCGTCTTTTGAATGTCCCTCACATTTGAAAGTGCTACATAGCCTCCCTGGCTTGGTGCCTTCTTTTGATAATTACGTTACTTTGGTTCAGGAGGAAGCTGGAAAGGAGGGGCAGTTGTTTTCAGCTGACCTGCAGTTCTTCAATCGATTCCTCATCAATCCTTTATTCATAATTAAATTCATACAAACACATATGATGTTTTATTACTTTATTATAAATCATAATGGTTATTTCTCATTTTGAAAAGTTGTTCAAGATTGGACTTTTTTTGGTCTTGAACATATCTTAAATTTGAACATGGCAATCAATGGTAAAAGTAAATCAAAACTCACTGAGAAAATGATCTAGTGTTCATAGTCTCATAATCACTAGAAACTTGGTTGCAAGATCAGAAAGATAAAACTAGGTGAAGACTTTCATGAAGAATAAGATAAAACCACACCAACAACAACACTTAAAACTGAATTTACACTGGTCTGACCTTACCTTGTCTCTATACTACATTTCACTGGCATCTTAAATTATGAGAAAATCCGTAGGAACCATGATGAGGATTCGAACTTATGTGGTGGGTGTTCCCATGCACATGCTCTAGCAACTAGACCACGACATGGTATACTATTACGGATTTTCTCATTGATGTAGTCATGTTAGTGTGATTACTATCTGTACATTGAAAGAGGAGCATCAGAGGTAGAACATTCCTAGACGACAAAGCCAGAGTGCATGGGGTGGGATTGTGTGAAAATCCTGTTTCGGCTTCAGTAGAAGCCTCGGGAAATCCTCGTGTGTTAAGTAGAACTCCAGGGTGCAATCCTTTTACCAAGTCATGGTCTGGTCACTAGATCATGTGCGTGGGAACACCCACCGCATGGGTTCAAACCTTCATTACGGCTCCTACGGATTTTTTCATTGATGCAGTCACATTAGTGTGATTACTCTCTGTATATCTTAAATTATGTTAAAAATCAAAACTTTGTATGACTAGTCCAAAAGAAATGTATGACTTTATTGCATGACCGTATAATTTATAATTAATTTATTGTTTACATTTTACAAGGTACAGGTATTTGTTAAAATACAGGTGTATGCCATGATTTTTTTTTTTTTACCAAATTACAACTGTAGCCTGAATCACTGGACTAAAGAAAGCTATGCCCCTTTAGGAACTGTAGAGAAAGTAAACATTGGTGAAATAACATTAGGTATGTCTTATGTCTTGTGTAAAGATGAATTAAAATGCCCTCACTTCTCTTAAGAGGAGGATATTTATAAACATATTGTTTTAAAGGTGTCTCCCTACTTTTTTGTAATGCCTTTTTTGTAGCATAATAAGTAACAAGTAGGTTTGACTCCAATCACATGATTACTACATTCATCACTTATAATAAGTTAAGACAATCTTTTTTTTGTATAACTATAGCCAGATTGCTTCATGACTGTAGCCCTAACTTTGTATGCTTCTGTCCCCCAAAATAAATTACCTTGTAACCAAAGGTATCATCATAGAATAACTATAATTTAAAGACATAGTATGGTAACTATATCTCTGGGGATTGACTAGCTAGAGTAAGGACACTAATAGTCCTTCAATACACAGGTTTGGGAGTAGAAGAAAGGAGCTTATTATATATGACAATGTCTTGAACCATGTGCACTGCTGCTCTGCATGGCACCACTCACTTCTTGAGCTCATCTGCTCTATCACTCATGGAACATAATCCTGGCAGCAGACTTTAAAACTTATTTTGAAGCCTGATCACCACAAAACAGCCTCAGTAAATTGCAAAGTCTTATAATCATTCATACATACATATGTATATGCTTATAGGCACTTAGTTCTTCTCCCTGTAAGTCACAATAGGATACAAACAGATTCAACAACTGCAATTCTATACATTTTTTTTTTTGACAATTTCTGAAAAATACAGTCTGTCACCAGTCTTAAAAACAGTGATCCCCAGCTACATACACTATGGTTTGCTCTCATGCAAATGGGGTAAAGGCTAGTGGCAGCTCTGAGTAAACATCCGTAGGAATATCATAACTATAGCCACTCACTGGAAGGTAAGTAATGGCAGGCACTGCGGGACGTCTGTTAGTGAGAGTACTTGGCTGGTCGGCACCATTCCTGTGATCAGCCACAGTCTTACCAAGGTCCGGTGAAGATGCGCTCCCATGATCAACCTCAGTGTTACCGGGTTCTAGTGAAGATGCACTCCTGTGATCAGTCACAGTGGTACCAAGTTCTGGTGAAGATGCACTCCTGTGATCAGTCACAATGGTACCAAGTTCTGGTGAAGATGCACTCCTGTGATCAGTCACAGTGGTACCAAGTTCTGGTGAAGATGGACTCTTGTGATCAGTCACAGTGGTACCACGTTCTGATGAAGATGCACTCTTGTGATCAGTTACAGTGGTACCACTTTCTGGTGAATATGCACTCCCGTGATAAATCACAGTGGTACCAAGTTCTGGTGAAGATGCACTCCTGTGATCAACCAAAGAGGTGTTATATTCAAGTGATGATATACCCCCTTGATCAGGCAGAGAAGTACCAAGTTCTTGTGAAGATACACTTGCTATTTTGCTCTGAGAAATAGTTGCTGTATTAGTTTCCACTGTGACTGGTGGCATTTGTGATACAGTTTCACTAGTTTCATTAAAAAATGCAGTTTGAAAGTTGTTTTGTCTTATTTCTGTTTTATGTTTCCTGGGTTGTTCAGGGTTAATTTCCACAGATGTATCAAACGTTACATTGGAAACATACACCGATAAATTGGTTTGAGTTGAATTATTTTCTGCATTATTTGCTACACTTATTGAAATGGTGTCTTCGATTGAGCCTAAAGGAACCTTGGGACTTGTTGAGGTAGAATCATCAGCATTCTTAACTGTATCAAAAGCAGTCATTTCTATACCTGTCTGTTCTGATTCTTGAAGTAAATCTTTATAACTGTGATCTAAAGTTGACTGTGGGGACTCTATTTGCAAATCTGTACTTTCAAAAGTATTATTATTATTAAGTTCAAATGTGGCATTCAGAAAAGAAGTATTTGGCAATTCTGTCTCAGAGTCTTCATAAACATCTTCACGTGCATGTTGTATAATAACATCTAATATCTCCTCGTGTAGTACCTCGGGCGAGGAGATTCGCAACGAGTCATTTATCCTCGGGCCTCGCAGGAAATCTGGAGGAGGGAGAAGTGAGAGAGATTCTGGAGACGCTCCCAGTAGTGTATCTTCACTTAGATCTGGTGGCGACTGGTCCAGCAAGCTCCGTGGTGGCTGGAGGGGTTTAGGTAATGGTCCTATGATGAGGACTGGCCTCTGAGGTGGGATGAAGGGAGATGGTTCAACAGGTCCACTGGTTGTGTGCTGCAGAGCCTCTTTCAAATCAGGTAAACTTTGGGGCTGTGAGACAGGCTGCGGGAGAGGTCCAACCAGCAAAGGGGTGCGAGGAGACATGCTCACAAGGTGGTAGATTTCCATATTCGCTCTGTTGGTTGAGGTAATGGTTATTAACACATGAAACCTGTTCATCTTTGTTCACATTTATTTAAGTACAGTATCTTAAAATGAATATTGAAATGACTTATTATACTGCAGGAAATGAATTATTATATTGCAATGTTACTGACAACAACTAGTGAGCTGAAGTGTTTTAAATGGCTTCAAATCTGCTGTAAAAATTAGTCTTAATAATGAATACATTTTGAACTTTTCAGACTCTTAATTAGTCTGGCAAGTGCACAGTCTGACCAACACTGCTCCCAGTTACCATATTACTCCCATAATACTTTATTTAGCAGGAAGCTTAGGGGTTCTTATCTTGAGGTTATCTTGAGATGATTTCAGGGCTTAGCGTTCCCGCGGCCCGGTCCTCGACCAGGCCTCCTTTTCGTTACACACCCCAAGACAACACCCAAACTGGTCGTCAAGACAACACCCAAACTGGTCGTCAGCACCACACCTGACCTGGTCATCAACACCCCACCTGACCTGGTCACCAACACCACACCTGACCTGGTCACCAACACCACACCTGACCTGGTCATCAACACCACACCTGACCTGGTCATCAACACCCCACCTGACCTGGTCATCAACACCACACCTGACCTGGTCATCAACACCACACCTGACCTGGTCATCAACACCACACCTGACCTGGTCACCAACACCACACCTGACCTGGTCATCAACACCCCACCTGACCTGGTCATCAACACCCCACCTGACCTGGTCATCAACACCCCACCTGACCTGGTCACCAACACCACACCTGACCTGGTCACCAACACCACACCTGACCTGGTCACCAACACCACACCTGACCTGGTCATCAACACCACACCTGACCTGGTCACCAACACCACACCTGACCTGGTCATCAACACCACACCTGACCTGGTCATCAACACCACACCTGACCTGGTCATCAACACCCCACCTGACCTGGTCACCAACACCACACCTGACCTGGTCACCAACACCCCACCTGACCTGGTCACCAACACCCCACCTGACCTGGTCATCAACACCACACCTGACCTGGTCATCAACACCACACCTGACCTGGTCATCAACACCACACCTGACCTGGTCACCAACACCACACCTGACCTGGTCATCAACACCACACCTGTAGGTCTCCCTCTCTCCCACACTTAAATTTCTCATGTCATCATGACAGCTTCCCAGTCACCTCCCATGTGCCTGCTTTCTCAATGACATCATATTAGAAGGTATACCTATAGTCTACCCTAAGTTTGCCTGTAATTACCTAAGTGTAATTACCTAAGTGTAGTTACAGGATGAGAGCTACGCTCGTGGTGTCCCGTCTTCCCAGCACTCTTTGTCATATAACGCTTTGAAACTACTGACGGTCTTGGCCTCCACCACCTTCTCACTTAACTTGTTCCAACCGTCTACCACTCTATTTGCGAAGGTGAATTTTCTTATATTTCTTCGGCATCTGTGTTTAGCTAGTTTAAATCTATGACCTCTTGTTCTTGAAATTCCAGGTCTCAGGAAGTCTTCCCTGTCGATTTTATCAATTCCTGTAACTATTTTGTATGTAGTGATCATATCACCTCTTTTTCTTCTGTCTTCTAGTTTTGGCATATTTAATGCTTCTAACCTCTCCTCGTAGCTCTTGCCCTTCAGTTCTGGGAGCCACTTAGTAGCATGTCTTTGCACCTTTTCCAGTTTGTTGATGTGCTTCTTAAGATATGGGCACCACACAACAGCTGCATATTCTAGCTTTGGCCTAACAAAAGTCATGAACAATTTCTTTAGTATATCGCCATCCATGTATTTAAATGCAATTCTGAAGTTAGAAAGCATAGCATAGGCTCCTTGCACAATATTCTTTATGTGGTCCTCAGGTGATAGTTTTCTATCTAGAACCACTCCTAGATCTCTTTCTTTATCAGAATTCTTTAAAGATTTCTCACATAATATATAGGTTGTGTGGGGTCTATGTTCTCCTATTCCACATTCCATAACATGACATTTATTAACATTAAATTCCATTTGCCAAGTGGTGCTCCATATACTTATTTTGTCCAGGTCTTCTTGAAGGGCATGACAGTCATCTAAATTTCTTATCCTTCCTATTATCTTAGCATCATCAGCAAACATGTTCATATAATTCTGTATACCAACTGGTAGATCATTTATGTACACAATAAACATCACAGGTGCAAGAACTGAACCCTGTGGTACTCCACTTGTGACATTTCTCCATTCTGATACATTGCCTCTGATTACTGCCCTCATTTTTCTATCAGTCAGAAAATTTTTCATCCATGATAGAAGCTTACCTGTCACCCCTCCAATATTTTCCAGTTTCCAGAACAACCTCTTATGTGGAACTCTGTCGAAAGCCTTTTTTAGGTCCAGATAGATGCAGTCAACCCAACCATCTCTTTCCTGTAATATCTCTGTGGCTCGATCATAGAAACTGAGTAAATTCGATACACAGGATCTTCCAGATCGAAAACCATACTGTCTGTCTGATATTATATCATTTCTCTCTAGGTGTTCTACCCATTTAGTTTTGATTAGTTTTTCCAATACTTTCACTATTACACTTGTCAATGATACAGGTCTATAATTGAGGGGGTCTTCCCTGCTGCCACTTTTGTAGATTGGAACTATGTTAGCCTGTTTCCACCCGTCTGCTACGATTCCTGTACACAGGGATGCCTGAAAGATCAGGTGAAGTGGAATGCTGAGCTCAGATGCACATTCTCTCAGAACCCATGGTGAAACGCCATCTGGGCCAGCTGCTTTGTTCTTACCGAGCTCCTTGAGCATTTTTTCCACTTCGTCTCTAGACACCTCTATGTGTTCTATGTTGTTCTCTGGAATTCTTATTGTATCTGGTTCCCTAAAGATTTCATTTTGTACAAACACACTTTGGAACTTTTCGTTTAGTGTTTCACACATTTCCTTTTCATCTTCCGTGAATCTATTTCCCATTTTCAACCTCTGAATATTATCCTTTACCTGCAATTTGTTGTTTATGAATTTATAGAATAGACCTGGTTCTGTTTTACATTTGTCCGCAATCCCTTTTTCAAAATTTCTTTCTGCCTCTCTCCTCACTGCCGTGTAGTTGTTTCTCGCATCTTTGTATCGCTGGTATGTTTGGGGGTTCGGCCTCTTCCTGTATTGATTCCATTTTTGTGTCTTTCGGTCTCTAGCCCTCTCGCAATTTCTATTGAACCAATCCTGTTTCCTAGTTCTGCATCTCTGTTTTGGTATAAATTTTTTTGTGCCTTTATCATATATTTCACAAAACTTGCCATACATCTCATTCACTTCCTTGCCTAGCATCAAGTCTGTCCAATTATACTCACTAAAAAAATTTCTAAGGTCACCATAATGTCCTCTCCTGAAGTCTGGTTTTTCAACTGCTTCAACCTCCTTATTTTCTTCCAGCTTATAACGCATTGCATACTTTATTCCCAAAAAGACATGGTCACTTTTACCCAAGGGAGGAAGGTACTGAATGTCAAATATCTCTTCCTCCTTCCTGGTAAATATCAAATCTAGCATGGAGGGAACGTCCCCTTCCCTCATCCTCGTAGCTTGTTTAACATGTTGATACAAGAATGTTTCCAGGATGAGGTCTACAAATTTACAGGTCCAAAAATCTTCTGTTTTAGCTTCATATGCTTCCCAGTCTATGGATTTCAAGTTGAAGTCACCGACTATCAACAGTCGTGATCTATCGTTATCCGCTCTCGCTATAATCTCTCTCATTATTGTTATAAGACCTTCACGTTTACTATCTAGCTCCTCCTTTGACCATGTGCTGCTTGGCGGTGGACTATATGCATTTATCATCATTAGTTTATCATCCTCATAGCAGATCTCTAGTGCTATTATGTCAACTTCTTGTGGATTGGCAGTCATTATTTCCTTCACCTTTAGGTGTTCTTTTACCAGCACAGCAACGCCACCGCCTTTCCTAATTTTTCTGTCCCGTCTCCAAATTGAGTAGCCCCTTGGGAATATGACCTCATTTAAAATAACATCTTCAAGTTTTGTCTCCGTGAGTGCAACAATGTCTGGTGTCTGCAGCTGTATTACATCACTTAACTCCAGTATCTTCGATCTCACTCCATCTATGTTGGTGTATGCAATCTTCAGGAACTTGTTCCCCCTCTCCTTATTCTTCACTCCCCCTCTCTCTATTGATTTTGTTGGTTTGCCTTTATGTACCACTTTACTGGTTTGCCTACCCCTATCACTTTGTAGAAAAAAGAATTTATTTCTTCTTCATTCCTGCTCTCATTTAAATGTTTTGCCTCGGCGAGGTTCAGTTTCAGCTTCTCTCTATCTTCTTTTGAAAGATCTCGTCTTAACGACCACCCTTTCCCATCCTCATCCCTTTGCAATTTTCTAGCATTCCTTAGTACTTCTTCCATCTGTTTGGCACCGTTTAGGGTGATCCTCAAAGGTCGATCTTTCCCTTTTACGTACCTGCCTATTCTCCTGTAGTCGCACACATTCTCTCTGTTTGTAAGACCTTCCACGAGGCCAACAATTTTATCTACTACTTTAGCTTCTTCTACAGCTCTTTCTGACCTAGATGTTATCGCCTTTTCTTTGCAGCCAAAAATGATCAGGGACTTACTCCGATCAACTGTGTTTTGCACCAACTTCGGGTTAGATGCCAATTCTTTCCTCACTTCTAGCCTAATGTTTGTTTTATCTTGGTTGCTGCAGTGTTTGACTTCCTTTACTGCTTCTTCTATTTTTTCCTTCTCCTTGGCCACTTGTGCATAAGTGAGTTGCATATCTTTCTTGCACTGTTCTATTCCCTGTGTAACTTCCTCCATCTGTGCTGACAAAAGCTGTTTCTCCTGTTGAATTTCCTTGCCTAACCTATTGTAGTCATTTATGTTTAAATTTACTTTAACTTCTTCCAAAGCTATTTTTAAGAGTTTATTTTCTTCTTCCATGGCTTTGCAATTTGTTTCCAATTGATTCTTATCCTTGCGCAAGTCTTTCACTAAACCCTCAAGACATAAAGCTTTGCTATTCAAATGGTCATTACTTTCTTTCAATTTACTAATTATTTCTACATGAGAGTTCACTATAGTATCTAAATTTACCAACTTGTTATGTAGACTACTAATATCAATGCTTTCTTCATTGAATCCCTCAAAATCAAGCTCTGTTTTGTTTTTCCCCTTGCCAGTGGCCATCTTGAATGTTCTTCTCTGCACTGTAAACACTAGGGCAACTTTTTCTCATCCGATTTTTCACTTCCCTTAGCACTTTCCTGTTATCTCACCTATTTTTCAAGAGCACTATACCTTTATGTTCTCTGGGACACCACTCACTACCATCAACCTGTACTACAATACTTAGGATTGTTGAAATATGCTGGAGCTCCTCTGCTGCAAGTGTTGACCCTAGGGGTGTCACCTTTTGAATAATCTGTGTAGACTAGTAGGGTCCCATGTAGGGGGTGTTAGGGTAAATTAGGGCAGTAGCAGTTCTATGTACAGTACTTAGGCTTATTAATAAAGGTTAGGTCTAGTCTTTACATTCATTTAAAACCTTGATATTTTCTGAATATTATGTGACTGTAATTCCCATTGGAGAAATGGAGTACTGTATATCATTACACTCATATATCAGTGGTCATTATACTTGTATATCAGTTTATCATCATGCTCATATATGATAAATAATATTTTGCTCATATATGTGTATTGGTATTAGTGCCTGGACAGGATTCTGGGAGCTCTGGTTTGGTTAGCTTTTCTGACTGCTGCACCCACCTGTTGTGCAACTTTTAATGAGTGGTGGATTTTGACTCCAAGATCCTTTTCTTCATCAGTCTGCTGTAATGTAATGCTATTAATTTGGTAGCTGTGGCATGGGTTGTTATGCCCCACATGCAAGGTCTTGCATTTGTCGATATTATAAAGCATTTGCCAATCTTCTGACCATTTGTGGAGTTCATTTAGATCTCTTTGTAAGGCTTCAGTATCATTATAATTTCCCATTCTACCATAATTCTTTGTGTCATCTGCAAATTTGATGATGTGGTTTGTAATACAGTATTCTCATCTATGTCATAGATGTATATGACAAAAAGGATAGGGCCCCCAAAATGGACTCCAGTGGTACCCCACTTACCCCATTTCTCCATTCAGATTCGTTCCCATTTAGCACGACCCTTCTTCTTTCCTCCAACCATTGTTTTATCCATTCTAATATGCTACCATTTATTCCATGGGTTTGTAATTTCCTTGCCAGTCTTCCATGTGGTACCTTATCAAATGCTCTGGCAAAATTCATGTATGCTATATCCACCGGAAGTCCTTTGAGTAGCTGGTTACCGTTTCCAAAAGTGTGAGCAGGTTTGTAATGCAGGATTTGTTTTTAATAAATCCATGTTGTGTCGATTATACAAGATTGTTTACTGAAAGATGGTGAACGATTCCTTCCATGAGGATTCTCTCTGTGAGCTTGCAGATGTGTGATGTCAAGCTGATCAGCCGGTAGCTTTCTGATGAGCTCTTTCTGCCTTTTTTGAAAATAGGGTTGACATTTGCATATTTCTAATCTAAGGAGACTATCCCTGGGTCCAGAGATTTTGTGAAAAGTAGTTTCAAGTCTCGTGTAACAGCCCGTCCTCGCATACAACGACCCAAGCTGTTAATCCAGCAACCAAACCCCCTGTTTATGGGGAGGATTTACTGGGCGCAATTCCTTAACTGTAGCCTCTGTTTAACGCAACAGTAAAATGTGTACTTGGATGAAAAAAACGATTCTTCGCGGCAGAGGATCGTATTCCAGGGATCTGCCCGGAACGCTACGCGTACTAGTGGTTCTACAAGAATGTAACAACTCTTGTATATATCTCAAAAAAAAAAAAAAAAAAACCGTTCGAACCACAACGTTGTAAATGCTTCACCCACGTACTACAAATACAAATAATCGTCAACAGAACCTAAACACCTAACCTATGCCTTTGCCTATATATGCACAATATGCTAATAAATTATAATATTAATTTATATTTGAGAAAATTCCTGTTTTGAATGAACAGAGCGTATTCATGAATGCGTCTGTGGGGTCGACCGCTGGGTGTAATGGACTTTAGTCGAAGACGGGATGGTTCAACTGTTGTTCCCTTCAGTGTCATTCAGTTACGTTGTCGTTCGCGTGATATAAGAGCCGCGATACGCCTCCTGGCGGCGCCTATACGTGTTCTTACCGGTATCCACCACTGCCAGCACCTATACGTGTTCTTACCGGTATCCGCCACTGTCAGCCTGGTACTCAGTTATCCGCAACACACCGTCGGGGTCCACATAACCGAAGCGGCCGGTTACACGACCTTCTGAGTCCCTCGCCTCTGTCCTGAAGCTCTGGTGCTCTCCCGAACCTGTAAGTGAACGAACATATCAAATTCAAATTCAGGTAAAAATACATACACAGAAGTTGAGTTACAAACACAATGTTGGATTTACAGATAGAGCTAGTAACGCTGCGCGTACTAAAATTCAAATTCAAAATCAAATTCAAATGTTTATTCAGATAAAGTACATACATACAAGAGGTTATACAAAAATTTAAAAGTTGGAATTTCAAACTGCGAATACGTGCAAAGAGCCAGAATTTGGCTCCAAAATATGGCTCAGATAGATTTATAGATAGAGCTAGTACATACAATGCCTAAAGCCACTATTACGCAAAGCGTTTCGGGCAGGAAAAACATTAAAGACTAAAACTTAATACTAATCGAGATTAAGTTTTTGTCTTTAATGTTTTTCTACTAGTGGCTTTACAAGATTGTTAATTAATTACCATGCTATGTATTCTCACAAATACAATGTACCTTCTTGTATATAAATAAATAAATAGATAGTACATACAATAGGGAAAGCCACTAATATGCATAGCGTCTCGGGCAAATGTGTTGTCAGTTTGTTTACAAATTGTTTAGCAATTCGATTTGCATTGTGTGTATTGACTATTATCACAGATTTTGATGAGAAAGTTTTAAGTTTACTAATGACCTCATAAGTTTACTAGGGGCCTCATAAGATTACCAGGGGCCACATAAGTTTACTACGGGCCACATAAGTTTACTAGGGGGGCCACATAAGTTTATCAGGGGCCACATAAGTTTACTACGGGCCACATACGTTTACTACGGGCCACATAAGTTTACTAGGGGCCACATAAGTTTACTACTGGCCTCATAAGATTACCAGGGGCCACATAAGTTTACTACGGGCCACATAAGTTTAGTGGCCCGTAGTAAACATATATATTCTACGACATAGTGGTTTGGCCCCGCCAGGCCACTATGTCGTAGTGGCCTGGCCCCACCAGTACCCCCGTAGTGGCCTGGCCCCACCAGTACCCCCGTAGTGGCCTGGCCCCACCAGTACCCCCGTAGTGGCCTGGCACCACCAGTACCCCCGTAGTGGCCTGGCACCACCAGTACCACCGTAGTGGCCTGGCACCACCAGTACCACCATAGTGGCCTGGCGCCACCAGTACCCCCGTAGTGGCCTGGCCCCACCAGTACCCCCGTAGTGGCCTGGCGCCACCAGTACCCCCGTAGTGGCCTGGCGCCACCAGTACCCCCGTAGTGGCCTGGCACCACCAGTACCACCGTAGTGGCCTGGCACCACCAGTACCACCATAGTGGCCTGGCGCCACCAGTACCCCCGTAGTGGCCTGGCCCCACCAGTACCCCCGTAGTGGTCTGGCGCCACCAGTACCCCCGTAGTGGCCTGGCGCCACCAGTACCCCAGTAGTGGCCTGGCGCCATCTTCCCGCCAAGATGACGACACCTTCTCAAGGTCGACCATGACGGTGACCAACGTCTGGCCCTGCTCCGTGACGTCATAGTGGCGTCACTCGCTGCTCGCTGGGTTTACCGCGAGAAAACTGACTCATCATCACTCATCATTTACCTCCAGGCTAGACACAGGTCTTATGATAATGATCTTTTGTGCCCTCTCTAATGCTTTTTGCGCTACCACTCACAGCATGAGTATGGGGTGCACAAACTAGCCGCTTCCGGCGGCAACAATTCATACATCGTCTTACTGCAGCGTGTATTTTGTTGTATTTTATGAGGATGTATTATAATTAATATAGTTCTCATGCATTTGAAATGTTAATACTTAGCTGAGCTGTCTGTAAGGATGGATTGAAAATATTCCTGGCTGGTTCATGTGTTAAGGTGTATGGGGTCACCTGTCTGTTAAGGTACACAGGGGTCACCTGTCTGTTAAGGTACACAGGGGTCACCTGTCTGTTAAAGTGTATGGGGGTCACCTACTCAACACACAACACAGGGGTCATCTACTCACCAGTGTCGTAAGAGAAGGAATAGGTTCCATCGGGTCCGAAGATGAAGTGGTTGTCTTCAGCGGCCTCTGGGAACTCCTGAGGCATTGCGTGTGCTGCCACGGACGCCCACGCCACCACGGACGCCCACGCCACCACGCACGCCCACAACCAAGCCCGTAGCCACGCCCACAGGTCAGGACTTCTCGGCCGTCTCAGGTGTTGAACCGCCGATTGCTGAGATGTCCGTAAAGAAGGAATCATGTTAATTCCGGAGGTTTTTTTAGAGTTGAAAAATAAATATTTTACCCCAGTTACCTAAGGGTCGCTAACCCTAGTTACCTCGACGAAGGGCCAGATTCACGAAGCAGTTACGCAAGCACTTACGAACCTGTATATCTTTTCTCAATCTTTGGCGGCTTTGTTTACAGTTGTTAAACAGTTAATGAGCTCCGAAGCACCAGGAGGCTGTTTATAACAATAACAACAGTTGATTGGCAAGTTTTCATTCTTGTAAACTGTTTAATAAATGTAACCAAAGCCGTCAAAGATTGAGGAAAGATGGACACGTTTGTAAGTACTTGCGTAACTGCTTCGTGAATCTGGCCCGAGGACAGGAAGCCAGTGACTTGTCGAAGTGCCCTCCCTCATTTGCCGTGATCTTTTCCAGGTAGATTTTAAATCAACACATTTTTGGCATTTATGGCTTCGGCGGGTAGGCCGTTCCATTTAATCATCTCAAATGAATTTGAGATGATTAATGATGGTTTCGTGCTCATCGGCTAGCTTGGCTAGATCGTGCAGTCTAACGGGGCTTTTCCTGTTAGCAACACAGTTGTTAGTGTGTCAGGGAAACAGGATAACAACTCTATAAGGATGAACTGTTTCAAAGACAAAGTCACGAACACAAGGAGCATTTAACCACCTGTGAAAAATAGATTCTTTTAGTCTCATATGATTAATGAATGAAATGGATCGTATGCTTACTACACATAAGGGACATAACTGGCCGACCCCTCACAGTGTTCAAGAGAGAACTGGATAAGCACCTCCAAAGGATACCTGATCAACCAGGCTGTGACTCATACGTCAGGCTGCGAGCAGCCGCGTCTAACAGCCTGGTTGATCAGTCCAGTAACCAGGACTGGTCGACGACCGGGCCGCGGGGACACTAAGCCCCGGAAGCACCTCAAGGTAACCTCAAGGTATGTCATTGGGAAATTGTGGCGCACCTACAGTGTTGTGTATCATTGTGCAAGTGATTTCTCGTAAGCTGGGTTGTTAGAGAAGACTATAGTGTTCAGTGTAGTAACACGTGCTGCTGAACATTACTGTAAACTTATGAACAAATCCACGAGGGCCGTGACGAGGATTCGAACCTGCGTCCGGGAGCATCCCAGACGCTGTCGTAATCTCATGCTCCCGGACGCAGGTTCGAATCCCCGTCACGGCCCTTGTGGATTTGTTTATTTGATGCATCACGCTATTGTGATTTCTGTGTGTAATTAGTGTAAACTTGTACATCAGGCCGTTGTGGCCAGCGTTCCCAACGTCAGACCCTGTTGTACTACACTGACCCTAACCTAACCAACTACAGGACCCCACGAACAGAAAACGCGACAGTGGTTATCTTGAGGTTATCTTGAGATGATTTCGGGGCTTTTTTTTTTAGTGTCCCCGCGGCCCGGTCCTCGACCAGGCCTCCACCCACAGGAAGCAGCCCGTGACAGCTGACTAACACCCAGGTACCTATTTTACTGCTAGGTAACAGGGGCATAGGGTGAAAGAAACTCTGCCCATTGTTTCTCGCCGGCGCCTGAGATCGAACCCAGGACCACAAGTCCAGCGTGCTGTCCGCTCGGCCGACCGGCTCCTCAAATGGTCCACTCAATTTGACCATTGAGTCAAATGGTCTGCAGGGCTGCAGGGGGTCTTTATAATCGCTAGTTTTACGGTGGAAGTCAATATTGTGCCTCTTTTTTGGCACCTGTTCATTCTTCACGTGCTGGATAATGTGTGTTAACTTCTTTAGAGGAATGGCTGCCACGGGTTCGACTCCCGGACAGAACGAGATGTTTTTGCACATTTCGTTACTGTTTTTATGTCTTCCTGTGGAGGTCTGTAATCTTTTTAATTAAATAATAATATTTTATTATTTTAATTAAAATAATATTTTAATAATCAAAAATATTAATTTTTTTTTCTCTCAAGGTATATGATCTCCATGTCTGTTCCATCTGGAGAATACTCCTCAATTCTTGAGCATAATGATATCCTCGTTATCATACTTGCATCTTTTTCTCTCATTCTGTCCCTATAATGTAACATTTCCATATGTGACATTACCTTTACTAAGCTGGATGCCTTTCATTCTGCTTCATCCATGCATAATTGAGCGGCTGGAGATCCTTCTAGATAATCGGTCCCACTTTAGTTATTATTAGTACTAACTTCATCATATTCTCCTCCTCTTCTCACTCGGTTATTGCATCTAATTTCCGGATCATTTTCTCTATATTATCGCCCTTGTATATCTTCCTAAGTCATTTGGTTCTTGCCACAATATTCTCGGTTAATCGCTACTTAATTACCACACTTGGGGAAGGGTTCCTGGGAAGAAACTTACGATGTTCACAGTCACTGTTTTGCTTCACCTGTCTTATGTTCACAGTCACTGTTTTGCTTCACCTGTCTTGTGTTCACAGTCACTGTTTTGCTTCACCTGTTTTATGGTTCACAGTCACTGTTTTGCTTCACCTGTTTTATGGTTCACAGTCACTGTTTTGCTTCACCTGTCTTATGGTTCACAGTCACTGTTTTGCTTCACCTGTTTTATGGTTCACAGTCACTGTTTTGCTTCACCTGTTTTATGGTTCACAGTCACTGTTTTGCTTCACCTGTTTTATGGTTCACAGTCACTGTTTTGCTTCACCTGTTTTATGGTTCACAGTCACTGTTTTGCTTCACCTGTCTTATGTTCACAGTCACTGTTTTGCTTCACCTGTTTTATGGTTCACAGTCACTGTTTTGCTTCACCTGTCTTATGGTTCACAGTCACTGTTTTGCTTCACCTGTTTTATGGTTCACAGTCACTGTTTTGCTTCACCTGTTTTATGGTTCACAGTCACTGTTTTGCTTCACCTGTTTTATGGTTCACAGTCACTGTTTTGCTTCACCTGTTTTATGGTTCACAGTCACTGTTTTGCTTCACTGTCTTACGCTTCCACTTTCGCAATAACTAAATGCTCTCAACATTATATTTGCGCCGATTGGCAACAGTAAGGTCAAAATTTATACTATATATATGGGGAATAAGTTTTCCAGTTTTCTGCTAGTTTTCCAAGTGTACCCAGCTAACTTTGGAGGGTTGTGACCGTTGGAGCGTTGTGACCGTTGTGACCGTTGGAGCGTTGGGGCGTTGTGACCGTTGGAGCGTTGTGACCGTTGGAGCGTTATGACCGTTGGAGCGTTGGGGCGTTGTGACCGTTGTGACCGTTGGGGCGTTATGACCGTTGGAGTGTTGTGACCGTTGGGGCGTTATGACCGTTGGAGTGTTGTGACCGTTGGAGAGGGTTCCCGCCACTTCCAGGGCGGGAGGAAACATGACCGACTTTTATTATCTTAACTATTCAAACCTTTTCACTTATCTTTTTTTGTGTTCGTTTAATTATGAGTATTATTGTGAGGTAGAAGATGAGTGCAGACGTGTTGATGCGACCCACGACCCGTAACTACCGCTCAATCATTGTCGAGTGATAAATTATAATAGGTTACAGGTGGTAGCCTAGGCTACAGTTGGTTGCTGTATCGCTCTGGCAACTGTCGGTTGTAATGAGGCGCTTCCTGATGCCTGAGTCACCTGGCAAATACGCAGTAAGTGACGCTAAATGCTAAGAGGAGCATGCATATATATATATGCCTCAGGTTTATATATTTACATATATATTCCTCAGGTTTAATGCTCCAGTAATATATATATATATATATATATATATATATATATATATATATATATATATATATATATATATATATATATATATATATATATATATATGCAAACAATGCCTGAAGGTGGCTCGACCTCTAACACGAACCAACGCTTATTTGTCAAATGAAAATAATTACTGGAGCATTAAAGGTGATGAAAGCAGTCTTCCTTCACCCAGCATCGTGATAAGAGCCAGACGTGACCCTAATCTCCTGTCTGGAGCGACCCGGGCCGCTTGGGCCGTAGTTATTTCTCACTGAACTTCACGCGCCCTCAGCTGGGGCACCAAGGCTGACGCCTGCTTTGTTTACCTTGACCGTGTAGGCTTCCCCAGTACGGGGTACTGTGCAGGCTTCCCCAGTATGGGGTACTGTGCAGGCTTCCCCAGTATGGGGGTACTGTGCAGGCTTCCCCAGTACGGGGTACTGTGTAGGCTTCCCCAGTACGGGTTACTGTGCAGGCTTCCCCAGTACGGGGTACTGTGCAGGCTTCCCCAGTACGGGGTACTGTGCAGGCTTCACCAGTACGGGGTACTGTGTAGGCTTCCCCAGTACGGGTTACTGTGCAGGCTTCCCCAGTATGGGGTACTGTGCAGGCTTCCCCAGTATGGGGGTACTGTGCAGGCTTCCCCAGTACGGGGTACTGTGTAGGCTTCCCCAGTACGGGTTACTGTGCAGGCTTCCCCAGTACGGGTTACTGTGCAGGCTTCACCAGTATGGGGTACTGTGTAGGCTTCACCAGTACGGGTTACTCACTGTACACAGTGTGGTGGATCAGGGGTCACTATCACCTATACAACCTCACGATACACCCCGCTATCACCTATTCCCACGTTATCTATGTACTGATAGGTGAACAGCGGCATCACGTGAAAGAAATTATCAGTTGGGAATCGAACTCGGGTCCGTCGACTGGGAATGCCGAACGCTGTCAGCTCAGCCACAGTACTCGCAAGAGATGGTGAGGTTCCTGATATCTTAGGAATATATTTCTTAATGCTCTTAATACTAAACATACCACAATACGTCAATTAAACGGGTGAAGACTCGTATGACCATAGAGTCATACAGACTCGTATGGACAGAGTCATACAGACTCGTATGACCATAGAGTCATACAGACTCGTATGGACAGAGTCATACAGACTCGTATGACCATACAAAGTCATACAGACTTGTATGACCATTTATGTACTATAAATGGTTATAAATGGTCGGTCAATGTAAATCCTTTTCTGAATTAGAGAGAAAGGAAGTAGTAGTGAGAATGATATGTTGTATAATCTGAGAAGAACAATATTGTGTATTTTCTGAGTAGAACGATATACAGCACTGTATAATCTGAGTAGAGCGTTATACATCACTGTATAATCTGTGTAGAGCAATATACAGTACTGTATTATCTGAGTAGAGCGATATACTGTAGAGTCTGCATATATCACTCTATATATTCTCGTATATATTAATTGAAGAATAGATCCTTTGGTTAACTGTCAGTGAAATATGGAAATTATTGATATGTACTGCACAAATTATTGTTATCAATTATAGATACACACAATATATATATAATTTATATACAATATATATTTTTAATTTACAGTTGATGGTATGCCCGGCGATACCATGGTCCATCCGACCTCTGTGGTAAGTATTATTTGGATTTGTTCTTCATTTTGATGGTCAGTCCATAATGATGGGGGATGGGGGTCACTTTGGCGCCACGCCACGTGGTACTCGTTTCATTAATGCTGACTTTGACCAAGCAATTTCTTCCCAAACTAAGTGAGGCTATCCCTAAGTGTCTGGTCTCCAACATTGGATAAACTGACATACTACATATTCTGTTTCGTAGATTTAGTTAATATAAAAGAGGAGTTCTGTCTGTTCCGTCAAAGGTTGGATGCAACCCTCATTAAACTTTGCAGGGTGACAGGTCGGTGTAGGGAGCCTGTCATAGGGTGATTGGCGTCGGCTCCAAGCATGCCTTTACGCCCCCAATATTCATGCAGCTTGTGAAATGTGCGTGGCCGAGCCCATAGAGTGTTATAATATAATTCAGATGGTAGCTTTGTATTCTGAGTAGAATGAGCTACATTCTGAGCTACCAAGTGTGGTAATGGGCTCAGTACGTTGAGCCAAATAACCAAATTATTTATAAATTAGCTTTTAAACAACTGTCAGTCTATTGGTGTCTAGGACAATTAGGGATAGTTTGATTATTTAATGGAAGCGGTTAGGGAGGGAGGAGAGGTTGTGAAGAGAGATGAAGTAAAGACAGGGGGCCAGATTCACGAAGCAGTTACGCAAGTGCTTACGAACCTGGGGCTAGATTCACGAAGCAGTTACGCAAGCACTTACGAACCTGGGGCCAGATTCACGGAGCAGTTATGCAAGCACTTACGAACCTGGGGCCAGATTCACGAAGCAGTTACGCAAGCACTTACGAACCTGGGGCCAGATTCACGAAGCAGTTACGCAAGCACTTATGAACCTGGGGCCAGATTCACATCAATCTACAGGATGTTTGGGATCCCTAACATGACAGAACATCACTCCACAGGATGTCTGGAACATCAAGTTTCTATCCTGTCCCAAACAGACTGTTCCAGTCTGTAACTAGATCACATCCCTTGTGATGTTTAAGTCTGCCATTAGGCGTACAACCGGGTTCACCTCGGTATTGAAGAGACGACCAGGAAATACAACAATGCCCTCAGCAGTACATATCACATGTGTGGGACAGGGTATTTACATATGTAAATAAGTGTTATATCATCTGCCTCATCACCGTTGCCTCATACGGTGAGTGAGGGCTCCGGGTCTTAGTAAATATGACATGATCAAATTGCTGAGGATTTGCCCTGCTCTATTGTAAGATAAATGGTAAAATATCTACCATGTTGCCGGGAGTTTATTGAAGGTGTTGGTGTGGAGGGTGTAGAGGCTGCAGGTGTTGGTGTGTGGGGTGAGGGAGGTGCAGGTGTGTGGGGTCAGGGAGGTGCAGGTGTGTGGGGTCAGGGGAGGTGCAGGTGTGTGGGGTCAGGGGAGGTGCAGGTGTGTGGGGTCAGGGGAGGTGCAGGTGTGTGGGGTCAGGGAGGTGCAGGTGTGTGGGGTCAGGGGAGGTGCAGGTGTGTGGGGCCAGGGAGGTGCAGGTGTGTGGGGTCAGGGGAGGTGCAGGTGTGTGGGGTCAGGGGAGGTGCAGGTGTGTGGGGTCAGGGAGGTGCAGGTGTGTGGGGTCAGGGGAGGTGCAGGTGTGTGGGGTCAGGGAGGTGCAGGTGTGTGGGGTCAGGGGAGGTGCAGGTGTGTGGGGTCAGGGGAGGTGCAGGTGTGTGGGGTCAGGGAGGTGCAGGTGTGGGGTCAGGGAGGTGCAGGTGTGTGGGGTCAGGGGAGGTGCAGGTGTGTGGGGTCAGGGGAGGTGCAGGTGTGTGGGGTCAGGGGAGGTGCAGGTGTGTGGGGTCAGTAGACAAGAGCAGGGAACGGTGCTTGGGTCGCCTTGAGACAGTCTAGATGTGTTCTTGTGTGTGGCTAATTATGAGAAGTTCACAGCTGTAAGGAGTAGAAAGTCTGCACTATCACTGGAGCAGCCCATCACTGCCTCAGACACTGTTATGTGTGGGGGGGGTGAGTATGTGGGGGGTAGGGACGAGTATGTAGGGACGAGGGGGGGTAGGGACGAGTATGTGGGGGGTAGGGACGAGTATGTGGGGGGTAGGGACGAGTATGTGGGGGGTAGGGACGAGTATGTGGGGGTAGGGACGAGTATGTGGGGGGTAGGGACGAGTATGTGGGGGGTAGGGACGAGTATGTGGGGGGTAGGGACGAGTATGTGGGGGTAGGGACGAGTATGTGGGGGTAGGGACGAGTTTGTGGGGGGTAGGGACGAGTATGTGGGGGGTAGGGACGAGTATGTGGGGGTAGGGACGAGTATGTAGGGACGAGTATGTGGGGGGTAGGGACGAGTATGAGGATTAGGGACGAGTATGTGGGCTGTTCCAAGTCCTTATCCTGACCCCTTTCCAGTGCTATATGGTCGTAATGACTTAGCGCTTTTTCCTTGATAGTTTCCTTCCCTTCATTTCCCTTACTTCCCCGAGGGGAGCCGGTCGGCCGAGCGGACAGCACGCTGGACTTGTGACCCTGTGGTCCCGGGTTCGATCCCGGGCGCCGGTGAGAAACAATGGGCAGAGTTTCTTTCACCCTATGCCCCTGTTACCTAGCAGTAAAATAGGTACCTGGGTGTTAGTCAGCTGTCACGGGCTGTTTCCTGGGGGTGGAGGCCTGGTCGAGGACCGGGCCGTGGGGACACTAAAGCCCCGAAATCATCTCAAGATAACCTCAAGAAGATACTTGTATGTTATGAATTGATCAACATTGAGTTCATCTATGAAAAATTTGAACAGTTTACTGTTATTTATGTTAAGTCGTCAACTGTTAACTGTAGAGTGTTGTAACTTCCTTGTTTGGCGTTATCTAGAGAGGACTTCGGGGCTTAGCGTCCCCGCGGCCCGGTCCTCGCCCAGGCCGCCTTTTTGTTACACATCCCCAGGAAGCAGCCCGTAGCAGCTGTCTAACTCTCAGGTACCTGTTTACTGCTAGGTGAACAGGGGCATCAGGGTGAGAGAAATTGCCCATTTGTTTCCGCCTCCACCGGGGATCGAACCCGGAACCTCAGGACTACTAATCCCGAGCGGTGTTCACTCAGCCGTCAAGCCATTGCATATCATATGCTGATATGTTGATATGTTAGTCAAGAGTATAACCGGGTCTAAGATTGAGCCTGGGGCCAGATTCACGAAGCAGTTACGCAAGCACTTACGAACCTGTCCATCTTTTCTCAATCTTTGGCGGCTTTGTTTACAATTATTAAACAGTTAATGAGCTCCGAAGCACCAGGAGGCTGTTTATAACAATAACAACAGTTGATTGGCAAGTTTTCATGCTTGTAAACTGTTTAATAAATGTAACCAAAGCCGCCAGAGATTGAGGAAAGATGTACACGTTCGCAAGTGCTTGTGTAACTGCTTCGTGAATCTGGCCCCATGCCTGTTATTCGTGACTTAAGTAATGTAGCACTTAAGTTAGTGCCCGCCCGTTGTTTGGTTCTAAATCATCTAAACAACTTAAGATATCTTAGAACACATCCGTCTACGACACAGTGACAATATGCCCCTTTGAACACATCCACAAGGGCCTTAATGAGGATTCGAACCCATGTACTGGATGTTCCCAGGCGAACTCTAGTCCACTGCACCATCGATATAACGAATATATATATACAGACATTCGTTACAGACAGACATGTTTATTGATATATCACCGTACTGCCATTCGTGTGTGTAATATGGTCCATATTACTCAGAGTTCTCTGTGTAATAGGTTTCTTTTATATTTTATTTTATTTATATACAAGAAAGTACATTGTGGGCAGCAGAGAACATAGAAATTAAGTTGAATTCACAATCTTGTAAAGCCACTAGCACGCATAGCGTTTCGGGCAATTTATATTTGTATATATAATTTATATTTGCATATAGTCCTGGGGACCATTCAGGCTTGTTCGCATTTGTAAATAAATATATTATGTAATTGTAAACCATTGCTGAATGCGTAATCTAATTATAATAATTATTAAAATATAGGAATAGATGCAGGCGATGAGTCACAATAACGTGGCTGAAGTATGTTGACCAGACCTCACACTAGAAGGTGAAGGGACGACGACGTTTCGGTCCGTCCTGGACCATTCTCAATCGACTTGAGAATGGTCCAGGACGGACCGAAACGTCGTCGTCCCTTCACATTCTAGTGTGTGGTCTGGTCAACTAGGAATAGCTCTGCTCCCTCAGCCCTGGCGAACCTGTTGCAATGATGACAAAAGATAATGAAGATATACTAAGTGGAGAACAACAGGAAGGAGACCAAGGTAGGAAAATTAATTCCAAGACGAAACAATTTCGAGCAGCTCACCTTGACTGGAGATTTGAGCGGCATGTCTTCTTCACTAGACTAGAACAGGGAGCTCGAACTGTCGCTTGGAAGACTGGTAAGTGGGTGTGTCAGTCATGGTAGTGGTGGGGTGAGGGAAGACAGGGGGCAGAATAGGGGGGCGCGGTGCCCCCTAGTGTAGGGGGGGCCCGACGCGCAGTAAAGGACGACGACACCCCGCCACCTGGGCCACATTATGCGCGGGAAACTTGGCCAGGCGGGCAAGCGGCTCCAAGAGCCTCCATGTCTCTTGTACTCTTGGCGCGCTCTCTCACTTTCTTGCACTCACCTTCTCCCTATATGCAATGTTCCTTTTTAATCCTGTTTTACAACACAAGTTTATCCTTAAAATCCACATTTTATTATACAAATTGTATAATGTTTATTCAGTAGAGTAAAGCATTCTGGCGCACCGCAGTCACTATCTGATGCATCATTGGGGTTGATAACCAAAGACTCAATTACGAGCAGAAACTTGTCATGAAGAGATTTTCTTTAGATAACGAGGCAGTAGATAACGATTCAGTAGATAACGAGGCAGTAGAGAACGAGGCAGTAGATAACGAGGCAGTACTTCAAGATAAACCTTCAGTCTTAGAATGATAGAAAAGGAGAGCTGCCGTAAGACTGGAAGAGTGGCCGTAAGACTTGGAGAGCGGCCGTAAGACTTGGAGAGCGGCCGTAAGACTTGGAGAGCTGCTGTAAGACTGGGAGAGCGGCCGTAAGACTGGGAGAGCGGCCGTAAGACTGGGAGAGCGGCCGTAAGACTGGGAGAGCTGCCGTAAGACTGGTAGAGCTGCAGTAAGACTGGGAGAGCTGCCGTAAGACTGGTAGAGCTGCAGTAAAACTGGTAGAGCTGCAGTAAGACTGGGAGAGCGGCCGTAAGACTGGGAGAGCTGCCGTAAGACTGGTAGAGCTGCAGTAAGACTGGGAGAGCGGCCGTAAGACTGGTAGAGCTGTAGTAAAACTGGGAGAGCGGCCGTAAGACTGGTAGAGCTGCCGTAAGACTTGGAGAGCGGCCGTAAGACTGGTAGAGCGGCCGTAAGACTGGGAGAGTGAGCCAGACTGTTGAGAGAAGCAGATGGTCAGGGTGTGATGCCCCTGTAGGTGTGCTCACTGTATCACAGGTGTGGCCACTGTATCACAGGTGTGGCCACTGTATCACAGGTGTGTCCACTGTGTCACTGCTTCACAGTTGCTCCTCTAGGTCCCAGCTGGGTGCTATAGCCATCACTCCTGAAACACAGCAACAGTTTCGTCACTCCACGGCTCACTACAGTATGGTGTATGGTGTACACTATAGTTCATACTCAAACACAAGCTGGGAATTAAACATGCATTATTAACATGGATTTGGGATATGACGGAGGGAAGCAATGGTGCCCAACCACTTGGGGTGGACGGTAGAGCGACAGTCTCGCTTCTTGCAGGTCGGCGTTTAATCCCCCTGGATCGTCCAAGTGATTGGGCACCATTCCTTTCCCCCGTCCCATCCCAAATCCTTATCCTGACCCCTTCCCAGTGCTATATGGTCGTAGTGGCCTAGCCCTTACAACCAAGTTGGGTCGACCCAGTACCCTGAAGGACCCTGCACTATGAATATGTATAATTGTGTAATTATACATATTCATTCACAATCGACTTGAGAATGGTCCAGGACGGACCGAAACGTCGTCGTCCCTTCACCTTTTAGTGTGTGGTCTGGTCATCATGTATAATTATCCAAGATGTTTATGTCTGTCAAATATAAATCTTCTCACCATTTGAAAAGCGTCAAGTTGAAGTGGTTTTGCTCAACCAAATGTTTCGGTTATTTTAATTTCACTAAAAGTACCACAATTTTTACGCAGTGGTAGATAGCGTCACAACTGCTCGGTACACAAGGATTGTTTAATAATAATAATAATAATATTATTATTATTTTCTACCACAGACGTGGCCAGACATTTACAATGCTAACCAGCATATATACATTTTCTTCTGTCCTCCATGGACAGGGTTAGAGATGTGTTAAACATATAGTTCAGGGATTTATTGAACAATCAACCACAGAAGGTGATTGTAGTGCTTTTAAAATGCTAATCTAACCTACATACACAAATACATACATTTATATCCTACATAAACACTCTGGGAGCCTGGTGATCCACCACTACCACCCTCCAAGCCTGGTGGGTGCGTCTATAAGCTTAACACAACATGTGGGTGCGTCTATAAGCTTAACACAACATGTGGGTGCGTCTATAAGCTTAACACAACATGTGGGTGCGTCTATAAGCTTAACACAACATGTGGGTGCGTCTATAAGCTTAACACAACATGTGGGTGCGTCTATAAGCTTAACACAACATGTGGGTGCGTCTATAAGCTTAACACAACATGTGGGTGCGTCTATAAGCTTAACACAACATGTGGGTGCGTCTATAAGCTTAACACAACATGTGGGTGCGTCTATAAGCTTAACACAACATGTGGGTGCGTCTATAAGCTTAACACAACATGTGGGTGCGTCTATAAGCTTAACACAACATGTGGGTGCGTCTATAAGCTTAACACAACATGTGGGTGCGTCTATAAGCTTAACACAACATGTGGGTGCGTCTATAAGCTTAACACAACATGTGGGTGCGTCTATAAGCTTAACACAACATGTGGGTGCGTCTATAAGCTTAACACAACATGTGGGTGCGTCTATAAGCTTAACACAACATGTGGGTGCGTCTATAAGCTTAACACAACATGTGGGTGCGTCTATAAGCTTAACACAACATGTGGGTGCGTCTATAAGCTAAACACAGTATGTGGGTGCGTCTATAAGCTAAACACAGTATGTGGGTGCGTCTATAAGCTTAACACAACATGTGGGTGCGTCTATAAGCTTAACACAACATGTGGGTGCGTCTATAAGCTTAACACAACATGTGGGTGCGTCTATAAGCTTAACACAGCATGTGGGTGCGTCTATAAGCTTAACACAGCATGTGGGTGCGTCTATAAGCTTAACACAACATGTGGGTGCGTCTATAAGCTAAAAACAGCATGTGGGTGCGTCTATAAGCTTAACACAGTATGTAGGTGCGTCTATAAGCTAAACACAGTATGTGGGTGCGTCTATAAGCTTAACACAACATGTAGGTGCGTTTATAAGCTTAACACAACATGTGGGTGCGTCTATAAGCTTAACACAACATGTGGGTGCGTATATAAGCTTAACACAACATGTGGGTGCGTCTATAAGCTTAACACAGTATGTGGGTGCGTCTATAAGCTTAACACAGTATGTGGGTGCGTCTATAAGCTTAACACAACACTGGAGTACTTTTAAGACTGAAGGCCAAATGTACAATCAAGAAATCTAAACACTTTTGAGCGCTCACGTCAGTGTTTTCCGGCGTAGATTCAGCGTTTGAAATTACATATTTTGTCACGCTTGTGTGAGTCAGGTATTGGTGGCGGCCATGTGGTTATGGACAATGGTTACTGCTGACCCCTAGTGAGGACATGTATACCGCTGACCCCTAGTGAGGACATGTATACTGCTGACCCCCTAGTGAGGACATGTATACCGCTGACCCCTAGTGAGGACATGTATACCGCTGACCCCCTAGTGAGGACATGTATACCGCTGACCCCTAGTGAGGACACGTATACTGCTGACCCCCTAGTGAGGACATGTATACCGCTGACCCCTAGTGAGGACATGTATACCGCTGACCCCCTAGTGAGGACATGTATACCGCTGACCCCTAGTGAGGACATGTATACCGCTGACCCCTAGTGAGGACATGTATACTGCTGACCCCCTAGTGAGAACATGTATACCGCTGACCCCTAGTGAGGACATGTATACCGCTGACCCCCTAGTGTGGACATGTATACCGCTGACCCCTAGTGAGGACATGTATACCGCTGACCCCTAGTGAGGACATGTATACCGCTGACCCCCTAGTGAGGACATGTATACCGCTGACCCCCTAGTGAGGACATGTATACCGCTGACCCCCTAGTGAGGACATGTATACCGCTGACCCCTAGTGAGGACATGTATACCGCTGACCCCTAGTGAGGACATGTATACCGCTGACCCCTAGTGAGGACATGTATACCGCTGACCCCCTAGTGAGGACATGTATACCGCTGACCCCTAGTGAGGACATGTATACCGCTGACCCCCTAGTGAGGACATGTATACCGCTGACCCCTAGTGAGGACATGTATACCGCTGACCCCTAGTTAGGACATGTATACCGCTGACCCCTAGTGAGGACATGTATACCGCTGACCCCTAGTGAGGACATGTATACCGCTGACCCCTAGTGAGGACATGTATACCGCTGACCCCCTAGTGAGGACATGTATACCGCTGACCCCCTAGTGAGGACATGTATACCGCTGACCCCTAGTGAGGACATGTATACCGCTGACCCCTAGTGAGGACATGTATACCACTGACCCCTAGTGAGGACATGTATACCGCTGACCCCTAGTGAGGACATGTATACGCTGACCCCTAGTGAGGACATGTATACCGCTGACCCCTAGTGAGGACATGTATACCGCTGACCCCTAGTGAGGACATGTATACCGCTGACCCCCTAGTGAGGACATGTATACCGCTGACCCCTAGTGAGGACATGTATACCGCTGACCCCTAGTGAGGATATGTATACCGCTGACCCCTAGTGAGGACATGTATACGCTGACCCCTAGTGAGGACATGTATACCGCTGACCCCTAGTGAGGACATGTATACCGCTGACCCCTAGTGAGGACATGTATACCGCTGACCCCCTAGTGAGGACATGTATACCGCTGACCCCTAGTGAGGACATGTATACCGCTGACCCCTAGTGAGGATATGTATACCGCTGACCCCTAGTGAGGACATGTATACGCTGACCCCTAGTGAGGACATGTATACCGCTGACCCCTAGTGAGGACATGTATACCGCTGACCCCTAGTGAGGACATGTATACCGCTGACCCCCTAGTGAGGACATGTATACCGCTGACCCCCTAGTGAGGACATGTATACCGCTGACCCCTAGTGAGGACATGTATACCGCTGACCCCCTAGTGAGGACATGTATACCGCTGACCCCTAGTGAGGACATGTATACCGCTGACCCCCTAGTGAGGACATGTATACCGCTAACCCCTAGTGAGGACATGTATACCGCTGACCCCTAGTGAGGACATGTATACCGCTGACCCCTAGTGAGGACATGTATACCGCTGACCCCCTAGCGAGGACATGTATACCGCTGACCCCCTAGTGAGGACATGTATACCGCTGACCCCCTAGTGAGGACATGTATACCGCTGACCCCTAGTGAGGACATGTATACCGCTGACCCCCTAGTGAGGACATGTATACCGCTGACCCCTAGTGAGGACATGTATACCGCTGACCCCTAGTGAGGACATGCATAACTTTAATGCGTCAGGCTCCGCGACATGTCAACAGGTACATACGTGACCTAAGAGCCAAAAAGGCAGTCACTTCGCTGCTCTGCAAACCTACAAAGACGTCACCATGACAAAGAGACTTCCCGCGTCCCCCCGACGTCCTGTATGGTACAACTGCTTTAGAAAGTTTAAATGCGATTGATTCTTGGCGCATTGACCAAGCAGTCCCGGGAAAAAATGAGGTCATTTGTCAACCCAGAGTTGAGAGACGGGAGTATGGCGTGAGGTTAGCCAAGTAGGACTGTGCAAATATTTAGCGAGTATGCCAGAGGAGCAGATGCGGTTGGGCACCCTTGGTGAGCGCTGGCCGCGGTAAAAGTGGTGACCGTCTCTTAGATACGAACAATGTGACCAGCTTAAATAGCGCAGAGAAAGAGGAATGTTGCGCAAGATGTGAGTGGAAATTTCTGGAGTAGCCAGCGTGTGTACGGCAAGCAAAGCCAAGGTGACGAGGAGCTCCAGGGAACACGTACACCAGGAGCTCCAGGAAACACGTACACCAGGAGCTCCAGGGAACACGTACACCAGGAGCTCCAGGAAACACGTACACCAGGAGCTCCAGGGAACACGTACACCAGGAGCTCCAGGGAACGCGTACACCAGGAGCTCCAGGGAACACGTACACCAGGAGCTCCAGGGAACACGTACACGAGGAGCTCCAGGGAACACGTACACCAGGAGCTCCAGGGAACACGTACACCAGGAGCTCCAGGGAACACGTACACCAGGAGCTCCAGGGAACACGTACACCAGGAGCTCCAGGGAAC